AGAGCGCACATGCGCAGGACGAAGTGAAGTACCGAAACAAAGCAGAGATTGACGGCGGGCCGTTGAATGGCGCGTAATCCGCACTCGCCCTCGTAAAACACCCCATACGCGAATCGAGGCGCGCTTCAGCTCGGCGCTGGGCGTCGTCGACTTCGGCATTGAAATGGGAAGTCAAAGGCCAGCAGCAGATCAGTGGCCTTGCACGCTCCTTCCTCGTTCGCGGCGCCCCCAAGCGCGTCGACACACAAACACACATGAACAGCGGGCCGTTCCCGGCAAACGGTCCAGTGTCAAGGTCTGATTGGCGCCTCACTTCAGGACTTCCTTCCTCCGGCCATGTTTTTCTTTCCTTCCTTGACTGCGCATCCGACTAGGCGGCGTTGATCGACGCTGCGTTCCGAGTCGGCACGCCCGGTTTCCCGTGCGGGAAGACAGCCAGGGCTGCACTCATTAGGCCCGGCTGCGCGCTTTCGTGAATCGTCGGAGGCGGCGCTGCTATACACACGACGCACTATAAGCCCTGCGTAGAGGCCTACGATGCACGGCCGGCGCGCGCGGTTCTGTTTCGTTTAGCTTTGCACGCCGTGCACGTATTACGCATCCGACGGGCTTTTTCCCACTGCCGAATCTCGTTCCGCTGACAGATTATCGCGTGGCGATTGCCGGGCCTCACGACGACGACCTTTTCGCCGGGAGGGCGCGTATTTAATGCGATCGTGATGCGGAACAGGCTCGGCGAGCAGCGTTTACGCGAGTCGCCGGTTGTTTTAAGATGCGGCAACGTCCAGGGTGATATCGCGGATGCGCTCCGTTATATCACCAGAACGGGAAGTCTTGTTTCCTTTTCAAGGACTGCTGTGACGGTTATGTATACCGCTCATTGATTTGATTGATGCGTGGGGTTTAACGTCCCAAAACCACCATATGATCATGAGAGACGCCGCAGTGGAGGGCTCCGGAAATTTCGACTACCTGGGCTTCTACAACGTGCACCCAAATCTGAGCACACGGGCCTACAGCACTTTCGCCTCCATCGAAATACGACCGCCGCGGCAGGGATCGAACCCGTGACCTTCGAATCAGCAGCCGAGTATACCTAACCGCTACACCGCCACGGTGAACGTCGATTTTTTTTTTACGTTAGTCAGCCAGGTTTTGTTAATCGTAAGCTATCAACCAAGGCGAGCAATCCTCTAAGATCCGCTCTGCAGCACTTGAGCAGTCATATGTCTAAAGGTTAATGAACGTTATATTTATTAATTATCAATTAATTAGTGAACACGTCAGAACTACGACTGACCCCGATCACTGCTGAACATTGTGACGAAGATATTAAGGTTGAACCGTACGCCAATATCTAGCGCTGTAATTAGGAATCAAATACGCACAAGAAAACAATATAAAGTGCGACAGCCTCCCCCAAAATAACGATAATTCGTGGTTACAATATTCAGAGCATTGAAGCAGGGTTGAAGCGCGTTTAATCTAAGCCATGTTGTATAAAAACAGAAGGGCGGGTTGGGACTGCGAGAGTAATACGACAAAACCTAAACCCAAGGTATAATGAAGCAGCTTTTGAGGACGCTAAACCAACGTAAAGAATAAAGGAACGAACACACACACGCGCTTTCTTGCTCGTGTGTGTTTGTATGTGTGTGTGTGCAGTAGAAGCGGTAGCAGCTAGCAAAACAGAGATAAACGCCGAACTTCAACAGAACTTTACTAATTTCAACATTAAGAGAGCTTTTCTACACACAGCCTGTGACAGCTGCCTGTGTATTACAGTGCAGTAAAGTTCAGATTGAAGAGTGGTGTGTCTTATTTGAGTTTCTTGCTGTATCCCATACCATGTTCCATAAAGATGGACTATTGTTTGTTATAGTGAAAAATATGGATAGAAAGGATAGCTCGGGGAACGCAATCAAACAATGCAGGGAAACAGGCCCTATGAACAAACATAAGTCCACCGTGGTATTGAATGCTCAGCAGCTAACGTGCTATTCTTAAGAGTTCGAGGACTCGGGTTCCATTCCCGGACGCCACGATGCCCGCTCTTCTATGTGAGAAAAAAAAAGGGGGTGGGGGGCGCTACACACCTAGATTTAGGCGCGCGTTAATCGATCTCCAGACGGCCAGAATTAATCTGGATTCCCTTCACTACACTGCGTATACCTCATAATTATATCGCGGTTTCGCAACTAAAACCCCAGTATATATTAACGAAATTTAGAAGGAAAGTTGCAGGCATGCCGCAGGAAACCGCGTTTTAAGTCGTAAAGGGTCGAAACTTTGGTGTGATATTGTTAAGTCGTAAAGGGTCGAAACTTTGGTGTGATATTGGTCCCTTGGGGGAACTACATGGGCTGGCAGAGATTTTGAATCATCGTCGTAGTAAGTGCATGACAAATTGCAGCGTTTACAGCACTTCCTCGAACGGCTTAGAAGTAATAATAAGAAACGGCGAATATATGGTTGATCTTAGAAGCTTAACGCGGCCTTCTTGGCTGATGCTAGGTCTTTTCTTGGCGTAGACAATGTGGAGTCGAACCACGGCCTGCCACAAACCATGCGAGAATATCCAAACTCCAGCGCCAAAACTAGCGTGCAGGAATTGATGTGGCAACCCCGGTAGAAGCGCGGAGCAATCGTCGCTGGTACTCGGCTCGCGCCACGCCCTACGCATTTGCGCGAGCTTTCAGACCTTCGCTCTTAATAACAACTGTTGGGGTTATACGTCCCAAAATCACGATATCATTATGAGATACGCCGCTCCGAAAATTTCCACGTTATTTTTTTTTTACCTGTTAACTTGCACACCAACTCTGGGCTGTCCAGAGGGACCACGATGAGGCTCGACCTACGCGTTTCGACGTGGGAGCGGCCTGCTGCTCCACCTCCTTGAGGTGGTGTCCATCAGGACCTCAATAAAGTTCTGTGTCTGTCTGTCAGTCTGTTACTAAATCTAAAATCTAAACAAACGAGCCTCTTGTGTCTTGCCACCGTCGAGATGCGGCCGCCGCGGCAGGAGCACTACCCCGCCACCTTGGGGTCGGTAGTCGTGCACAACTCGAGACCGCCACGGCGGGTCAGGTTTACAAGTGGTTCTCGTAGAGCGCTTCAAAGCGACCAACTGTTGTACCACGTTCTTCGTTCTACGTGTATAAATTCTAACTCGCGTCGCTGTCACCTCACGAAGCAGTCCGCGCAGATTCCACAAGTGAGCCGCTTAACCAGGGGAAGTCAAGTTCACGGAATGGACAGCTACATGCCGAACGGCCCCTACAAATGAGGTTTAGACTTCGTGATTGCCACTTTTCTTTTAACTCTTGAACGTGCAGTCGTTTTTTTTTTTTTTCTTTGAAGCACAGCGCGCATCAGACATTACTCCGCGAGCAGGGGCGCACGCACCTACACAGCCAGGTCATTTTAAGTGCACTGAAACTTCCTTTCGTGCGCCCCGCAAACAAGCCCACCGGCAGAGTTGTGCAATACAGATTCCATGCTCTTGAAATAAGCCGAGAACGAACCGGGCGCATAGCTGCAGCGAGCGAGAATAAGCGTCTTCTCACGACGTAACCGTGAATGCCCACCGGAATGGCGGTGCGGCTCAGCCGCGCAATACGCATGTACTCGCACTTATACTACGCGCCAAGGCTACGCGCTATTGAGGGTATCGCCGCTTCTATAACAAAATGATGCACGACGCCGCTTCTTATAAAGCGAAACACGACTGTGACGAGCCTTTGCCTTGCAATCTTTTTTGCTTTTTTTCTGTCGGCTGCTGCCTTCTCTCTCTCTTTGTTGGAAACATGCGCACGCGTTGACGGGCGGCCGCTATAAAAGCTGTGTACAACTCGTTTGAGCGTGCAAGTACGCACAACTCTCCGACAGTTAGGAAGAAAAAGTGGGACAAGTTTATGATCCGAAGCAAAAAAGTGGAACGCGCAGAGACGAAAGCCGAATGGGATGCCTGTAGCGACGGCGAGACGGTCACTGCAAACGCGCGCCGGCGTGCCGTTGGCCTTCCCTTCCTGCTGTCTGACGATCTTTGGGTTCACGCTCTGATATCGGGAAGCTACGTCGAGTACGAGTCATGGATGCATATACTAAAGGCGCACGGGCACCACAAAGAAACGAAAACACTACAAACTGTGGCCATTGGGTATGTGTAGCGTGTACATTACCTTACTATGCTTTACCTCCTCGAGCAAGTTGTGACGCGTAGTTCCTTTTTCACTGTCCACGCAGGTCCCCTCCTGTGGTTACCGAATGGCGCTGAAGCACAGGTAAGCAGAACGGAGTCGTTCCCAGTCTTGGGACTGGACATTTTATCACGGCGAAGCGGGTCTAAACCACGCGGAAAGCAACAGATTTCGACGGAACACGCGTCACGAACTGTGTTCAATAATCGAGTTTACAAAGCTTTGAGTCAGAACTTTCTTGCCGGGCACTTCGGGAACTATAGCGGAGAGAGCAAGCGAATAGAATTTTCGTCACCTCCCTAGCGCCGATGTTCGATCGCTTAAGGCCTGACCAGACGTGCGCGTTGCAGCGCGTCAGCGCGTGTATTAAATTAATGACGCGGCACCGCGCCCTTTCCCAAGAGAGAAGGGGGTCGCGCGGCTAAAGCTGCGCTTCCCTCTCTCTCCATAGGAAGAGGCTGTTCGCCGTCACACCTGTCACAGCGCACGCTCGGCTCGAATAATACTCGTCTAAACCTGAGACCCACATTGCGTTTCTTTGCACACTTGAGAGTAAAGGTACCGACAATCCAGTGCACTTAATGGTGCGGAAATTTCCTCGGTGCATGTTCTTGAAGACCGAAAAACAGCAAACAAATTCTTTTTGCTTTTTAATGGCTAAACAGCGCAAGCAACATGAGATAGAGGCTGGAACACACGACAAGAGCGCAAACAACTGCATTTTGATAACGAGTTCACCCAGCATTCAGTACTTCAAAGCAAAAAAATTCTCATCTGTGCGCTCATATCACTGCGCAGCTCATCAAGCTTCCGAGGCTCTCCGGTCGGCTGCGGCTACCCTTCTTCCGCAAGGACCCGACGAAGCCGCTTCAGAATGGCCAGAACATGGAGACGGACCTGACCAACTTCCTCCAGAACGGCGCGCAACCGGGAATGCCGACGTTGCACAAGCTCCTCTTGAAGCAGTACGCCACGCCGCCGATGCAGGGCGGCGCCAGCGCTCCCCAGGCGAGCCACCTTTACCCGTCCTCCATGGCACCTTTCGGCATGCCCAGGCTTCCGGCACCCACTTCGATGAGACCCATGGGTCACCCGCCACCGCCACAATTTCCGATGTATCTGATGCCCAATCACATGGCCGGCTTCCACCCAATGAGACCACCGTACTACCCACGACCGGGTATGATGCCCGGCATGCCGCTGCCATCGTCGCCTTACGCCGTACTCCCACCTCCTCCGAGCCCGCGGCCACCTCCGCCACCGCCTCCCAAGGCCAACAAGAGGCCCGGGCCGGGGCCCAACGTGCTGTTCGCGGAGAAGCAGCCGCAGGGCAGCGACGGAAACTACGAGTCCGGTGAGATTGAAGACGAGACGCCCATTATCATACGCGGCCGCAAGCACCACGGCAAACGGCGGCGTCCCATCGTCATCGAGGAAGACGTGTCCAGCGAGGAAGACGACTCGACTAGGCCCATAGTGGTGCGCGGCCGCAAGCCATACCGCTTCCGCGGCCGGAGGCCACCACTCGGCGATGACAACGACGAGCAGGACGAATCGGCCTACCCAAGTCGCAAGAGGCCCGTAACTTACATCGAGGACATGCCCGAGTCGCGGCCTTACGGTATGCGGGGCGGCGGTGGCGGCTTCGAGGATGAGGTGCCCAAGCCGTCCGGTAGCTTCATGCACGACATCAATACGGGACCGAGAAACGTTCTGCGGTACAGCACCAACGCGGGACGCTTTTTTCACCCGGACAGCAGCCGCTTCGACACACTAATGACATCAGAACAAAGGAACAATCCGAGGACCACGAGTTCGCCGGGGTTTTACACGGGTTCACCCGGCAGCGTGATACACGACTTCAGTCTGATGCCCCAGAGGCACCACGACTTCTCGGGGCTCCTCGACGAGTCTAAGATGGTCCTCTCACCGCACATCGACGCCATCACGCCACTCAGGGACCGTCACGAGGCCTCGAGTTTCTTCCCAAATAAGCTCGAGTCTTCGCCACAGCCGTCGTCTAACAAGGACATGCAACCCATAGTCTTCCACCTGCCCAACAAGGCGCCCCAAAATCGCGAAAAGTACGTGCAAGCGCTCATCGTTCCAATCCAATCAAACATTGATCAAGTAGCTGAAGAGACCCTCGACAAGGCAACCAGCAATCGCGTCCTTATAAGCCCCAGAGGACAGTCGTACGTGATATTGCCACCAAGAACTGATGGTCTACAGGAGAAGCAGCAGAAGGAAGCGGGTCCTCTCACCGATTCTTTCGAGCAGGAAGGGCCCGGCAGACATGGAGGACATGTCGCTGCCCAATCCTTTATGCCAGTTACGTACATGAGGCCACCCAATGGCTTGGATTCTCCTGATAACAGAATTCAGCCCACTTACCACCCCGTCGACGCGTCACAAAGCTACGCACAGCCAACTGCTATTCGCATTCTCGTCAGGAATCCCATGGACGGCACGAGCAAGGAAGTCTTCTCCAGCACAATAAACACCGGAGGTCCGTACCAGCAATTCGGAGGGGAGCCGCAGTACAACCCCGGTACGTACAACTATGGTCCCGGTAATGACCAGAACAAGAGCAAGCTGGTCATCATCGCCCTTCCTAGGAACCAGCCGAACAGAGCTTCTCCGAATTCGCGTTCTAGCCCGGCGACGAACACCTACTACCAGCCGACGGCGCTTAACAAACGGCTGCCACCTACTTCGGCCGAAACGTCGACACCGGTGCCTATAGTGTACAACGATCACCGACCGACCTCCCAATACCTGGCGCCGAAGGTTCCTTACGAAGTTGTCACTCAGCAAAGCTCCGCGTCGTTCGGTTTGCCGAACAGCAAGCCGAAGATTGGAAACTTGGGAAAGACGGGTTTCAGTGCGACGTCTCCATTCTACGAACCGGACAGATCGCGGCAGCAATCGCGCCACAAAACGAAACCGTCCTCGTCGTCTTCTAACCACGCCAGGAGGACGCCGTCTACCTACACTTACTACCGGCAACAGATAACACCGGCGCCATCCTCGTCATCGGTTGCCGGAGCTGCGGCACAGAGACGCACCACTCACGTCTCCCAGTATGCCAGGCGGAAGTACTCCTCTGCGTCGGACGGTCTGCTGAGCGAGCTGCCGTACGACCCGGGCTACCCTACTCCCTTGGTGGGCAACTCGGCGCAGGAGTACCCGGCACTGACGAAGATCCCCGAGACGTCTTTCAGTTGCCACGACAAGGTGCCCGGATACTACGCCAGCACCGAGCACAGATGTCAGGTACGAATCCCATGACTTGCTCTATTCACGGGAGCGTTATGCAGAAGAAACGTCGTAACATTATAGATTGCAAAGCTTTGCTGTGAAATATTAACTAACAAATAACAAAGCTTAATATCAGAAGCTAGAGGCTGAGTCCCGGCAGCCCTGAATGTTCTTGTAGACACCGAATATGTGACCATTGTATTTAAATAGGATTACAGGTGGGGTAGAGATAAAAGGCATGGCAGTTATTTTTTTTCATTCATTCATTAGTATACACTCAGTACCCAGAGAGTGTTGCGGAGGGGGTGGGTACAATATGAACACCGCAAAATGATGGCATTGAAGGAAATACAACAAATCACAGGTTATGAAAGAGAAAACAAGAAAAAAACAATAGTATGCAGTTGCACCGTAAAGAAACTGTGGACTTGAACAGCCCTTGGTCTTTAGTGGCAGCAACAGAGGGGCCCGTTGGCTACACCGTGCTGGGTGAATGCGAAGTGAGGAAAATGCTAGGAATAAATAAGCAATGTGAAGCGTCGATGTTCACTAAAAAGTAGCACAGTCTTGTTGCTTTCCAGAATTGAAGCAGTGATTATAGTCATAATGATAATAGCCGAGGTTTTAAATGCAAAAACGACTATAAGATTATGAGAACAGCCACAAGGGAGGGTTCAGGAAATATCGACCATCCAGTATTGTTTAACGGGCTCTCAAATTTCACAGTACACGAGCCTTCAGCATATTACCGTAATAGAAATGCGACCACCGTGGCAGAGAGATCAAACCCGGTTGCGAGCTTCAGCATTGATTGTGTGACCTCATATGCAAGACATGACAATATCAAATATATTAGGCAGCTTGACACGCAAAACGTTTTCCTGTGAAAATTTTCAGACAGTTCAGTGTAAATCACTTTAAGAATGAACTACCTTTTTCTTATGCAACCTGGCAATTTCTCCGAACAAATTTTGTCATACGTTTCGTTAACTTCTAATTTGGAGGACCTACGTCGAAGACACCGAACAATTAAGTTAATTCTATAGCTTCGCTTTGGTAAGGCTACTCATGGTCGTGGTTTAACTCGTGGTTTAACCCGATACTGAACACTCCACAAAAGCGATGTGTCTCATGTCTCAATGACTAAACAGTTATCGGGTCAGACCGCCTTGATACGTATGTGCAGTTTAAGTCGCTTTCATACTTCAGCGCACTTAATTTTCAACATCGGAACCGAGTTCCAATATTAAATCGCATACACTGTGCAAATGAGCACAATATAAGGAAGCGAGCAAGACAGGTATTTCACTGCCCTATTTTGTAGAGCCAACCATTTCAGGGAACGCTTACTAGTGTGAGCCCTGGATAGCCTCATTTTCAAACAAAATGCTGGTATCAGTAACTAGTTGCAGGCTCTGCTTCATTGCCGTTGTAGTGAAACTTCTTGGGCGAGTTGGTTCATATACGTACTGCATAGTGATGTCCTGTCCGGACTTTCTCTGCGAGTGTTCCTTCGCGCCACAGTGACTACTGTAAGAGTAATCACTAATCAGTAATCTCATGTTAGACTAAAAAGCGCGAATAAAAGCTGTGAAAGGACACGTCACTTTGCTTTGGTATATAACACTGTTTCCCTGTGTAAAGAGATCACGGGTGAATAGCGCATAGGTTACGAAGTCAACATTATTTAGATGCTCCTGAACAAATCAAGCACGAGTGTAGTACAATACAATTTCTTCCCCGCATTCTTAAACTTGCAGGTGTACCACCACTGCACGACCGCCGGTTCCCTGCAGACGCTCCTGTGTCCCAACGGCACCGCTTTCAGCCAGCAGTCGCTGATGTGCGAATGGTGGCACGATGTGTCCTGCCCGCCACAGCGGACCAAGACAACGCAGCAGACCGTCAAGGACTCCTCATTGCAGAGCCTGACGGACGACGTCGGCTACCCCGTGTACAGGTGGCCCAGCGAAACGCAGCAGCCGCAGCATCAACCATTGTCGCCTCCGGCGAGCGCGGCCCACCAGCCGCTCTCCACGACGCGGGCTCCTCCACCACCCAGCTACAGCAGTTCCGTCAGCTTCAGCATCGCCGCCGGCACAAAGGCCCACACGCTGCCGCCTTTCACCGGCAGCGGAGGAGGACAGTCTACAGAGTACACGTTGGGCCTCGGCAGAAGCAAGCCGCAGAACTTTACTGTGACCTTCCAAGCAGGAGGCCAGAAAGTCGTGCGGGCGCGAAAGCTGGTGAAGATCCGAGGGTCCACTGTGGCCGGAGGACAGACGCGACAACGGAGCAAAGAATCGTCCACGACGCAGTCGCCTGACGCCAAATCTAGCGCGGAGTGAGCACCCAGCGAACAGCAACGTCGCCCCAGCTAAGCGAACCAAGGCAGAGGAAAAACGCGGCCACTAGAAAACAGCGCACAGAAAGCCCCGCAAAGACGGGACGAAGCGGCTAGACCTCCGACATGCCAACTCGGCAAGAGTCCCGCGCATATGCTATGGTTGGCGTAATGTCGCTCCCCGTGTATGGACTCCAATGTGCAGAGCAAAGCGGGCTGACTCTCTACAGATGGGTCAAGCAATATGCAACAGAGGTCGAAGTACCGTATTTTCCGGTCCACATTTCGCACCCACCACGTAGTTCTCACAAGATTTTCGGTTGAACCGTTCGTTGTGCGTGCCGAGGATACCTAACTGGGAGATGAAGTGTTGTTAAACGATGTGTAATGCCATTAAGTGATTGGAATACTCTGAACTCGCTTCCTTAGAGCTTGCCTCAAACAAAAAAAATTATCCTCAAGTGATAGGATAGTACTGAAAGCTGCACAAGGCATGGTTACTCTTAGGGAACTTTGGTGTACAGGACCGCACTTACGGCACACTAGCGACGCGAGTGAAAATCTTCAAATACACAGTGCGAGAAATGTAGACCGGAGATAAGGGTACGTTGAAAAGCGGCACGGGCTACATACAAAGAATAGAGGAGGGATGGGACATACGCAAAGTTGGCGAGTGGGTGGGGAGAGATGGGGGTGGTTGTGGGGGCGCAAGACTGAAAGGGATCCGTGTGTGCACACTCACTTAACCCGGTGCTTGTGTGGCTGGCCAAGGCCGCTACGAGATGACAAGGTCAAGCAAGTAAGCCCGGCCGCCAAGCCGACTCCGTGAGCATTAACACTGCCAGATTGACACATCTGCAGTCCGTCTACTGCTGGGCAGGATTCAGGATCGTAGACAATCTTTACATTTTCCTGTTTTTTTTTTTACTCTGTACATAACAGCACTTTTCTGACCTCATTTTTTTACTTGAGTGAGAGATGTTCTTATTTTTTAGCGTTTTTGTTTAATAAAGATGTATTTAATTATGTATCACGCTCCCGTTCCATTTCACGTAAGAGCGTATGTTTATACTTCCAGAGTAAGTGTGCCAGCGAGTCCCATCAACGAAATCTCCCTAAACGGGTCTGTGCAGTCAAAACAGACACCACGACACACACGGCGACCGGATGTGTAAGCAGAGTTACGGAAACAACGTTCCTGTTTGCTTACTATTAAACGGCGCAGGAACCACTCGTCGGGCACGAAAAAACACATCGTGCGGACACAACACGCTGCTATGAACAGCGCAGCCAAGCTTTGCAGTCGTTCGCGGCAATAAGTTTAACTGAGAGTGCGAATTAAGCTATAATTTTCTCAGACACCTTCTTTTGATAAAGAAGCTTATGCTCACTCACTCTTCGGAGCTGCCAGCGCCAGCTGTGTGACGTCGAACAGCAGATGACATGTTATTGGCCAATAGCCAACATAAAGCATGGGTGGCGTTGGGATCAGATGCTTTTTTTGATACGGATTGTCGCCACGTAACGGCGCAGCGCTCCATAGCCTGCTAACATTACGCAGTAGCCCCACTACCGCGCTTACGAATCGCAACGGGGAGAATCGATCGCGTTTTATCAATCGCTTATATGGTCAGAAAACGCTGTCGACGGGTAGGGATCCTGAGAACACGCGAGCCAAATATTATAGCGCAGCACGCGGCCTAATTTACGATAAAATATTAAAGCTGGCTGAAAATCGCTTTTTCTTGTTTCGACAAATGATGCTATATTCAAAAATCATTACGCCACACACCCAAGTTCCACGCCATTGGCTGATTTGAACAAAGCGCGCTCGGGAGTTACTGGGGTCGCCACGGAAGGCTGCGAAGTGTCCGCGCGTGCGATCGCACTGAGAAGCCACACACACGGCGAGACCTGTTCGCTTGGGTCTTCGTGGCTCTCACCGCAAGCCGTGCCGCGAGGTCTTGGCGGCGAGCCCGAGCTGCTGCTGCGTTGCGAGCCAGTCGTGTTGAAGCATTCGTCTTTTGGGGCATGGGCATCGGCAGTGGGGTGCCAAAGACACGAGCGCACCCTCCCCCAGCCGTGATGCAACACGGTTGTGCCCCCCCCCCCCCCCCCCCAAGGCAAAATCCTGCCGACGCCCTTGTTTTGGGGTGTCCATGCTGCAGAGCGGTAACGAAGAGTATTCACAAAGTGAGCTTCCAGCGATAATAAATGAAGCACTCACCTAACTACAGCAGGCGGCTCCGCTTGCGTGACTGACCGAAGGGCGCAGCTGCGATAGTAAAGCCTCCTAAAACTTCGTAAAGACCCTAAAAAGAAGTTCTAGGGGCTTCATGCGAGAGTAAGGTCCCTAGATGAAACATGTTTCATCTAGGGACCTTATGCATGGATGGATGGATGCTATGAGCGTCCCCTTTATAACGGGGTGGTGACAAGTATGCCACCAGGCTCGACAAAAAAAAAAAAAAAACCTTTTTTTCTTTTTATGTTGGCCTAATGCCTCTACTTCGATAAATTCGATCTTAATGGAAAAAAAGGTAAATTTTCAGCTTAAGTTCTCTGCCATTTACGGCACACTGTCCATATTTTATTTTTCCAATATTTATTTTTGTCCTTTCTCTCTAATTTTCTGCCACCAATACTCTAACCGCAACTAAATGCGAGAGAGCACAGCGGCGCCTCTAGCGGGAGCAATGAGAGCTAGTGTACACGCCGCCGACAGAGGACAAGGCGCGAGCATAGGAAGCTTCATGAGCATGCTCCTAAACGCTTGGACCAGTCCCGTCTTTGAAGTTCCCCCGAACGAAGCGTTAATGATCGCAATAACCGAGAAAATAATGTGCATACCATTTAGCAAAGTCGCAAGAACTTCATTCCTTGTGATGCCGCGGGCCGCTAGCGAGAGGTAGGCGGGCCACGCGTTGGAGACATCTGTCTTAAAGGGCCCCTAAAACACAACGATTGAGTTAAAATTTGAACTCGTGCATCCATTCACAATGACTTCATAATTAACAGTGCCAAACACGGGAGCGCTACGAGCCACGGGCGCCCCACACATCCCGAGAAACGATCCCTTTTTCTCCGGCCCTTTCGACAACCCTCAGCTTTCTATGTGACGTCAACATTTTCGTCATCGCAATGCCTGTTTGTCCGCTCACCGCTTTTCGTCCTCGCGTGGTGAGGAGGAACACTCGGCCAGGAGCAGAGGCAGCCGACAAACGAAACATAGCGAAGGAAAAAGCTAAATGAACGCAGGCCTTGTTTGTGTGATCGAACGCATGTAAAACTCCACTATTACGACACTGTTTCAAAAAACTCTGGCGACGATGTGTTCATGGTAGATTCGTGCCCAACTGCAACACCGCAACTAAATTTTGACCACTGGGCGCTTAGAAGGCCCTTTAACTCTTTCAGCCCAGGAATTTTCATTTTTGTCAGAGACGTCTTTAGTATGTAGTCTACTTAAAGTAAGGGCCTCACAAGACCACAAACAAAAAATTATTCAGTGGTGTAAGTATTTATTGATTTACAGACATGACATCAAGTTAGATCATCATGACCCTGTAGTCATGAAATGACAAAATTGGGAAATTTATTCCTGCTATGCCCTAGAGTAGACAAAATTTAAACCAATGTAGTATTTTACAGTGTGGAATCTCTCAAAACAACCTAAGCACTTCATCCCGAAAACGCCACCCTCCCGCCTCTGCTTGCCCGCTGTCGTCACCCATGAGTTCGGTCAAGCTTCTTCTTTACATCTCCACGCTTCGCAAAAACGAAACAGTAGTGGCGACAATCACAGTGATAGTTGAAGAAATACTTTTCCAATGATGAGCAGGTTTCGTTTTGTTTTCGAGGTTGTAGGAGAAATTGTGTGGTGCCGTCAACGGTCTTGGTGATTTTGTACCAACAGATTGGGCCGGTAGACCCAGTCCTAAAGGTCATTTGGAGACCAATTTGAGCTCTCTACGTAAACTACGTAACTTATTAAAACGCTTTAAAGCTGGGAATTGCTTCAGACGGGTGCGAATCGCTGCGGCTCGCCCAAACGCGTTTTCAACCGCCCATTCATAGAGCGACATGCTCTGGCCATTAGACGTCAATGTGGCTGCTGGTTTGCTTGGCTGTCAAGGGCTGTAGAATGCATGGAAGTAAGATCAGCTGGTAGGATGGCGGCACCTGTCTGAGTAGATATGAACCACTCCTCGATCTTTGTCTCTGTTGCCAGACGGCGTCCATGCTGCCAGAAGGCGCACTGTGTGATGGCCTCCAAGACTGTGCACTACCTGTCTTCATGCGATCTCCGAGGTCTAGACAGGCGAAAGCTCAAATCGGGGAGCGCACTCATGAGAGCCCTGCGATAGCTAGTGATGCCAGCGTGGCTGATGAGTTGAGTAGGCCAGGCAGAGGGCCTTGGTACACAGCGTGTCACTAAATTTGTGATGCGAATGGTTTGATGATGATCTAGCCTAAACACTCACAAGACTTCGAAAAACCGTTTCAGGGTCCCTATAAAATCCCCCTTCTTTTTTTTTTTTTATGAAGTAGAAGCTTATTAGCCTGCGGTGGTGTAGCGGTTAGAGTGCTTGGCTGCTGAGCCAAAGGTCGCGAGTTCGATCGAGGCGAAATGCTAAAGGACTGTTTAATGTGCGATGTCAGTGCACTGAACACCAGATGGTCAAAATTTCGGGAGCCCTCGACAACGCTGTTCCTCACAGTCATACTGTGGTTTTGGGAAATAATACCCCAGATATTATTATTATGCATTAGAAGTTTCTTGTAGGAACCGGAAGCACAAGGACACCAATCAGCAGTACGTGTCCTGGAAGTAGCGCTATAATAAACTAGTACAGGACGTGCTGTGAAAACGCTCCCTTCGCTGGTATGTCGCCATTTCATACTAGCCCCACACAGTGGTAGCGACCGCCATCTTAGGATGGGCGCGACTTCACTCCTGAGGTGTACTTTCTATACCGGCAATTATTTTCAAATCTCATCGGTTCAATTTATGTATCGTTTACAACAGATTAATATGCCTTTTTGTTGGTAGTCCAATAACACTCCCCAGAAGACGCCGTGATATTACAACTTGTCACGGCCAACTGACCCGAAAGCTTTCGTGCGGCGACACTACCAGTTTTTCCTCTTCAGACTAACCAAGCTTTATGCATCAGAGTGGTGTAGTTGGTAATATATAAAACATAAAGTCACTAATCTGCAGTAATATAGAACCAGCAATAGCTTAATTTTGGCAACTTATCTATCAGAGTAACTGAAGCTAACCAGATGGAAACTAAATTCAATGCTTATTCAGTTCTCTAGCCTTTAGCAATAAACTGCTCCTGTAATTATTTTATTTACGATTCCAGTAAATAAAATAGCTTCCATTAACAGTTATATTGGTCGAGAGTTAATTATGGTGCCCTAGCTAGACTTGAAATAACGGGCATGCCTCACAGCGCAATCGCACTGTGAGGCACGTTTGATACAAAATTGCAGCTCTTTTGAAACCCATTTGCTCTACGTCTATATATTGGCTACATCTATGTACGAAACTACATAATGAAGGATGGAACACTGCCTGAATACTCCCATATTTTCACAACCTGAATGTTATGAAAAACATTAGTGAAATTTATACGCCAGGGCTTTCTTGTGAAGTGATGCACAGGAATTGCTTGTGCCATATAAACTTTATTATAAAGAGATAGCTGACAGTGCTATTCCTTTTCTTTGTCCCAAAGTTCTCGTACTGCAATTTCATGAACCCAGCTATATTGTCAAGCTCGAGAGTAATACAGTAAAACCACATTAATTCCAACTCAGTTTATTCGAACCTAGAGTCAATTCTAACTGACGCCCTACCCTGGTCCTGGGACAGCCCTGTGCCTCTGTTGGAGAAAATTCCCGATAATTTGGATGTGTCAATATACCCACAACGGTGAATTTGAACTGGAAGCTCCCTGGCTTTCATCGCTCCTCGCAGAAGTAGGCCCAGAGTGATCACTATGTGTTGTACAACCATGCCAAATCAAGTTCACCAGATATTAAAGAAAAAACCGCACAATTTCTACACACATGAGAAATCGGACGCAGCGAATCGGATGCAACTTGTGGGCTCTTGGGCTATTTGCAAACGTTGCTCATGGAGTCATGACAAAAGCGCAAGCAAAAGCAAATTACTGATTACATTTATTTTTATTGCATTAACTCTGCTATATAAACGAACATCTCTCACAGCATAAACAGCGTCGTATATTTCGACATTAAGCCTCACTGCTAACACGAATGCAAGTTTTTGGTTATTTCTAGTGTATCAATAACTGATAAGTCAATTCTGTTCTCTGTTAGAGCTCTATAACCTTAATTTACGAAATCCCCTGGCCCAAATGTAAAGTATTGCCTAAATCCCAATAATGAGCCCAGAGATCACTTCTTTCAAGTTCTTTGGGTTCTGCCCACGCACTGCAGCACGATGCCCATTCATTCTAGCACTCGCCTGCTGATTCTAACTGCACTTAAGAACAACAATTTTATAGTCCCCTTCGAGCTCGAATCAAAAAGCTTTTCCTGTACATTTTTTCATGCTTGTGCAGGATATGAAAACTTTGCAAACCTAGTTAAAACTCGCCATTGAGCTTATACGTACTTCAATTTACAAAAGACAAAACACAAAGAGATCTGGAAGGAGCACTGATTGTCGTCCACTTTGAGACAGCATGGTATCTTAGGAAAGTCTACATACTTCAATTTACAAAAGAGAAAACACAAAGAGATCTCCAAGGAGCACTGATTGTCGTCCATTTTGAGGCAGTATGGTCTCTTGGGAAAGTCTCTCCATGGTGCAGACAAGGCCCATTGAACTATGACACAACAAGCTTGCTTATGGAGAAACTAGATTGATGAATTCACCAAGCTTAGGCTATGCCCTGAGGCCATGTGCAGCTTCTTTCACTTATTTAGTACCTATTATTTATTGTTATATTACTCAACGCAATCATATTTGCTCAATCAGAATCAGTATTGGAGGTTTCATTCTTCCCCAACACAATGCGATGTCATGAGTGACACAAATAGATGAGAAGTGGACAAATATGTTAAAAACAAAAATAATGGTGCAATATACAGTGTCGGACAGCCACCACCTCAGCTTGCAACATCAGCAGAATCCCCATGTCATGCGTTGCATGTGGTCTGTCTTCCTTTGGGTTGGCTTCACAAGCCCCAGAAACTGAAGTTCCGCAATGGATCGAAAAAATTGCGCCCTACAGTCAGTTGTCAAGGTTTCGACTGTCTCAAAGAAATGGACAAAACAGCAAAATAGAACATTTCGTTGCCAATGAATCATTATTCATAAGCCCAAGCGGAAAACAATGTATAAACAAGAAACACAATCCTAATAATCCAGAAATGAAAACTGCTTTCCCTATTTAACTTTCAATTACTAACGCTAAGGTTACCATAGAGCAGCAAGGTCATTGCACCTGTAACTTAAACAATATACCATAAGAATAAATAATTTAAGCCCGATAACCTGCAAAAGATATACGGCTATGTATTAACAGTCACATCACAATAGTGCACCATCAGCCGGTTAATATTCCATCTTGTTTCCTAGAGCAGTGCCCTGTATGATGCTAGAGTTTTTTATAATCGAAACAGGTGACAAGAGAGAAACATTCGTCATATTCCCTACACTTGTATTCCTTAATTATACTTCAAGCAGCAACTAAATATTCATAGCAAATTACTTCACGGTGTTCTTAATAGAGTAAAAAGCTAAAAGCTAGGAATGAGACTCGATTCGAGTATGTAAAGGCCACCTGTCATGGCATCGCCACAAATGGCGAACTCTCAGGTGTCCTGGACTCATAATTTGATGAAGATCTGCGGATCTCACCGAAAATGTGAAGGTAGACACATACAAGATCATCGTTATAATCTTAATGCAATCTGACACTCCAGATATTATGCCTATGCTCATTTCATAAAAAGTGTTCGGACAAATGTGCACAGACAACAATGCATGTCTGAATATATAGCTTAACAATTGCCCTTCAAAATCAAAAACCGAGGTAGTTTCGGCACGGTTATTTTAACTAAATATTCTGCCTACTCTAGGCTATCTTTTTACATACTTTGTCATAGTACTTGAGCTCGTTCACTTTTTATGCTAAATTGCACCTCAGCGTGATGCAGTGCAATAAACCTACTAACATCTAAGGATACTGCACGATTTTCTCCTCTTCTGCCGACAGAGTCGTTTCTCCACATTTAACAGACTTGAAGGACTGTAAAACAAGAGACAATACAACAGAGAACAGCTCTTTATACGTCAGCTGCAAGCTACAACACAGTGATAACGCACCTGCATCATGTCGTACAAGTTTATAAGTTTCCCACTCTCCAGGTGCAACTTGTAGCTGATGCTCAGGTCAGGAAGTGATGCGGAGACCTCGCAACCGCCAGTGTTCCTGCAGCATTCGCACTGACAACATGCGAAGGAGAAGAAAAAAATTGGGAGACCCCGAAGCTTCGCCTCAAGATGTAAAAATGATAGCGATATCATGTCCCTAGTGCATACTTCAACCACTTAGCGCATACTTTTTATTGTAGAATGTTACTCAAGAATATTAAATTGTGGATTATTACAATGTAATCAATGAAGTTGAAAGTGGCTTGTGGCAATGAAGCTTTCACGTATGGCTGCATTCTGTATAATGGGTAGCATGCTTTAAACCACAAGCAATTATGCACCTGAAATGTTTTTGAACTTGCCATGCACCCATTATGTGGTTGGGTATTAAGGTAATATGCGCAGTAATGTGCATGCCTTTTGTATTGGTGGCCAGCTTTAAACCACGTAGTCGTTATGAATATTGCATGTTCTGACGCACGATGGCAATGTGTGCTTGCATCATGCATTATTCTCTAGCTACGCCAGTGCGCACGTCCAGTGCGCACGTGCCAGCAAGGTAGGAGCAGACAGCCCAGGTAATCGTGGCCTGCAAATTGAGCGGTTGAAACACATGCATCTCTGGTGCGGTGCCGTGCCCCGCACCAGAGATGCATGTATCTCGCTCACATGCATATGTTGCAAACTCCTCGAACACATAATCGCCTCCCACGTATACAGTCACCTCGAGACTAACAAATTCTTCTTTTCAAACCAGCACGGATTCAGAAAGGGCATGTCACGCGAAACACAGTTACTAGAATTCACTACAGACATTCATTACAACATAAATAATGGCCTACAGACTGATTGCATATTTCTTGATTTCGCCAAAGCATTCGATCGTGTCGCCCATTGTCGCCTTATTTCAAAATTATCTGCCCTCCGATTAGACTCCCTCACTTTATCTTGGCTACGCAATTTTCTGTCACTTCGCAAGCAGTTCACAATCGTTAATAATTCTTCCTCTCCCTCTTCGTATGTCTCTTCTGGCGTCCCACAGGGGAGCGTTCTTGGCCCATTACTTTTTCTTATCTACATCAACGACCTCCCAACTAACATATCATCGCATATCAGAATCTTCGCTGATGACTGCATGCTCTACAGACCTATAAACTGTCCTAACGATCACTCCATCCTTCAAGATGATCTGAACACTATTTCTAACTGGTGCAGCACTTGGCTTATGAGGTTGAATACTAATAAGTGTAAAGTTGTTTCTTTTGGACGTAAACAGGTCATATCTAACTTCACTTACCATATGCAATGTGACAGGCTCTCCACGGCGACTTCTTACAAGTATCTTGGCATCCACCTTACACCAGGGCTTTCCTGGTTTGATCACATCACTAACGTTTGTGCAAAAGCCTCCAAAACATTGGGGTATTTACGCCGAAACCTTCGTCGTTGTCCCACTAACATTCGCAAAATGTCATACCTAACTTTCGTCCGCCCGCAACTTGAATATGCCTCATCTGTTTGGTCCCCTTCCGCTCAGTATCAAATTAACATGCTGGAAACTATCCAGAACAGAGCCACCCGTTACATTTCTAGAAACTATGACATCAATTCCAGTGTGACTCAGCTTAAACTCCATCATTCCCTCCAAGCATTAAATGTTCGTCGTCACGTGTCCTTGTTATGCCTATTTCATAAATACGTCTACAGTAACAAAACATCGTCGTTGCACCTTCAACGCCCGCTCTACACGTCACGCAGATTACATAACCATCTCAGCTTCACTCGCATTTTTGGAAACACGAACGCGTTCAACACATCCGCACTACCACAAGCCATCCGCATGTGGAATGATCTTCCCGACGATATCGCCTCTGATAGCAACCCCAACACGTTTCGGCAAAAAGTTCAGACGCATTTCCTTAATATTTCATCTTGACGTTCTTTTACTTCTTTTCCGAGGGTTTTTATGTTACGGAGTGTTCTTATATACTTCATCGCCATGTTTACGTATTGCTGACTTATTGCTTTGTTAATTTTTTTTTGTTATTACTAACCGACATTGTACCGTTTTTATTTTGAAATTTACATGCGATTTTTCACTGTAACCCCCCTTACTCAATGCCTTCTGGCCTGTAAGGTATTTTCACGCACTTGTTTGTGAAGCATGAAAGTTATTTCACTGCATTTCTAAGCAGACAAGGGGCTGTGGGATAAAACACCTGCGTACCACGCAAACAGCCTGGGTTCGATCCTCAATCAGACCTGGTAATTTTTATTTTATTAATTTTATTAGCATCTTTGTCAGTTTTTCGGTCACGGACAAGATAATTTTTCGCTCACAACCAACATGTCCCTGCCAACACCGACACCAAAATTTCTGCGAAACGAGTCCTTCAATGCTATTGCGTTCAAATATGAAAAAGAAACAAAATGCAACAAACACGAAATCGTTCAGTTGCAATTAAGGCATGATATTATGTTTACTTCTTTTTTTTAATGAAGTACGGTAAGCTCTCCGTAACTTAAACTTGAGGGACCCGAGGATTTTGTTTGAATTGTCAGTAGTAGTCAGAAATGACTTTGGGCGACATACCCACTTGTGTTGTAGTGTTTATTATTTATTAGGGCTACAGCGACATCACAAACCACTCTGAATGATTGCCAGTAACCTTCCTAGATGTCAGAAATCATACTGGTACTCGTTTTCTTATAAGGCACGTGCACAGAAGGGTGATTGAGAGATCAAATGTGCAGTGTTCCGCGACAACTGGCTGCACTTTCCCAAGCTTAGTAAGTTTTTCTGCATGGTGCCAGTGTACTGCAGTGAAAGTGACTTAAAAAAGCATTAGGCACACAACTGATTAAGGCCAAACCATATCTGTCTTTCCTCTGTTTAACACGTAAGTGTTTTGTGCCAGGGTCCACCGTGACTTCACTGACTTAATTTTATCACAAACGTGACGTTGCAAAATGTACACAAACAGATGACAAAGAAAAAAATAGAAGAGAGAGCTCTGTCTTCGAAAATCGAACAGACGAGCCCTCGCTCTACAGCGCACGGTGGTAAACAGCTTAACCACAGAGCAATTCCTTTTCGTCATGCTAACGGCGAGCTTTTTTCTTTTATACTCCACTTACCACTGGCAGTACGTAGAGCTCAGGAAACACTAAAGCTTGCTCTTACAATTGCCAGCAAGATGGTGCAAAGTGCGCGAAGTGCGCTTTTTATAATAGTTCTTGCCCTGCTTGGTGTAAAGCGCATACGCCTCTACTTTGCCCTACAAGGAGTGGTAACCCACGCTTATGTCGTGAGGAGGGCGGTTTGTACGTCTTGTGCTTTGACCACAAAAGTTGCGGAAGATTACAGAGTGCACAAAGGTCAGTTCCCTCACTGCAGCTACCGTGTACATAAAAGGCTCATGCTGCACAAACAAAAAGAAACAACAGCTGTGACCGTTCCTAGTCCGCGCTCGTCCGGTGTGTACTTGCGCATTCGTTCCATACGCCCTTCCTTGTGTTTGAGCAGCTACTTGAAGAGCTCAGTGGTGAAAGTTTTCAGTTTGCACTCGTTCTGTATGTGTTCTTTTTGTGCTTTGTTTGTGCTTGAGCAGAGCACTGGATGTATCGAGCTGGTTGCTGTTCTCAGCGTAAATTCCAATATGTTGCTGTCACATTCACAGCTTCGCCACTGAGGCAAAACTGTGACTTTTGTATGTGCCTGTTGATGTAATCTTTGTGCCGGGTTCACGATATTCCGTCTCCAGTTGTGTGCAAACAACTTCAGCTACCACAACGATTCAATTACTATCCTGGGCATTTATCTTCGGGAGCGAGCTGTACCACTACAGGCATCAATGTAGGTGCATTCACATCAAACTGTGCTATAGTACTGCCATAAGTGTACGTGATCCCCAGGTGGTCTAAATTTCTAGAGCCCTCCACTATGGCTTCTCTCATAATCGAATTGTGGTTGTGGTATGTAAAACCCCCAATATTATCATTATTATTGCCTTAATTCTTTTTTTTCTGTGAAGTCTCGCGAAAAACTTATTACGAGGGGTTCTACTGTATGCCATCCTATCGATTATTCATTCTAAGGCACGCATAAAGTACAGTACGGCTTACCGTTGCACGCCTACAACAAAAGTCTGGAGCCGTAATCGTATATTATCGCTAACCACCGACACAGGCACAAATCGGGCTACGTCGGGAGCCCCACCACAATTGTGACTATACTGCTGATAGCATGAATGAAGATTTGACGCTGAAAAAAAGAAGCCACATGGTAGACAGAAATGCACTCGATAAGTACATTTCTTTATCGATATAATATTCAATAAGGGTGTGCCGGCAAGGGTAGTTTGTCTAATGAGTGGAATGGATTAAAGATCCCCCAAAAAATTTAGATCTTACCCTCAGTACTGTTTGAGGCTTGGTCAATGCAGCATGCAGCACTGTCCTAGGAGATGGTGTGAAGTACTGTTTCAGTGCCACCGCATCATTATAGTAGAGCACTTCGTGAAGAGGCATGCTTGATGGCGGCTTTAGATCACTGTGTGAAAAGAAAATCACCAAACGTAAAGGACCCTACACTAAGATATATCCAAATAAGTAGGTATTAAAATCAAAGTTCTATGTCTACTCATAATATTAAAGTTGTCCCTGCAGGTAGGTATCAAGCTAGGTTACCTTTGATAGTGCATATTATTTTGCAGTACAAAAGAACTATAAAACCAAAAACATTATATTTGAACAATATTACCCAAAGGCATCAGCAAAAAAGCTTGCAAATTCATCTCTCAAGGCTTCAAATGGAGACACTCGTTTTGTCTTCGTAAGGTTCTTCAGTTTCTGTTGAAAGCAAAAAAAAAAGCATCTGTTTGCAATAACTCAGTAAAGATCTTTTTCTGCTTGTCACATGCCATATGCATTAACCCTATTCAGCCACACATTGCTCTAGCCATTATGTTTTAACTTTTCAGTGTATGCAATTTCACTGAAGAGGCTGTATTTTCAACAGCACACATAGCCTTTATTGATATTCAAAACAGCGGCACAACAAAAAAGTGTCACGCCTCTGTGGAGCAAGCAGCACACCTCCCAGCCTAGGCTAGATGAGCGCCTTCAGAGCATCCGTTGTGAACCCCATCTGAGAGGGTCTACTGCAAGTACAGTTGCGATTCCCTTACTACACGACAAATCACATTTTGTGAAGTAGCGAAACACTCATTATGCATCTCAAAGCAATATGTGCACCTATGTATTTGCACACTTCATCGTTGCTATGCCTGATGATGACCAGGACGAGGAATTCTGCGCGAGCCCTCTGTAATGGGTGGGAAGTTTTACAGCACTCGCTTGTTATGCAATCCTATGGTGCGATATATGGATAGATGAAAGAAGTTTATTAGAATTTAATAGGTTGTGCTGGAGTCCTAGCCCAAAGTGATGCCTGGTCCGATTTTACTCTTCTGCCACACGATATAATATTTGTTGATGTGATTCCTCACTGTACATGAAATTCGTTGTCGGGTCTTTATCCAAAAAAATTTCAAGTACATGGCTATGTCTTGAAACGCTTGTCGTGCGGAATTCCTGGGTTCAAATCTGCCTCGAACCTTTCTTTCTTTTTTTTCCTCATGGTGCACATTAGCTTCAGTGGACACCCACAGCAGTGGCGGTACATAACAGCACCAAATTCAGCTGTTACTGTAAGCTCATAACAGCTTATGTTGTAAAATTATAGTGTCACTTCAACTTGAGAACTTGCTTTTATCGAAAACAATTTATTCACCTTGAACAAGCACTCCATTAGCAAAAGTACCTCATGAATTGCACTTGCGTAATAAATACCGTATGAAAAACACAAGTAAAAGAATTTTAAAAACTTACACGAGAAGAGAGTGGGGAAATTAAAAGCTTCAACTTGCAGTTCAACCACACAGCAGCACAGTGCACACTACAATATAGCCACATGGCATTTCAAGAGAGCACCGGAGCAAGATTAATGATGGCTGAACAAACAATAGTGAGTTGGTTGGCAATAGCACGCACTTGGATGTCTATGAAAATACACGAGATAAATGTGACCATTTATGAAAATCTGTTTTTTATCGACAAGTGCGCGAGCCTACCTTTGTACCGATCCGTATGCTGTTTAGCACACTGAATGAAGGCAAGAAGTGTAAATTTAAGGGCTTGTTTTCTTTGTTAGACAATATTCATGATAACTAACAGAAAATGGTGCCAAGGAAAGTATAGGGGTTGTTATTAGTACCAATAATACTGTGAAGAAAGGAAAGCAGACAAAGAGATCACTTGCCATCATCAGGGTTCGAAAGCTGCGGTCATTGAATAACGTGTGCGATGCTCCACCTAGAGCATCGGATGTGTTGTTCAGAAATGATGCTGCCGTGGCTGTGATTTAACTTAAACGTGTTACGTCAGTAGCCGAAAACCACAACTGCTGTGCTATCGCGGCGACTTGCAGCCTCAGGGGAATGACCTAGACCTAGACTAGACGTGTCAAGTTTCCAGAGAAGCTCCAGATTGGTATGCGCCGGTTGTATTAAAGATTAACAATCAGGATCACCTCATCAATCTCTGTCTAAACTGATACTGTATCATAGTTCATGTGTAAAGGCATAAAAAGCCACTTCATAACGGATTGATGCTACTACTCGATTCTTTTATAAAATACGAGGTAAACTCAAGTTAAGGTGTAGTATAGGATCAAATTATTAAAACGCATCAGCATATCAGTTCGGAAATATACGCTCTTTTCAATAATGCAAAAATTGCAATCAAATTACACAATGAATTCCAGGCAAAGTAACGACCCGCTGAAAACTACTCTGTAAACGTAGCAACACTCAGTCCCATAAGAAGGATCTCACCTCTTGGAACTGTGACCTGCTCCTCAGCTTCCCCCAATCCAAGACAACCGGTTCAGGTGTTTCACTTGAATCCTGTGCTTCAGGAACGTCATCTCGAAGAAGTAAATTAAAACAGTAAGCCATGTGTAGCAGGGATGCAAACAGATAAATATGCAAATTAATAGCTCAGCCAGAAACACATTAGCATGATAGAATGTTAATGAAGGCCTCAAGTTACAGTGATACCATATGTTTATTTCACTGCTATAACACTAAAGTATTGAACAATCCAGTGGGCACAAGATAAATAATGGCAATGAACTAAAAATTAAAGTTGATAAAACTAAGTGACAACTATAAACTACTATTTTTTTTGGTGAACACCAACTTGAGCACGAAGATTTTATGTTAGCACGTTAACACAATCACAAAATTCACGGAGCCTATGAGATCGCATTTTCTTTCCTTGTCCCCAATAGTATTTGAAGCCAATTTCAGCCATATGCATGCCTATGCCTCTTTTTTATCTTTGATTTCAGCATCAGCGAGCATTGTCAAAGTGTGAAGCTAAGTAACAATGAAAGGTCCCCATCGTACCGCTTACTTGAACAATGACTGTCTTCATGAACAATATAAATAACCCACCTTTTTATTTTATGGCCGGCATTTTCATGATAAAATGGCTTAAATATCTGCATATCAAGTATTCATTTCAGTCTCAGCGTACTATTACTTTCTTAAACAGTTGGAACGACAGAGCTGTGCATGAATGGGCACAGCACATATGAAGAAATGCAACCTTTGCATACGATCAGAAAATGCACAGTACTTAAAAAATTGCAAAGAAATAATTAAAATTGCTTGTTGGCTAAGTAGAGACTGGGCCGACTGTCCAAAACACGGGAAACGCTTCAAGTCTTGGCTATTTCTCATTATCATTAAGTTCCAAATTTTTTGTTTAGAGCAGCTTCAAGTGACATGTCTCTTTTCACGTAATAATAGAGTGCTTGAAGCACTTCCTTTCTGCCACGATTACGCATGGCTGTGCATTCGCTGCAATGGGGACCATGTCCCTTCCAACACAACCGATCCAGCGATAGAGAGTCCCATTCGTACCCCTCCCCATCTCCTGTCACAACTCAAATGAGAGAGGCCTTTTTTTCTTCACTGTGCCTCCTCTCCACAGTTCCTCTTCCACTCCTTCTCATCACAGTACACTTGTAAGAGTTATAAAGGCAAATAGAGCTCTGATCAAACGTCCATAAATTAACTCGGAAACAAGCACAAAATACATTCGGTAGCATTAGCCACATAAAGAAACACACACCTGTCAAAGCTTTGAATTTTTCACAGTATCCCTCAAGGTGGACTTTCAGATCAGCAACGTTTGTGGGAGTCTTCGACTGGTCTGTCTGGGACTCTAACGCTAACAAGGCATCACCAATTCTCTTCTGTAACTCATCAATGGACATTACCCTGTAGGTACAAACAACACATATACGCTCAAACCTCAATATAAAGAACCCCGGTGTAAGACAATGTTGGTTATAACAAATTAAATAAAAAAGTCATGCAATAAATAGTGTTATGAATATACCTTTGTAACAAACTTTTGGATATAACAAACTCATTTTCTTGTAAGATCCAACTTTGTTATAATGAGGTTTGAGTGTATAGATATACATACGCCATTAGAAATCTCTCTTAAGTCAACACACGTATCAGAATGCTAAAGGGTTGCAATCACACCAGGTGTAGTTGGTAAATAATGATAGGCATAAGCTATACAATGAGAGCTATTTAATTCAAACTTTGTTAATTAGAACTTAGTTAATTTAAACTCACATCCTGGTCGTGGTACTTATATGGGGCAAACTTCCTGATAATTCGAACATGTCTGTATCTGCAACAATCAATTCGAACCGGGAGCCCCTGGCTTTTGTAGCCCCTCGCAGGTGTCGGCCCACAGTGATCACAATGTGTTGCAAAACCAAACTAAACCACATTTACCAGAGATGCAAAACAATGAAACAGCGCCATTTCTCTGCAGATGAGAATTCAGACACTCCACTGGAGCTCTTGCGCAAGCTGCAAAACAATGCCGATAGATTCATGACAGAAGAAATACAAGCAAAGGTAAATTACCGATTACTTTTACTTTTGATCGCGTTAACTCTGCCATGTAAATAAACATGTTTGGTAGCATTGATAGCCTCATACTTTGACACTAAGCTGACTGCTCTCATTAAGGCATAAGTACTTGTTTCTGGCATATCACTGACTGGTCAATTAATTCTATTCTCTGTTAAAACTCCCCAAACATAATTTACAAAATCATTTGCCACAAATGAGTAGTAGCACATAGTTTGTGATAATGAGCCCAGAGGTGGCTTCTTTGGGAACTGTCTGGTAAGTGTGACGCGATGCTTGTTCATTCTAGTGCCCACCCGCTAATTCGAACTCCGCTTAATTCAAACAATTTTATAGCCCTCTTTGGGTTTAAATTAATGAGCTTTTACTGCATTAGCTTCTATTAAATCCCACTTTTATGCAGTGCCATCAAGTTACTCATAGAGCCAGCAAAAGAACAATTCAAATTCAAATTGAAGTTCATTACATACAGGATTTGTCTGGAATATAGTAAGAATGATTTTTCCCTGTAAATACATAGCGAAGAATGGGGACGCTATTGTGCTCGTTGGGTGGTGGAGGGTCTAAGCTACCAGCGCACCAGTCGCCAGTCGTTTGCTAGTGTTCAAAAGTGTACAGAGTTCAAGGTGAAACCACCACAATGCTCCTTGTCATCTCGACAATGAATCGTTTAATAGAGTGGCATTGCATGGAGTAGTTATGCATCAAACTGTGAGTGAGACTCATGACATAATCAAGACTGCTTAGGGCAGTAACACCAGGGGTTGATCAAGTGCTTCAGAGTCGCAAAAATAGTTTTGCTAGGGAAGAGAGCAAATTAAACACGAACAACGGTCAGAATGCTGTTTAACGACGAAAATGTCATCCTAATACACTGAACCACACCAACTTCACAGCCGTGGATTTCGTTACCAAACATGGCCTCACACCCCTTTCCCAGCTACACTACAGCCAAGATGTGGTCAGTTCAAACTTTTTATTCATTCCCCAACTCAAAATCGTCACGGAAAAACGGCACCACTGCTCGGCCCAAACCATTCAAATTGTCATAACAAGAGAGCTGAAAAGCATGCCAGTTTCTACATTCCAGGAAGCCTTCAGTAATTGACAGTATCCCTGGAAATGCTGTGTTGACACAGAATGGGCATATTATGAAAGCTATGAAGTCAATGTGTCCAAACTATCAATTTCTTTTTCTAAAAGAATTCACTCCCACTACTCCCCGGAAAAAGCCATGCAAAACAGATGTTACACCTCCGTCCTTTTCTACACATAAGGAGGGAGGTTGTGTGGTTTATCCACGGTCAACATATATATAGAAAAAGAAAATAGCCAAAGAACAGGCAATATGCACAAATTTTTTTCGCTATCTGCATTGCCATGATGTTGCAGATTTTATCACTGACTGCTCAATCAATCAATCAGTTTATTGAGTAAAATCCATAAAATTGCTGGTTAATAATATACAGGTAGAACCCCAGAGCCCCTTGAAGGGCAGTTGCAGGAGTCCGTTTTTTAACAGTAGCAGTTTGCTGAGCTATAAGGAAAATATTGAGTAGCTACAAGAGCAATGGAATACAATAAATAAATACAACAGTTACATAACAATTCAAATACATATTATTACAACAAATCAGAATGATATTCATGAAATACAGTATAACTGCTATAAGTTTTGTAGATGATCGTGGAGAAATTGCTTATACAGATGAGGTGATGTGGATGCTGGGATGGTACAAGATAACGTGTTCCAAATTTTCGATGCATTATAACAAAATGAGTGTGATCCGTAACTAGTTCTTATGTAGGGTATGCATAATGATGTAGTTGATGTAGAACGTAATGAATATGTGGGCATTTTATATGTCAGAGCTACTGACAGGCATTGAACAACATTATGGAAATAATAATACACGATAGTTTACACAAACCATGATGGGTTGTATGTTCAGTAGCCTATAAGCATACGAAGTTCAGCCTGTTCTTGGTATCAAAAGAAGGGCACGTACTGCTGTGTTCTGTGCTACTACTATAAGGGGTTTCAGTGTTGTCGGGTAGGTTAATCCATAAATTACTACAGCATATATGATGTGTGAATGTATGAAAGAATAGTATAATGTTAGCTTTGTTTTCATTGGGAAAAGGTAGCATAGCCTGTAGAGGGTAGGTATTTTTATGCATATTTTAAGTGTTGTCTCATGTATGTGAGTGTGCCACGAAAGTTGTTCATCCAAGTATACACCAAGAAATTTTGTATAACTAACCCTTTCTAGTACAGTGTTATTCATTTCAAGGCGATTACTTGAGGTTAAGCGAGTGTTCTTGGTGGCAAAGATAATTCAAATTAACATTCTTCTATTTTTGGTCTACAAACGACCCTTTACCTAATGAAGAGATTTTAAAATTTTTAGTTTACCAGTGTTTATAGGGCTAGAAGGAGCAAATATTCATAATGAAATGAAATTGTCTGTTGTAGCAACGTGTCATAGGAACAAAATTTGCATAGGGCTTAATCAAACTTGACCCAAGTGATTGCCATGATTATGTTGCTGTAAGAAGTTGAAGATGAATTCTCTTTTACATACAGTACTTTGTGCAAGCTGTTGTTGCTGATGATGTGTTTCGTGTTAGAAATGTCCTGAACTCTTTATTGATGTTTATTGCTTATTATAAATTTAATAAGGATGAATTGTGATGCAAAAATAACTCCAAAAAGCTTTTTAGAGTAGTAATATGGGTCAATCAGTTAACATAAGGGGATTTTCAAGGAATATCTAGACAAAAAAAAACACAGATATGCTATAAATCTTTTGCTGAACATAAAATAGGTTATCAAACATGTTGAAAACAATAAGTTAATGTAAAAGCATCTTTTTTTGTGAGCATAAACAGTTGTAACTGTACGAGCCGCTTAAGGAAACAAACTGCTGTCACCAATTAATTTTGGTAATATATTCCAAGAGCTAATGAGTGAACTGAACAGAATCCCACATAACAAAGCCAATGCAGTAGCTATAAGATACTGTGTACTGTGAACATTGCCATGGTACTGCGCACAAAATTATACAGATTACACCTTAATAAAATTATGTTTGCCTACTTTTCCAAAACGAATCCGAATGAAAAGAAAAAGTATTACCGTATCAGCTTCAACAACTTGCTGAAATCTTCAGTCTCACACACTGGTGCCTGCAGAAATGTCATGTACACTTCCCTAAACTGAAAGAATAGAAAAGAAAAAGAAAACAAGTGCATCATTGGCTAAGCCTATCATAGTGAATGACTCGTGATTGAAATTCGCAGCAATTCAACCACTTACATGGTTTCCAAGGGAGCAGCTGGGGAGCTTTTTGGCAAAGCTGTACAACACGTGTAGCAAGTGCAGGCTATTTTTGTGGTGGCTGTGCAAATCATTCACCAGTCTACAAATTCTCTGCGAACAGCAAAAGGAGATAATAAACTTCGTCAGGTGCACAGTGAGACCAGAAGAGTTAGTACTCGAGAAGTTCCTTATACCAAAGAGAAACTCAAGAGAAACCGGTAATAAATGGATTCGCAACTCTATAAAATGCTTTATGTGCTGGCAACACTGATGAAAAAAACAAAACAAAGATGACTGTGCCCAACAGGGTCAACGCGGCACTTACGCTTGACGCTTTGCTGAAGTTTCTCGATTGTGGCATCGGATCGCATTGCTTCATTGAAGGTGAAAGGGTGCTGGCCGCAGACTGCATCATTCTCATCGGCATAAAGGATTTCAGTGGTGAAACAGCACGAATAGCTGGGCTATGCGCGTAACTATTCCTCGAGCCTCTTCGAGCAAACCGCATGAGATTCACTTCAAGTTGAAGAGCCTGTCTAACGAGCCCGAGGTGGAAGAAGGCAAATGCTTTCTTTCTTTTTGTTCACCGGTCCATATTATTGCATTTCTAATCAATAAAGTCTTGTGCTTACGAACACGCGCTTGTTCGTGTTCATTCATTCAGAAAACTTTATTTGTGTCCTGAAGCCCGGTCTTTTCAGACCAAGGCGGGCCGCGTCCACGTCCGTACCATCAGGCCGAGCCTTCTAGCGTGATCGTGGACCTTCTGGACTGCCCAATATAGTCTTGATAAGACGCGCTTCGCACCATCCTCTGCCAGTAAAGCCATTGATCTTCGGGGTCGGCGAGAGTAGCGGGAAAGCCTGCCAGCATGTGTCTGATCCCTATGATGCCATCACATGCGTCACACTTGTCTTGAATTTCACTGTCAGGGAGAATTTTATGTAGAAAATACAGAGTGGTGTAAGTTCCGGTTTGCAGTAAACGTAGCGTGACAGCCCTGTTCAATTTGGGTGTGGCAGCGGAAATTGCCTACGCCCCAAGTAATAATGTTTTGTGATGTGGTTGTAAGTGATTAAATTATCTTTATAGCCCCCGGAATGGTAGTGGGTGTCGGATCGGGTCTGACCGGCATGGCAAGCGAGTCCTCGTGCCAGGTCATTCGTCACCTCATTGAGGGTGACTCGAGTTTCGTCCACTAGTCCCATATGCGCAGGAAACCATCAAATTTCAGTATCAATAAGTTGATATTCAAAGCAGATATATGCACACACACTATGCACGCTACAAATGCACGGACAAACATGCATGCATACATGCACAACCTTCGTGCATGCATTTGTGTGCGGGTATATACAAACATTCGAATCAAAATGTTAGGGAGGAAGGATCAAAGCAGCTTTATTTGAGAATGGGCAGCACTACGACTTGCACAGGAAACTAGCGTATGAGGAAAATACACTCACACATTCAACAAATTTCGTAAAGCGCTTGCTTATATACACAAAACTACCCTCCGCACTTATGTACAAATGCTAAATAATGGCTTACTCGTCAAGGACAATTGAGTTCTTGCGAGTGAATTAATTAGAATGAACTGCTGTGCTGTCCATCGCCTTCTTTTCAATGCGCAAGTTTCTGACTTGCACCATTCCCCGTGATGCGTCGTCTGCATCATTCAGGTATAGAGCAACACAACGATACATTGCCATTTTTTCACCGCCATGCCACGCACTGCGGCATACTGCCATGGTCCTTCTTTTTCGGGTTTGCACGTGCAGCATGGCGAGAATAAAGGAACCATGCAGGTGCTTCTCAGCGCACACAACACGGTAAAATATCTCTTTTCAAGGTTGACCCCGTTAGCACCGTTTCCAGGCACGGCCGCTAGGTGGCGAGCGCTCAGTTGGAGTCGCGAATAGCGTGTACTCCTCCAGCAATCATGGCAAAGCTACAGACCTAGTAATTGTGTACTGATTTTCTCACTAACCACCTTTCAATGTCACCTTAACGAAAAATTTGTGCACTTTGTGGTTAGTACTTCAATATATTACAAAACTTCCAAAACAATGTCTTCAAGATCTCCCAACACTCTGTGGGCATAAAGATTGTTTCAGAGGTTGTGTCGAGGAATCGCACAGTCTGATTCATGCGTCACTCCTAACTACTACTACCGGTGGCTTCTTTTTGTTTTGTTATTAGAAACAACTATTTAATGGACCCTTTCAAAGGTTTATTTTTCAACACAGTAATGTGACATTTTGCAAGGATGTTGTTCTGCATATACACAGCTTAAACATAGGCTTCTAGTGTGTTCTGAAATTATTTCAGAGCGGTTTTAAGTGTTTGAAGTGCAGGTGTCCCTAGTACTGTATTTACTTAAATGTAACCAGACTTTTTCTCCGCATTTCTGCGACTTAAAGTTGACCCTGGCATCACAATCGAATAGTGAAATTTAATTTTTTCTTACTGAAAAAAATAGTCACCCCTTGTATTACAATCATGGTAGCTTTACAATAAAGCAAACACGGTGAGCTCTCTTTTTGCGTATCTTCCCAAGATCACTTCCACCCCTAACAGCACTTCTGCCATATAGCACCGTGCTTGTTTGCCACAAAGGGCCATCTGTTTTACTGAAATTGAAGAGAGTCAACAAAACATCACTAACCTTAGCCGCTTTTTCCGAAGAAGGCTTCTGCTCCATCAAATACCTGAAATAAAAATGATTCAATCTATCAATAGATACCGTACACACAAAATGTGATGGGGTAGCCATTAGTGATATGGAGCAATGCATGCTTTGCAAAAATATACAACAGATTCTCAGTAAACAAAAATCTGTAATATGGAACTGTTCAAATGAGACACTTACTTCTGACAAGATTGGTTTCGTTATTGTATTCAACACCTCTGTTCAACTCTCAGTAAACGGAACTCCTGTCAAACGGAACATGTTTTCCTGGTCCCGTCATATTCCATTTCTTGAGAGTCTATTGTAGAAGCTCTTTACGAGCTTCTTGGAGATGCAAAGGGGTGAGTGGATAATCGTATTTAGGTCAGCTTTCTATTACTGTACAATCAGGAAGAGCTTCTCTGTGGTAATCAGTGAAAGGGTAACACATTGAGGCACCTGTCTCTAGGAGCGAAGCCCCTTAGGCTTGCACCCCGCTGTTGCCGTCGATGCTCCCCGCAGAATCATCGCTCCCTACCCCAGCGTTTTTAGAATCGGGCCAGGTTTGTAGCTCTCAACAGACACTTGCTCTCCGAAATGGACACAACGGCCGACGCAAGAACTAGAGACTCTGGCAGTTCCATCTTGCATCATGCCTCACGCGTTCGCAAATCACCCACGAAGTACGAAGAAGGTGAGCACAGAGAAACGTGCAACACGTTGCAAGCAGCTGCTCCTTGCATGTCTCAGTTCACTGCGGCATGTGCGTCCCCTCCACGATAACCTTCGGAAACGTGCCATTGAGAGGAACAGTGCGCTGCCATATCTGATCCCGCAAGACACAGCAAGAGAAGTAAACTTACACAGCAGAGCCATAAGTTCATGCGTCAACTGCGTGTGCCGACTCACAAGCAGAGCTGCGAAACTATACTGGTTATAAAAACGTTGCCGCACCTTACCGCTCTTCATGAAAGCCAGCAGGGTGATTAGGCGCATAGTTGTTTGCGTCTCATATTTAGGAAGCTTCGCTCATCTGTTGTACTCGATGATTGATTGATATGTGGGGTTTAACGTCCCAAAACCACCATATGATTATGAGAGACACCGTAGTGGAGGGCTCCGGTAATTTCAACCACCTGGGGTTCTTTCACGTGCACCCCAAATCTGAGCACACGGACCTACAACATTTCCACCTCTATCGGAAATGCAGCCGCCGCAGCCGGGATTCGATCCCCGCGACATGTGGGTCAGCAGCCGAGTACCTTAGCCACTAGACCACCGCGGTGGGGCATCTGTTGTACTCGAACACAGATCATTTGCTAGTTTTTATTAGACACAGCCACTACTTCTATAGTTACCCGTTCAGTTTGTACCTATACAACTATTATTCCCGGCATTTTTTTTTTATGCGAACCATTTCTTTGCGTACTGCAGGCACTTTGAGCATCTATCTAGGTATCTATCTAGCCACCAACGTCCATGTCACAATCATGTCACGTACGTCGTCAAACCCTTTCTGCCAGACGTGTGGCCCATACCCATGGCCGGGTATGTGCCACAGTATGCGGGTAAGTGCCACACGTTATTGACAGTTGATTATATTGTTACATAAAATGAGACGGGACGTGACTATTTGGCAGTGTATTTACACCGATAAAATCGGAGCGCAGCACACAGAGCGAGCCAACCGGTCCTCTTCGTCTTCTTCTGAACACAGAATAGTTCACCCTATGTGCGATAGCTACGTAGCATTACCCCCCGGTAGTAAAAGCACCGACTCGGTGCATTTTATAAGTGTTCTTCAGAAGGAGGACGGTATGGTTTCAACCTACTGACATGGACTACGTCACTGAGTGTGTTTGCACACAGGTTAGTCCCGGAGACTGGAATGACCTCATAGGTAACGTCCGTTACCCGTCGTATGATACGGTAAGGTCCCTTGTACGGAGATAGCAGCTTCTCTTACAATCCAACACGACGAACTGGGCACCAGAGAAGAACTAGAGAACCAGGTGAGAAGTCAACGTCGACATGCTTGCTGTCATAGAGAGCCTTCTGGGTTGCTTGTGAAATGAACAGCCTAGAGCGGGCAATCTGACGTGCGTAGTCGGCACGAGCGATAGCATCACGTGCGTATTCGCTCGGCGGAGGTGTAGTAGTCGGTAGTAGGGTGCCCAATGGTAAGGTCGGATTACGGCCATAGAGCATATAAAAAGGTGAATAACCTGCTGTATCATGACGTGATGAATTATAGGCAAACGTCACGTGAGGTAGTGCTAGATCCCAGTCATGGTGGTCAGATGAGACATACATCAAGAGCATGTCCGTGAGAGTGCGATTTAGGCATTTGGTAAGGCCGTTTGTTTGAGGATGGCAGGAAGTGGTCAGTTTGTGTTGCATTGAGGAAGAGCGCAAAAGGTCGTCGAGCACGCGCGACAAAAATGCGCGTCCACGATCGGTGACCCATTGCCGAGGAGCGCCATGATGTAGAATTACATCGTGGAGCAAAAAGTCGGCAACGTCAGTAGCAGTGCTGGTGGGGAGCGCTCTAGTGATGGCAAACCTGGTCGCATGGTCTATAGCAATGGCGACCCACTTGTTCCCAGAGTTTGATTCAGAGAATGGTCCGAGGAGGTCCACACCAACATGGAAGAAAGGTTCGGTAGGGATAGAGATCGGGTGAAGCAGTCCAGCAGGGAGTGCGGCCGGTCGTTTTCGACGTTGGCATTAATCGCAGGAGGCCACGTAGCGTCGAACAGACAGCGCCAGACCACGGCAAAAGAAGCGGCACCGGACGCGGTCGTACGTGTGAGATACGCCTAAGTGGCCGGCAGTTGGTTCGTCGTGAAGCTCATGCAAGACCGCTGAACGGAGATGGTTAGGCACGACTAGAAGTAGCTCAGGGCCATGTGGCTGGACGCTAAGACGGTACAGTGTGCCATTTAGGAGAACGAACATGCGGAGTGACACGTCGTCAGGGTCAGATTCCAGACGGGCAATGAGTGACAGCAAGGAAGGATCACGACGCTGTTCGTCACCAATCTAAAGAAACCTAGACATGGACATGACGCTGGGGCCAGGCTTGCCGACCGATTCATCCGGTTGGTCAACAGGGTAGCACGACAAGCAATCGGCGTCCAGACTTGTAGGCAACTGAATAGGAGTACTCCTGAAGACGCAACGCCCAACGAACAAGTCGTCCAGGAGGGTCCTTCATTGAATAAAGCCAACAGAGGGCGTGATGATCTGTGACGACAAGGAACGGGCGGCCATACAAGTAAGGGCGAAATTTCGAAATCGCCCAGACAAGGGCAAGGCATTCTCATTCTGTTATAGAGTAGTTACGCTCCGACTTTGAAAGGAGACGACTTGCGTATGCAATTACACGATCAGTGTCCCGCTGAGTTCGGGTTAAAACTGTGCCGATGCCGTGACCGCTAACGTCTGTCCGCACTTCTGTAGGAGCATCTGGGTCGAAATGTGCAAGTATCGGTGGTGTCGTTAGAGCGGTGATTAGTTGAGAGAAAGCGTTAGTTTGAAGAGGACCCCAACAAAACGGGAGTCGTGTTTGAGAAGGTCTGTGAGTGGACGTGCGAGTGCCGCAATGTCTTTTATGAACCGGCGAAAGTAAGAGCATAGGCCCACGAAACTGCGAACATCATGGATAGAGCGCGGAACGGGAAAGTTCGTTACTGCGCGTACTTTTGCCGGGTCTGGTCGTACACCGAAAGCGTCAACAAGGTGGCCCAACACAGTAATTTGATGAGGACCGAAGTGGCACTTCGAGGAAGTCAGCTGGAGGCCGGCATGTCGGAATATTGATAGAATGGTCGAAAGGCGTTCAAGGTGAGTGGCGAAGGTGGGTGAGAAGATTATCACGTCATCTAAGTAACACAAGCACATCGCCCATTTAAATCCTTGAAGCAGAGTGTCCATCATTCTCTCGAAGGTTGCTGGGGCATTGCAGAGACCAAACGGCCTGACTTTGAATTGGTAAAGGCCGTCGGGGGTAACGAATGTAGTTTTCTCCCAATCCATTTCGTCTACAGCAATTTGCCAGTAGCCAGATCGGAGGTCGAGAGATGAAAAAAAGGTGGCGCCATGAAGACAGTGAAGTGCGTCGTCAATACGTGGAAGAGGATACACGTCTTTCTTGGTTATTTTGTTGAGGTGCCGATAATCAATACAGAAACGCCAGGAACCGTCTTTCTTCTTTACCAAGACCACTGGGGAAAGGGCTTGACGATGGTTCAATGATGTCTTTTGATAGCATGTTGTCCCCTTCCTTCTGAATCACTGCTCGTTCTGATGCGGACACGCGGTAAGGCCGACGGTGGATGGGCGCAGAGTCACCAGTGTTGATTCGGTGCTTGACAATATTAGTCTGGCCCAAGGGACGATCACAGATATCGAAAATGTCACCGTAGGAGGCAAAAACGTGGCAGAGAGTGTCGGCCTGATCAGGCGAAAGGTCTGGTCCAATCATATTTCGAAAGATGGCCTCGGCAGAACCGGGTAACCATGAGACTTCGGCTTGGTACAGAACAGTTACAGCGACAACATTTATGTTATGATCTCTTATGGCAGTGAGTTGAGCAAGTGACATCTGGTAGGGAAACACTTGAGGAATGAGGCCGAAATTTAGGAGCGGAAGAAACACACAGTTTTCCACTATGGTGGCGATGGTATGCGGCACTGTAACATTGCGCGTCAGTCGTGCGTCTGTTATCGGTGTAACGATGTAGTCTCCGTCGGGAACTAAAAGGATCGATGACAGACAGACGTATGTTACAGCTCGAGGCGGCAAGCGAACAAAAGTGGTTGGACACAAGCGGCTGACGAGCTTTTCACAGGCATCAGAGAGCAGGGGAAGGTCGAGGCTGAGCGTGCCAGAAGAATAGTCAATTAAAGCCGAGTGTGCCGAGAGGAAATCAAGGCCTAGTATGAGGTCACGGGGACAACGATCTAGAACGGCAAAAAGGACCACGGCGTGACGACCAGCAATGTTGATACGAGCAGTGCACACTCCGACGACTTCTACAGCGCCGCCATCGGCAACACGTATGGCTTGAGTTGTAGAGGGCGTCATGATCTTCCGCAAACGGCGGCGTAGATGTGCACTCGTAATATATAGGAGGGCGCCTGTGTCAACAAGGGCAGTAACAAGAACATTGTCGACTTTTACTTCAATGAGACTGTGGTGTGTGGGCAGCGTCAGTAGAGGGTTTCCGGGTGTCGTTGGTATTGCAGCTTCACCTCCATAAGCTGCAATATCTAGTTTTCCTGCTGCAATCGTCCGGAGAAGCTTGGCGAGGAAAAGCTCCAAGGCAGCGGAGAGCAAGATTGACGGCGTAGCGGCGACAGAGAGCGGGAGTAGTGGTGACCGGACTGGAGAGAGGCTCGTGAGGAGGCGGCGAGTAAAAGTTGGACGGTGTAGTGGCTGGACGTCCAGAAGTGGTAGGGTGCATATAAGTAGGGTAGCTCTGAGGTGGTGGGTTGGACCAGCGGCGACGGCAATAACGAGAAATGTGTCCAGGTTGACGACAGAAAAAGCAGATAGGCTGGTTGTCAGGGGTTCGCCATTGCGCAGGGTTCCGGAAGGACAATGATGGAGGAGATCGGCGAGCGTTATCCGAGTGGTATGGGCGTATTTCAGGGTGAGTCACGGGACACGCTGACGGAAGACCGAGATTAGCGAACTCCTGCCTTACCAGAGCTTGAATTAAGGCTATCGATGGGTATGATGGGTCCGTGGCTTGAGTTGTAAAAACAGGCTATTGAATGGGAGCTGGACAGGCAGCTTCAAGCTCCAGACGAACTATTCGGGTGACGTGGTCATACGTGGGTGGTTGGCAAGCGGCTTCACACGATAAAGTTGCGGCCGTGTTGGACAGTCGTGTGAATCTCTGTGTAATACAGAGCGGCTCTTGGCGTGTTCAAACCGCCGGCACTCTTTGATGATTTCGTCGATGGTGGTGACGTTCGTGTACACAAGCAGGTCGAAGGCATCGTCGGCGATGCTTTTAAGCACATTCGATACCTTCTCAGGCTCGGGCATGTGTTCGTCAACCTGGCGACAAAGGGCGATGACGTCGTGAATATACGCGACGTAGGATTCGGTAGACGTCTGTGCCCGAGTAGCCAACTGATTTCGCGCAGTTATCTGTCGTGCAGCGGTGTTCCCAAAAAGGTCACGGATCTTCTCCTTGAAAGTGTCCCAGCTGGTAATGTCTGCTTCGTGCGTCTCGAACCACACCCGCGGAGGGCCATCAAGGTAAAAAGCACGTTGGCAAGCATGAGTGTTGCGTCCCACCTAAAGCTGGCGCTGATCCGTCCGTACACGTTGAGCCACTTGTCAATGTCAAGGCCATCCTGCCCGGAAAATACACCAGGATCGCAAGCAGGAGGTAGGACAACGTAGGTAGGAGTCACAGAAGAGGCGGGTGGTGAAGACGATGTACCTTGAACCTGTGACATGGCAGGACCCGTGATGATGCGGCCACTGCGGAGCTTCGTAATGGGTACAAGGAAGGACCAGCACGTCCACCACAAATATGTTACGTAAAATGAGACGGGACGGGACTATTTGGCAGTGTATTTACACCGATAAAATTGGAGCGCAGCACAGAGAGCGAGCAAACCAGTCCTCTTCATCGTCTTCTGATCACAGAATGGTTCACCCTTCGTACGATAGCTACCTAGCACTATTAACCCAGAAATGGCGAGAACAGACATGCGTAATTCCAACGTGTGATTGTTAAGAAAAAGCCCACATCGGCAGCACTGACCCGACGAATGCGAAAAATAAATGTCGGGTTCCCAGCTGGAATTGAACCCCAGCATTCTGCGTGGCAATAAAATATTCTGAGCAACACCAGGTCTTGGAACAACTTTTCAAATAGCCCTAATGTTTGTGAAACCTCAATTGTGATTGCAGTGCTGGCTATCCAATTTAATAAACATTACATATGTGCTTAAATAACACAGCCATCACGTTGGGTTAATGTCGACTGTAGTTAAACACCATTCGCTGAAGTTGATTTATGCAGCAGTGTCCAGGAATACCATCCTCACGAACAGCAGGGCCTTACCGCTTCTGGTGTTGCTAATATCCATGTTGCTGTTGGCATTATTACACAATTGTAAGCAAGTGGTTGTATAACAGATATGCGGCTATTTAACTCGTGTCTGCACATGCATTTATACACATTTTAGCGCCACTTCGTAACGTTTCTCTGAATAAAAAAATTACAACAGTCACCTTCCCTCCACATGCTTCACATAACACCGATTCCCAAGGCACTTGGGATTTGCCGATTTTCTTTTGCTGCTGTCAAGCTGTGTAGTCAACATATTGTATTGACTGCTCACTGTATTGCACATAACTGCTGCTCATCTCACTAATGTATACACGTATATGCCCTGAGGACAAAATAACTAAGTAAAATTAAATATGAAACTAATTAATGGTAGAAGCCGCAAAACCCTACGAATCCTTATTTGTATTCTATACTTTAAACACAGCATGCATTTATGAGACAAATAGAGGTGCAAAAAAAACGTTCCAAATCCTGGCAATGCTTTTTAGTCCACTTTCATTTTCTTCTATATCCTACTTCACTTCAATTAAAAATTACAAATAATGTCCTGCATGGTTTCATTGCCTTTGTTATCTGTTGGCTTTGTACGATTATCCCTACAATAGTCACAGACATAAGGCCAAACGTAAGGAAGCAGCCATTCCATGGTGTCTACAACGTTGACATTTCAAAATTCCCAGAGTTTTCCAGGTTTTCCTCGAGTGATTTTGCTGAAATTCCCTGAGTGAAAAAAACAGTGGCGTCGTCTCCGCTTGTCGTGTCATCCAATGCTCATAAGTGGTAGCACACCATGATCAGGTCCGTGATTAGCTCTGTGTTCAGCTCCGGACATTCGTCGGTGTTGGAGCTAGAATCGCGGAGGCCATGTACAGCACGAAAGCTGTTAGCTGAAGTACTAGCCCCACCTGTACACAGCATAGGGAAGTACTCAAACCGCCTGGCTTGTGAGGCGGTAAAGCCATTTCATACAACGCCGTGCTTCAAAAAAATAATAATAAATCTACACATACCCCCGAAATGCATGCTGATGATGGGGCGAAGCAGTTTGAATCGGATCGTGAATCGCGGCCTTCTTTTTTTTTTTTTAGTCTCGTTATAGTGTCGAGTGGGTGGGAAGGAGTATAGTGTCGAGTGGGTGGGAAGGTTCGCGGCCGTACAACAGAAAGAACGAGAAAAAACCGGTAGTCGCTTGCGTCGCGGTGTTATAAGCGAAGGTAACAAAAGGTAATACAGCGTCCCAGTTAGTGTGGTCGGAGGAGGTGTACATCCTCAGCATGTCGCCAAGTGTGCGGTTGAACCGCTCAGTGAGACCATTCGTCTGTGAATGGTATGCGGTAGATTTCCGGTGGATCATGTTGCATTCAGTGAGGATAGCTTGGATGACCTCTGACAGGAACACTCGACCTCTATCACTAAGTAATTCCCGCGGAGCACCATGGCGTAGAATGAAGCGTGCAACTTTGTGGGCGGTCGCTGCAGTCTCAGCGTAGCGTGCCAGATGATCGACGCCGACAATAATCCACCGGTTTCCAGAGCTACTATATGGGAGGGGGCCATAGTTGGCGCAGCCTTTCGTAGGTTTTCAGGACACCTGCGTGAGCACTTTGGTGATCTGCATGGAAATTCATGCAGATGTCAGAGCGCATATGGGTTGGGACAGCAAGGAGCCACTTCCGACCACCAGGCATGTAGTTGCGGCGCTACAGAATGTTGTCTCGTAAGGAAAAGTGGGCTGCTTGCTGACGTAGCGCTATCGTGGAAGGGACAGCATACGGATTGGTAAGGTAGTCGACTAACAAGGCAAGGCATGGGTCTTTACGCTGCTCCGAAAGCATGTCAGTGGTGTCAAGTGGTGACAAGGTGGTGAAAAGGGGTGACAGAGAAGCCACATCTGGTGTTAATGGCGATTGGGACAGTGCATCGGCGTCTGCATGCTTGCGACCGTGGTGCGTATGCTCCACTACACAAGGAACAATTAAGGCAAAAAGTGTTTGATCGCCATCAAAGCAGGAGAAAGTAGCTAACACAAGCACGGTTGGCATAGGCTGATCTCCGGTAGAAGCAGCAATGCACAGACAACCAAAATTGTAGCACAACATAGTGCAAATGGCACAGCAGGACCTCCGCTGCACAGAGCATGCATATGTTGAGTGCTTGTATCATGACCATATATAGAAAAGAAATATCGCGCAGTACCTCTGGTATGATGGTTGGCTAAGGACATCATTCATATCCATCTGCGACATGCACTGAAGCACATCCTTCAACTCTTCTTGGCGGCAGGAAAGGAGAGAAGAGGGATTGTGGTAAAAGTGTTCAAACATGGCCATCTGAAAAAGCATGAAAAAGTGATGTACAATTCCAAGCAGTGATATATCGCTGCTATACAATCGCAGCAGCACTACTAGATAATCATCTTCAAAAAAAAAAAGAGACCTGCGAGGAGAACTTGCCTTCATCATCTGAAGCAAGTTTGTAAGAGAAAAGTCGTGAAACAACACGACATCCACAATGAACTGGAAGACAGCATGGCCAAGCTTGAAGGAAATGGATGGTTCTAGAAGAACCTGGAAAAGCAATGTACCACAGCATGCTATAATTACTAAACACAAATGATTCACCCAATTGACTAAATTTAATTGTGGTGAGTGATATGAACACCATAAACACTACCTACTTGCACTGAAAACGATTCTATTACTTTTAAAAAATAAGCTAGATTTATGTTTTTCTAAGCTTTACTATCCAGCCCCGCCGCGGTGGTCTAGTGGCCGAGGTACCCGTCTGCTGACCCGCAGGTCGCGAGTTCGAATCCCGGCTGCAGCGGCTGCATTTCCGATGAAGGCGGAAATGTTGAAGGCCCATGTGCTCAGATATGGGTGCACGTGAAAGAACCCCAGGCGGTCGAAATCTCTGGAGCCCTCCACTACGGCATCTCTCATAATCATATAGTGGTTTTGGGACGTTAAACCCCACATATCAATCAATCAAGCTTTACTATCCATTGCACACATTGTTATAAATAATATGCTTATAACTTTTTAATTGTCACCCTTAAAGATCACTAAAACAGTTCTTCAAAATGACATTTAAAAAAGTTTCCCATAATTACAATACTTCGTAAGGGAAAGGAGCATGGCTGTTTGTAATTGACAAATATTCAGTGCCAAAAACAAATCCGAACTGGTCGGTGTCGTACATTCATGGCACCCTCTGCATGTACAAAAATTTGCCACTTCTTCCCCCCCCCCCCCCAACAAGTGCTGACATCCTGTGGAATTCATTTTCTTGCACTGTTCATTCTCACTTTTCATTGCGAGGTTTATAAAGGCTGGCACATTTGTGGAGGCTAACACATTTATGCATGCTTTTCAGTAAGCGTAAGTTTGTCTTACAGGCAGTTTGAAAGTGTTGCACTCGCCAACACTGGTGCTTATCTCTTTTCTCATCTCTCAAAAATAGTGACCACTTGGCACAAGCTCCTTTATTGCCCACCAGGTAAGGTTGGCACTGAATCAGGTGAGCACTGATTGGTATATGCAAACGATACTTTGTATAAGAAAGATGCTACAGATAATCACAAGAATTTGTACCCTTTTGGAGGCAATATCATTAACTGTCACCGGAAGTAGCGTCTCGCTTGATGGGTTTCGTGACAGGCGCAGAACCATAGAGCTTTCTTGAATGCATTCAGATACGCAGGGACGTCGACAGGGGCATGCTCGTGGGTTTCTCTGCTCTGAGTGTGTCAAGCGGCAATGCCTTTGATTTACACTGCTGCTAAAATGCCATATTCAGTGCATGTAAGGTGTTCATACAAGATATCACAAACCAGTTTGAAATCGAAGTTTAATGGAGAGCACAGACTCAAAGTGGGCATGACACAATTTTGAATTCTACACAAGTGAGAGTAATCTGGGACATACATATTCTAAACACACATATTCTGAAGAACTTACTTTCTGATTAATAATCTAAGGTTCCTCCTGGTTTAAGTTTTATCGTGCATGAATAAGGCATGCATCTATACCTATCAAAAATATTTTGTTTTTCATCATATGGTCACCCTACAAAATCACAGGCAATTTTTTTTCTAGAAAAAAGACACTCTGCACATTACAAAACTATAATGAGAAAAAAAATCTACCCTGCGGGAGGGGGGAGGTGCATTTGGCTGAGAAATTCGGTTATGGAAACGTTATGAGTACCGTGGCTAGTGCAGACAGCGTGTTGTATAACAGATTACGCTGCTGTGTGGGTGCATTTCACAGCAGTCAGCGCAGACGGACGTTCACAGCACTGAATTGCTTCAGCTTCTACTCTCCTCATGCTTTCACTGAAACTTTCTCTCTTCACTATCACTTACTCTTGGCTGAGCTTCACATTAGCCCTCTTTAATCCATCTTATTGCCAATAGATTCACTCGGATATGTTGACAGTGAATTGCACAAAAAAGCTTCGGAAGCTGCACCCTAAAAAAAAAAGTCACAGCTTCGCCGCAAAAGCGAAGCAATGAATGCAATATCAACAAATTGTAATGTCACGTGAAGAATGGCAAGCAGATCAAAACATGCCCCGCGTCGCTCACGCAGAAATGACGCACAAAACATACTCACAAGTACAGATGAACGCAAATAAGAGTCTCAGTTGTTACTTCGCTGTGTCTGAATAGCGCGCTCTTTTCGCCAATGGAGACTGTGCAGCGAATGCAGTGACCTTGGTGCATGTGATAACTTCAACAAAATCATTTCAGTGAAAGCCCAAGGTATACGATTTTCCCCATTGCGAGATAAGTGCGCAGATGCGCGAGCGTCCATCCTTCACCCTTCGCGAGCAAAGTAAGCAGGAGATGAGAGCGCGCGCCGCCGTGTTGTGGCGATCTGGCGACGCGCACCCATTGCGCCATCTCGCTGGTAATGCTGAAAACATGATGGTTCCCCCGATGGTTATCACCAGCGGGAAGTGATAGATAAAAATAGCGTGCCGTTTCAAGTATGAAAAAGGTGCTCGATTGTGGCTCAGTGGCTAATGCCACGCTCTCACAAACGAGGTCGAATGTTTGATTCTGTGTGCCGAAGTCTTTTTCTGGATTCTTTTTCTTTCTTGGGTTTCCATATTGTCACGTCGCTCCAGGGGGTGTCGACAAGGTTTATTGACGTCTGAGCAACAGGGCTCTAACCAAGCGCGTCGGTTGGGCTTGTTTGCCAGAGCAGGGGGGGCCCACGCGCACTTCTTTCTTCTCTGTGGTGTGAGCCTTCACCTTGGCATACGACCCACTACTAGAAGTAGGTGGCAATATTCCTCCTCAACAAAAAAAGAAAGAGCATCGTAGCTTAAACAATAAAAAAGGGCACCAATAATCAAATGTTAGACGCGATAAGTTCACCAATGATGAGGCAATTGTCGGAGCACAAATAAAAAAAAACACAGGAAAAGTGGTCTTTTAGGAACGCGCAAAATAAGGCTTCATGCGCACCATGTGAACTATGTCAGAGGTCGGTTGTTTTCGTTGTACCCATCGTGACGACGTAGCGTCCGGAACCACTTCGTAGTTTACGTCGCTCACGCGTCGTAATACTTTATACGGACCGAAGTATCTGCTCAGCAACTTTTCAGAGAGGCCATGGCGTCGAACAGGGGTCCAAACACAAACTTGGTCTCCCGGACTGTAAGATACGTCATTTTGACGCATATTGTAACGTCGTGCATCGACCTGTTGCTGCTGAACAATGTGTAGCCGGGCGAGCTGGCGAGTTTCCTCGGCACGCACTGCAAATTCTTCCGCGTTAGTTGTTAATTGATCGGCGCGTTCACAAGAAAGCATCGCATCCAGCGTCGTCTGAACTTCGCGGCCGTAGAGAAGGCGAAACGGTGTAAATCGGGTTGTTTCTTGAACGGCGGTGTTATAAGCAAACGTCACATAAGGCAAAATGCGATCCCATGCTTTGTGTTGGACGTCGATGTACATGGATATCATGTTTGTGACTGTCTTATTTAGTCGCTCGGTTAAGCCGTTGTTGCTCTGCGGATGGCAAGCAGTCGTCGTTCGATGCCTAGTGCTACTCAGTCGAAAAACTTCATCAATAAGCTGTGCAGTGAACGCTGTTCCTCTGTCGGTTATCACTGTAGGTAGAGCACCGTGGCGCAGAACAATGTGGCACATGAAGAACTGTGCTACCTCAGAAGCCGTGGCTCGTGGTATCGCCTGTGTCTCAGCATGGCGGGTCAAATAGTCAGTTGCAACAATGACCCATTTGTTGCCGTCGGACGATAAAGGAAATGGGCCGAGTATGTCCATGCCGATTTGGTCAAATGGCTTGTGGGGTGGATCAATTGGCTGAAGTAATCCAGCCGGCTTGCTTGGTGATGACTTTCGACGCTGGCATTCACGACAGCTTTTAACGTACTGCTTCATGCTTGCCGAAAGTCCGGGCCAGTAGTACGCCTCACTTACTCTGGCGAGCGTTCGCGAGTAACCTAGATGACCAGATGTGGGCTCGTCATGACACGCCGAGAGGACTTCGTTCCGCATGTCTTTCGGAACGACGAGTAGGTAAGCGCGGCTCGTAGAACGGGCATTTTTTTTGTACAGGACATTATCTCGGAGGCAGAAAGACGTCCCAATGCGAGATAGATGGCGAGGTATAACGGCGCTATGACCCTCCAGATAGTCGATGAGCGGTCGAATCTCTTCATCTTCTCGCTGGCGTCTGCTCAAGTCAGATGAGCTAAGGGCGCCCAGGAAACCGTCATCGTCCTCTTCGTCATGATTGACTAAAGGTATGGGTGCACGCGACAGCGTATCAGCGTCTTCATGCTTCCGTCCAGACTTATATACAATGGTAACATCAAATTCCTGTAGACGCAAGCTCCATCGGGCCAGTCGTCCAGAGAGATCACGAATGTTTACCAACCAGCAGAGGGCATGGTGGTCCGTCACCACTTTAAATGGACGACCATAGAGGTACGGGCGAAACTTGGTGATCGCCCACACTACTGCGAGACACTCTTTCTCTGTGGTTGTGTAATTCACCTCGGTACGGGTCAGTGAGCGGCTGGCATAGGCTATGACTCATTCTTTGCCGTGTTGATGCTGGACGAGCACTGCGCCGAGGCCGATGTTACTGGCGTCAGTGTGCACCTCTGTGTCAGCATCATCGTCAAAATGCGCAAGAACAGGGGCTGACTGCATCCGCTGTCGTAGCTCGGCAAAAGCAGCCTGTTGTTCGGTCGCCCATACAAACGGTGTGTCGTCGCGTGTAAGGCGAGTCAAGGGTTCCGCTATCTTCGAAAACCCTCTAATAAATCGTCGATAGTAGGCGCACAAGCCCAGAAAGCGCCGAACAGTCTTTTTGTCTGTAGGATGCGGAAACGCGGCTACAGCGGCAAGTTTGTCGGGGTCGGGTCGGACTCCTTTCGCATTGACTACATGGCCAAGGAATTTGAGCTCTTCATAACCAAAGTGACACTTCTGCGGTTTGAGTGTAAGATCTGCTGATTGAATAGCCTGTAGCACACTCCTGAGGCGGTCAAGATGTTGCTGGAAGGTTTCAGAAAAAACGACAACATCATCAAGGTATACGAGACAAGTTTGCCACTTCAGACCAGTAAGCACAGTGTCCATAATTCGTTGGAAGGTTGCGGGCGCTGAGCACAAACCAAAAGAAAGGACTCGAAATTCATACAGGCCATCAGGGGTCACAAAAGCCGTTTTCTCGCGGTCTCGCTTGTCAACCTCAATCTGCCAGTACCCGCTTTTTAAATCCAAAGAGGAAAAATAGTGGGCGCGTCGTAATCTGTCTAACGAGTCGTCGATGCGTGGCAGCGGGTACACGTCCTTTTTAGTCACGCTATTCTGCTTCCAGTAATCGACGCAAAAACGTAGCGTTCCGTCTTTCTTCTTGACTAGGACGACCAGAGAGGACCACGCACTGTTGGAAGGCTCGATGATGCCGTCGTCAAGCATTTCTCGAACTTGCGTACGAATGGCTTCTCGTTCCTTCGCTGACACACGGTAAGGCTGCTGGTGTACCGGGCAGGCATCGTCGTAAGTGACGATTCTGTGCCTAGTGATCGAAGTCTGGCGCACCTTAGAGGAAGCAGCGAAGCATGACTTGAATTCAAGCAAGAGTTTTCGCAGTGCTGTCTGGTTTTCTGGTGTGAGGTTAGAATTAATATCGATATTGTTAAGAGACGTATCGGCGGCCTCCACTGCGTCCGACGAGAAGCAGATGGGAACGGTTCCCAATTCATCTGCAAACGCTAACGAAGTGCCACGGAAAAGGTGTCAGTGTTCGTTGCTGAAATTTGTAACGAGCAGTTGAGATCGGCCATCATGTAGCTGTATGATACTCCTAGCCACACAAACACCTTGAGTCGGCAGGTGTTCAAAATTACTTTCTGCAATCGCTTCACCATTTCGCAATCCACAGCATGTGACGTCGACAATAACACTGGCTCTTGGAGGAAGCGTTATACTTTCAGCAGAAACACGAAGAACGTCGGCACGTTGTTGGTCGTCCTGCTTGTCGATTGCTCGGTCGGCTGAGAAGGTGATGCGATTCTCTTGAAGATCAATGACAGCTCCATACTCCTGCAGGAAGTCAACACCAAAAATAACGTCGCGTGAACATTCACGGAGCACAAGGAAACTTCCTACAAAAGTATAACCGCAGACCCGAACTCTACTCGTGCAGGTTCCAAGCGGAGAGACGGTGTGGCCACCAGCCGTTCGAATCACGGAGCCATGCCAGGGCGTGATTACCTTCTTTAGTAGTCTGGTCGTTTTCCCGCTTAGTATCGAATAGTCAGCCCCGGTATCAACTAAAGCACCTACTGCATAGCCGTCTATGAGCACCAGTATATCCAGAGAAAGCCGCACATATCGCTCAGTCGAATCTACACCCTTTACTGTTAGCGTCGATCGGAGGTCTTCAGCACGTCGACTGCCAGCGACCTCGCCTCCAAGGGTCGCTTGCGTTAGTTTTCTCGGCGGGGACTGGGGGACCGTGCGCCAGCATGGCGCTGTGGCGAAGATGAAAAGCACCTCGGCAACGGTGAGCGCGGCTGCCGTCCAGAAGGCGGTGGCATGCGCTGTTGAGCCAGGTAGTCCTCAATGTCCCGGGGTCACTGGCCATACCAAGGAGGCGCTGAACATACTGGAAAGCCGCGCAGCCCGAGGCGGCGGTATGGACAGTGGCGGTACAAATGGTCCGCTTCACCGCAGTGGAAGCACAAAGGTCGGCGATCAGGAGTGTGCCAAACATCAGATTTCCGAGGCGAAGCACGTCTATCGTCAACGTAGTGTGCTGGTTGTTCCGCAAGATGCACAGGGCTGGCGTAAACGAGGGGTGGGGGCATGCATGTGTTCTCAAAAGTACCGTAGAGGCTGCGCCGACTGAAGTGAAACCGTAGGAGGTGCTTGAACAAACAGCGGGGAAGAGGAAGCTGGGTGCTTCAAGGCTTCCACATAGGTCGCACGGTGGTAGTCAGTCGGGGCGGGTGTGGCGTTATCCAGACTCACAGGGTCACGAAGGGCATGATGCAGCTCGCCCTTGACGGTGCTTGCAATGAAACTCACCGTAGGTAGTGGTGGTGTGGCAGCCTTTTGCAGCTCCTCGCGTACTATACAGCGGATAAGGTCGCGCAGACACTCGGTGCTGCTCCCAAAAGTCGTGAGAACTTGAGCAGTGGACGTGTTCACTTGCCGCTCATACATGGTGGATCGTTGCTGAAGCATCTTTTCCATTGTGACGGCTTCGGACAAAAAATCGGCGACCGTGTTCGGAGGGCTCCGTACAAGGCCAGCGAAAAGCTGCTCCTTAACTCCCCGCATCAGGTGACGCAACTTCTTTTCTTCTGTCATACTCGGATCAACCCGTCGGAACAGGCGCGTCATATCTTCCACATAGGTCATGACAGTTTCATTGGGCATCTGGATGCGGGCCTGGATCGCTCGCTCCGCTCGTTCGTGGCGATCAGCACTTCTGTAAGTATCCAACAGCCGGCGGCGGAATTCGGGCCACGATGTCATCTGTTCCTCATGATTCATGTACCAGGAACGTGCTCCATCCTCCAAATAGAAATACACACGCCGTAGTTTGGCCGCGTCGTTCCAGTCGTTCAAGCAGCCACGCGTTCGAAGTCGACCAACCAGTCCTCGAGGCCTTCGAGCTCGGTGCCATAAAACGGTGTCGGAACCTGTGGACTTTTGAGGGTGTACCGAGTCACCGGGGGGTTTTCCGTACCTGTTAAAGTGGTTTGAACGGACGTGCTCATCATACTGGGGTGAACTGTAGGGTCAGCTTCAGGTGGCAATCCCCTGATCCTGCGGCTTGTCTGATGAACGGGAGTGTTGACTCGCACTGGGCTTGTGGTGCCGCTTCCAGGAGGGGTCTGAAACATCCGTGAGGGGCTACCCCGCACCTCCACCAATTGTCACGTCGCTCCAGGGGGTGTCGACAAGGTTTATTGATGTCTGAGCAACAGGGCTCTAACCAAGCGCGTTGGTTGGGCTTGTTTGCCAGAGCAGGGGGGGCCCACGCGCACTTCTTTCTTCTCTGTGGTGTGAGCCTTCACCTTGGCATACGACCCACTACTAGAAGTAGGTGGCAATATATATAGATAGGTATACATATATGATGAATGACAGTGACGCCGACACTCATATAATTGCTATCGCAATAAAAATCTTTCGTATGTGATCCCCCAATCATGCAGGCAAAATTTTGCAGCACTGCATGCAGCATGGTACCCTGTAATGTCATTCAAATGATTGCATGCCCTCTTATACAACAAGTCTTTACAGATTTAAGCAGTCGCATAGAAGCTCTCATTATAATACCAATGTGCAATGAAAAATCTCTGTTGTCTGCACAATCGACTATCAGCATTGCAAGTTGGGTCATAAAGTAAAATCATGGTACTTCCATCTACAGTGAAAAATGCGAAATAAGCAGCAAGAAAAGCACAAAGATTATGACCTGCAGTGACGGCAATCAAGTCATGCCACAGAGACCAGTTCTAAGGAAAAACCTCAAAACTCACATGCATAGGGAAGAAAAAATAATGACAAAGCCCTTCTGTTTGTTTTTACCCATTCACTGTGGCCAGCAGAAGCTCCATGAACACATGGTCTATGAAAAATTCGATATTATGTAGTGGATATCTCTATAGGTTCACAAAAACCATATAATCAGACACTGTGTTTCCAGTACAAGCAAGATTTCAACTTTTCACAAGTATCATACCTCATGAAGTCTTGCCACCGAGAGTATCCAAGCTACTACTGTCGTTTTAGAAATGGCTCCATGAAAAGTTTAGCATGCCGTGACCATGAAAGCAGCACTGGCTTGACCAACAGCTATTAAGAAAAAAAACGAAAAGACATGAAAAGATGAACACTGCCCACTTTACCTTCTCAAACACTTGACTCAAGTATTCAGTGACGGGCATGGAAAAGAACGTCTCGATGGCCAGGCACGACGAAGCGCTCTGCGGGATCATGTTGTGTATTGCCATAACGGTTGTTGAAACACCAAAGATGAGAACAATAGGTAGCTTCTCTAGGTATTTGCTGAAAAATAAGTAGGTGGGTATTAAAAAAAAAGAGGTGCCACGTTTCACAGATGCTTACAGTAGTCAATAGACAATTGGGAAACAAAGTAAAATCCTTCAAAAATAGTCCCGCTATCCCCGTTGACACTTTACATCTACTTGAAGTTCCTGCTTGCACGAGCAATAGTATTTTATACCGTTAGTACATTAAGATGTGCAAGAAATATACATAACTGCACAGAAAACAACAGGTTGGCCAGCATTCGGTAACAATAAACAAAAAAACATGCTTCTGTTTCTACCAATGGGTATGTTAATATATTACTTGAGAAAACAATGCCTGTGAAAAAAATGATTTAGCAGGTCACTGTTGACCCATCGGTATGGGCAACGTAACAAAAGAGCATTGCAACACGAATGTCTTGGTACCATCTGGTTCAAGATGCAGTCATGTCGCAAATTGATCCTACCATTTTGATACCAATGATATACAACACAAATCAACCATTCCTGGGTCACTGTGGTGCTTTCGTGCGTAACAGACACAAATTAAGTCAATTTTAATCTTGTCAAAGGAATGTCATATTCTACTGGAGATCTCATAAGGTTGCCAACAGTGGGCTGGTTGCCAATTTGCATATAAGACCAGACATCGATTGCCGGTTTATTTGTCATTGCAGTTATTATTATTATTAATATTACTATTATCAGCACCTTATAAGCATAAATTCAACAACTTCAAAGATTATAAATAGTATTTGTCAATCACCAAAACTCTCACGCAATGTTCAACCAATTTTTATCTCGTGCTAAAAAAAAAGCGAACTGATCCCTCTAGTTATACCCATCATTTAACTAGAGCGAGAAATCAGCACCAGCCTTGCTGTGCTCGCATCATGAGTGCAAATTCTCCGCCTGCAGCAAAAATCATCTATGTCCATTCCTAAAGACTACAGATACCAACCTGAGAACAGTTGGCTCAATGCCTTGAACAACATGTGTTAATAATAATTGCTGGGTCTTTAGGTTCCAAATGATGGCATTTACTTTCATGGTAAGAGGTTAGTGGGTTAGATGTGCGTGCATGTACGTGTTGTTCACGTACACGATGTTCACGTCTGACTAGGAAAACAATGTCACCTTACATGACTAGTCAAAGACTGAACATGTGTGTATAAATAAGCCACTTGGCCCCCCCAACCACCCCTTATCAGAGCCGTTTTTTTTTTTTTTTTTTCTAGTGTGAAAAGTGGCAACCCTAAGCTTTCATGTAAAGCCCACAAACGCAAATTGGTTGGAAGCTAACAAAAATGAATATTTTCAAGTCTTCTCAATCCTCCTGGTTTCTAATTTTATTGATACTGTTCAATGTAAGATATCACTAAAGCTATATTTTGAGCAGACGGTAATAATCGGTGCCAGAGTGGGATACCGAGACATTAGTTCATGAAAACAGGAATTTGCAGTTTAGCATGTTGCACACATCCTCAACCCAAATTATTAGGTCAGGTTAAAGTTTTAAAATATTTAAAGCATAAATTTTACAGAGAATGCAAGCTTTCAATAAAAAAATTGTACGTATATAAAGAACAGAACTAGCTCACTGTTGCAAGAAATCAGTACCAGCCCCACTATTTAACATCTTACAAGCAAATAGAAGACAATCCGAGATAATTCATGATTATGCAGCTTTTCACCATGAAAGAAATTCTCACTGACAAAACTAATTTGATTTTCTTACAGAATTTCTGAATACTTACTCTCTACTCAACAATGTTAATGTCATATGCAGAAATGTGGCTGGTGCTTTTCTAATATGGCCTTCAAATGATTGATTGATTGATATGTGGGGTTCAACGTCCCAAAACCACCACATGATTATGAGAGACGCCGTAGTGGAGGGCTCCGGAAATTTAGACCACCTGGGGTTCTTCAGCGTGCACCCAAGTCTGAGCACACGGGCCTACAACATTTCCGCCTCTACCGGAAATGCAGCCGCCGCAGCCGGGATTCGAACCCGCGCCCTGCTGGTCAGCAGCCGAATACCTTAGCCACTAGACCACCGCGGCGGGGCGGCCTTCAAATGGAAACCAAGTTAAAGCATACTACAATAAAGTATCACTTCAACAAACATCAGATACACAAACTATTCAGTTGATTGAACTTCTGTACTTCCCCTGCAGAAGCACCAATAGACCCAACGCTAACGTATTTCAGATACACGAAATATAGTGGAGAGTGCATTTCAGTTCTACGAACATATTTTGCGACACCATCCAATGCCTTTTACGTCATATTCACACTTTCTGTAGCATAGCTGTGGCATCTATCTAGGAGGCCAATATTTTATGCTGATAACTATAGAACCGGATTATAGGCAAATGCCTATTTTGTGCCTTGCATTCCTATCGTGCCATTTTGATATATGAGCATGAATATATGAGCATATGAGGTTAAGAGCTTTTATGGTGTTCTTATAGTGCCTATAAATGCCTATTTAGGGTGTTCATGCCTAAATGCCTATAAGTGCCTATAAATGCCTATTTTCTAAATTAGCGCCTATTTGAGTGCTATTCAAGGCCAAATTTTGTTTTCGAGCGTGGTGTGAAACTGTTATTCCGGTAAAAAAGGCAACATTGATATTTCCAAACACTATAAGGTTCGACGAAGACAAAGCTGACATGCTGCGAGCGATTAGAGGAGGAGCATGAGGAGTGAAAAGACACTATTTCTGCATCCCTAAGTGGAAGCACGTCTCGGCATCTGCAGGAGAAGAAGGAGAGATAATTAAAGATGGGGTAACAAAATAAAAGTGACGTCTATGGCCGAGGACATGGCGACCGTCTTCTACAGACAGCTATTTAGTGCCCTGAAAGAACTGAAGAACCACACTGAAAACCTGAGTGTTGCTGTGGGAAAGGAAGAGCAGGTTTTTCTGGGCAGCTGCGAGTAGCTGGAGAATGAATAAATAACCATGGAGGGCCACTCATGGAATGCTCTAGTTGATTCAGTGGTGGCAAAGATCGCTAAATCGTTGTACTTCATACAGCAAGGCCTGAGACAGGTGCCGGCATGTTTACAATCAACGGTGTATTTAGCATACATTCCCCGTATGCTTGAATACGCTTGTTTTGTACGAGATCCCTTGTCGTATGTCTTTAAGTGACAAACATGAAAAAATACGGAACAGGGCTCCAAGGTTTGTCCTAAGCCATTACTCAAAATGACAGCTGTAAAAATATGAAAAATGAACTAGGATGGGAATTACCATCATTGCGTCTAATTAAACTGCAGTTAAAGCTCCTATGTCACGGTAAAACTCTCATTCCAAAATGAATGTACCTAAACAGTCCTCTTCGCGCAATGGTAATTCCTCTTCGCCTCTTCGCGCAATGGTAAGAATGTCGTATCAGATACAATTTTTCTATTCATTTTTTGTTAGTTTCATGGCACGATGAAATGACTTATAAAGAGAACAAAGTGTATTGTGTCAATGAAGGCGTGTTTTTTTGTAACATTGTAACCCATCTGCTGCAGCGTCTTCGGGTAAAAAATGTGATGTGCATGCGGCTTTTGTTTTGTTTGTAATTTACTTTTTGAGCGTCCCTCTCTAGGTGACAATAAGTTGTAGTTAGACACTAGAAGTTCTTGCGTGCCCAATGAAAGCGTTCTACCACAGTGATTTTTCCAATTTGTTCGCTACGAGCCACCAAAGCATGATGCAAAAAAGCAAGCTTGAATCCCTTGCCTCTCGTCCCATGTAGCCATCGTGAGCCTCTATCCTTCCCTGTTCTCTTTGGTATCGGGTCTGGAGAATCACATGAGACATACGCACCAAGAACAACAATGCGTAAGCAAGGTCACGCGCTCATGATGTGCCCCAGCCTACTTGTGCACGTATGCCATCGATGTTGTGTCGTCTCGGCGTTATTTGTTGTGTATTACCAGTTTCTGTGGGATAGATCAGTCAGTGCATGTACTTTAGGAGAGGCTGGCAAAGATCATGTATTGTGACCGCAATACACCACGTTACTCTGCTGAAACTGCGTTCAGAGACAACACACCAAACACGAGCTAAGCGTTGTCAGGGTTGGCGAAGGAACAATGCAGGAACGATGAACGCAAGCGAAATGGGATAGTAGTAGTAGTATATAGTAATAATAGCAGTGGTAGTATGTGTGGTTTTACGTAAAAAAAACACGATATGAATATGAGGGATGCTGTAGAGGAGATATCCGCAAATTTTGGCCATCTTGTGTTTTTTAAGGTGCACTGACATTGTGCAGTACATGGTCATGTACTTTTTCGTCTCTACTTAGATGCGACTGCCGCGGCCACAATCGAACTTGCGGCATTCGGGCAAGCAGTGGAGCACCCTATAGCGACTAGTCTACCGAGGCGGACGCGCAACGAGGGTCAATTTGTGAATAGCATCTTGAGGCTATTCCCCCCACCCTCCCCAAAACAAAAATAATAACAAGCCGAGATTATGTTTGCGTGCTTTATAATTTTTCTCAGCTTTCATTCATTATACTGATTTTTAAATGGCGGTTCTAAGACAGAGGAAAAAGAAAGACATAGAGACAAAGAGCATTATTTTCCTTTCCTCTTTGTCTTTGTGCTTCCCTTTCAAAATGATATGAAGCAGCTAGCCCAAACCAAAGTACTCCTCATTTATGCTACATAACAGAACACACAAATTGCACATGCCAAGTAAAGTAGTGCTACATGCAATGCCCTTAATGAGGTACCGTTCAAAATGCAGGATATAATCGGGAGGCAGGACATTTTTCATGTTTCCTAGATATAGCTAGCATTTAACGAACTTCTAATGGAGAGCATACGGTATGCGACGCAAGCCCACCAATGTCAACATAAAGGAGCGACATAAAAACAGGACCATTCCTAGCTGTACAGTACGTCACTCTCTAAATATTGAGGTGCCCGGCCGCGAGAAGGGAAAGCCGCATTCATTAGAAATTGAGCATTTTTCTGCAACATGTAATTTTGCAAATATTAATAGGAATGATTCGGAGTGCCCAGAGCATCATTACGCTTGTCAGCTCATACGTAACGCCCAAACCCAGTGCGGGCGTTTTAAGGTGTTCACCGATAGGGGATAAATTGGTCCTATGTGGTTAGACCTAGCATCCCCCTCTTTTGGGGTATCAGTGGTCTGGTTATTTGCTTCTGTGCTGCCCATCCCAGCAACAACGAAACAAAAGACCCAGGAGAGTGTTAATTGAATTGTGGACACTTGACGCATATTTCTAGGCAATAAAACGAAAGACCACATACTTCGAATCACGCGGGAAACGCATGCCAATGTTCAATCGTTAGTACCTTCCTGCTATATTAGACAGTATCATTTTCTTTGCTTCTTGCTGTAGATACAAGTCACTGACGTCGTTTTTTGGGGATATTTAAATTTTTGTAAAAATTTATTGTGCCTATAATTATGATTTTGAGGGCCTAGAATAGTATTTTACCTGCCTGTCTTTGGTGTCTAAAACACTTTTTTAGAGCCTAAAAATCAGACATCTACTAATAACGATGCTTCATACCCTGCAACGAACGTCATCGTGGACAATCAAGAGTCGGCATGGAGTAATTGCGGCTCCAATGGAAAGTGCGCAGCTTGGGTCCACGCGCAAGAAACTGAGCACTAGAGATTCTTCGACTGAGCAGAATGTTCTACTGAAAAAGGTCTATTTGGACACGGCAACTCAATTTGTGACCACTGCAGTCATAAGTGCACAAGTGCCAGCAAAAGATTACTGTATTCTTCAAAACATACTAATTAAGTAGAAATTCAATTCAATTAGGCAGAACTGAAAATGCAAGGGTGCTAACTTTATTTCAGAAATTCGTGTTTTTTTTTTTTCCTTTAGCTACTGATAATACGTTGCAACATTGCTATTTCAGTTCAGTACACTTTCACTTTGAATGAATAAACAAACTTTAAATAAAGTCCGGCAGTTTCCTTCTGACTAGTCAGAGAGCAGAGGGAAGTTGCTCCTTTAACAAGCTTTTTTTTCTGGGGTCCCTTGAAGTTCATTTAAGTGATGTTTCACTTCATGACTTTTTTTTCTATTCAGCAACACAACGCTACACAGTGCGGGCTGTTTTCCCCCATGACATTAACATTTAAATAACTATGCTTTTACACGATCGTGTTATACTCCCTCCCAATGAAAGCGTAAAATGTTACCTGCAAATCAGTATAAAATCCTGCAAGGCCGAAACCTTGAATCCTTCAAAGTCTTCAAGTATGACAACGATTGGATCCTCTTTGCGGATTCCATGAGAGCTTTTCTTCTGTCGCTTGGATGGTGACCCTGGAGTCTGACATCAGGTACAGAGTCATTCAAGAAAACAGTCCACACAACGCAAAATCTTAACAGAAGCTTACCTTGATCACCACTGAATCATGCCATTCTGCTAGCGTGGACATTGTACACACATTCCTTTTGACTTCGACATCTTCAGATCCCGACACCTGCGTACAATGAAACATTGTGTCAAACTGTAAACTCCCGCAATGAAAATCTCTTAAATGAAACTACTACTGAAATGACACAAATGCTGCTAATATGACTAATTTAGTGTCGGAATTTTGCATTCCCGTGCACCTCTCAATGAATAAAACTCCTGTTAAACTAAACACGATTCCTTGGTCCCCTAAGCTTCCGTTTAACAAGAGTCTACTGTACTTGGTAACATAGTTGCATCACAATTAAGCAATGATGTGTACGATGCCACTACAACGATGCACATAAAGAGAGAATGACTGAAGATCGCAGTTTTTCTTTGCCAGAAAAATTTGAGTGAGACCTCTAACAAATGCATGCTACATATAAATACAGGCAGTGCCATTATGAAGGGGAACACCTAACGGGCAAAGACGTAATGACTTTAGACATGTAAACTTAAATTTCGTTTAAAATGTTGCTCTCGTAAAGGGGATAATCCTCTCATACTTCTTTGATTTCAATGCAGAAATGACAATACGAAAATTCCAGAACTTGTACAGTGATCCTAAATGCATCGCTTGGTAAATACATTCATGTAATCAACGCTTTAGTACTGAAATGCAGAAGAAAAACCTGGACCTCTGAGGGGGGCACGAAATACACAGCACACAGGTAAATAGGAGGAGCTCAAAAGACGCGGGCCCCCCTCAGTTATCATGTACCAACACCAACTTGCCCAGATTTTCATTCTACTTGATACTAGAAGTGGGCGCTATCATCGTATGTTTTGTCAGGTGAATTTTCGCTGCAATGAAACACCTCGCCACACCTATCAACCTAGGGACCCCGGATATTGGGAGACAGCAATAAGGCATTTCGTTGCCAGCGATCATAAGAGTGCTTGCAATTCTAGTACATGGGAGTAACTAATTACATGTGTGCAAGGCAAAATATACTATGACTCGCAAAATCTAGTAGACCCTTCCAAAACTTAACACACCTGACCACATTAATATTGTATGACGGCGAAGCTAACGTTGTATGCAAGGCATCGATATTTCACTGCGAGTTCTACATCGAGATGAAAATAACAAGCTGAACAGCAAATAACCAAGTCCATACACAAACATGGCGGCCTCTTCTCAATGTGAGTTAATGGGTTGGTCTCCTCAAGAAAATCTTTACTGCCACTGTCCCTCGTTATTTTCATTTCTGGCAGGGGCTGCTTTTCATTTTGGGGCTGCTTATCAAATTTACAGCCACAGCCCGTTTAATCAGGACTGTTCAGAAATTGGGAGTCTCCCACACAAACAGAGAGTTCACATATATTAATTACCACTATTACTTAGAATCAGAAGCATCAGTCGAATAAGGAGGCAACGGTACATCCTACCCCTCCTAGGCATTTATTGAAATAATAAATCAAATTATATTGATGAATTTCAATCGCAGAATTCTAGTGTCATTATTTTTGCCATAATAGGTTTATTAATAGAGAAGAAAGTGAGAGATTCAATTTTAAATTTCGTGCCAAATACTCCATGTGTTATGTCACAAATTTCGAAATGTATTTCTCATATTTTGGTGGCATTGGCTCAAAAATATTTCCCAAAACTTAGTATGTTAAGTCTGTAGCTCACTCGGAGGACAATGTATATTTTTACCAATCGGGAAGAACTTGGCGTTTTGTGCAGAAATCGCACGGTGGTGTAGCCACCCACACTTTTTCTTAGCCCGTTTTCTCGCTTACCAAGCGTCTTGTGGCAAGCGCGACGATTTCTGAAATGAGAAAGAGTAATTAACTAATACCAGAAAATTCGTTTTTCTGTCTTGGGTCCCCTCAACAGCCCCAACAACAGCCGAGAAGACTATATGCAAATTGTATTTTGGTCCAGATGGGTAATACGCAGCTGGAATGAACCATAACAAAATACGGTATCAAATTTTAACTACCCTCAATACATAGCTAGTTCTGCAATTATCCACTGCCAACCCATTCGCCTTTGTTGCAAATGGGAACTAAACAGAAGCAAGAATGTATTGTCGAGGTATTGTCTGAACTGTGGAGAAGGTATTGGGCCATGGGGCTGCCCATCACAATTCCGAAAGGCAACGAAAGCGCTGTTGCGTTTTCTCAGGGACCCTGGTCAGATTCGCTGTATGGTCAAACGTGAAACCGTAGTGCGTCTGTGCAAACAGTGACTTTTCTCACCTCCTGTGAAACTTTCCTTCCCCTCCCCTCTTCTCCAGAGCAGGGTATCCTACTGAAATCAGCCCTAGTTAACCTCACTGCCTTTTTTCTATTCTTAGTCTCTCTCTCTCTCTCACAGCTTGGCTTTGAATTAGTCGATGTACCTGCATTGTGTCCGTGACGACTTTCTGTATCATGGCAGCAATGGAATTGCAGTCTTTTGCGTGCAGCCTAGCGACCATCGGAGTCACGGAGGAATGCAGCCTCTTCGCCAGTAGGTTGAAGACAGCAGTGTGGTCAGACATGTTGACACCTGAACATGCGAGAGTGATGGAATGATCAATCAAAACCACAGTGGCGAGCAAGAACTAAGTACCTGATTTGTTCGTCACTCATTGCGCAGCACAAGATGAAAGAGGAGGCACAAATATATAACAAAATAATATTGTGCATCCTGATGTCTCTGCATTTCTATGCACTACTGCGAAAGCCAGAGCGTGCGACTCTTCCCACTGGTGAAAGGTAAGCAGAAAAGATGGGGGGGGGGGGGGGGTTCACTTTGTCACAGATCAAAATTCAAGATAGCAGCGAAAGACTATATATGAAGAATGTTCCCCGCCACTTCTAATGAAATGCTTTACTGAATATGCATGCTTTTCTCTTTTCACTGAACTGGAGAAAATCCTCGAGTGGAAATTCATGTGTTATGACAAGACGTAAAAGATGTTCTTCAAATGTTTCGACGATTTATGGCAACTCAGATAGCAACCCTAAAGCACCACACTGTAAAGAACTAAGAAATCGTGCACATAGCTGAAGACTCTCAGAACTTGGGTTCACTGCTGCAGGATTCTGTAGTGGAGAACAGGCTGAAAAAAAATGGTGGGCGGGCAGGGCGGAGGGGGACGAGGTATGTTCAAGATTTTAATGTTCATTATAAAGTTTTCCTACCAAAAAAAAACTACATTTCCATCATAATGCTGTTATGTACTTTGCAAAACAGAATCCATTATTTTTGCTGTGAGTAGTTTAATCACTCGTACTTCCAATTTAAGAATGAGAGGGAGATTATAAAGAAAAATTTTAAAAAGTCCCGCTAGCATTTTTTTGTAAGCTGGAGAGAATTTTCACTTATGGATAGCTTGACAAATACTACTAAGCCACAAGGACAAGTTGCCAGGTAATGCTAGGTGACACGTAAATGTAAAAAAGTTATCCAAGGAATTACAGGTACGTTTCCTTTATCTGCCGGTGTGATAAAAAATTTCCAAAGCAGGTTCCTTCAAGAAGCTTTTCCTGTAATTTCTTCGCAAGAAGTTCTCTCCCTAACAATCAGTGCCAGTCAAAGAGATGCCATATACATAATGCATGCATGGGCATTTTTCAAGTTTAATATGATACCGAGGTACTAAGCAGGCACGGCTGCTTTTATGGACTAATGTTGCACATTCAAAGCACATAAAATCAGTAACAGCCTGGTTCAGACTTTAGTTTTTATGCGTTAATAATTTCTGGTTCTGCAATCTATTATTGCTAGAGGTACATGGTTCTACACGAGAGCTTTCAGCTGAAAATTTACAACTGAAAAAAATAAGGCAACAGGAGGTATTCAGAGATCTGGGCTAACATGTCACGTTGAACCTGCAGGCTGCTGAAGTGTAAGCATAAGCGCAGTCCGCAATCTTTGTGGGTGTGAGCGAGCCAGCAATTCATGCATATATGAAAAGGATTATAAGACGTGTCCCAACCAGGCCACACAATGCTAGCAAGCTCATTCACTATTCCACAGGAAATGTCTCCACTCAAGTAATGAGGTTCAGGGATGATGGCTACATAGAAATGAGACCTAAAAGAAATAGTAATATTGCTTACAGTATTAGCAGACAATTTTAGCACATACCCATCATAAGGGCAGCAACAGGTATATCCAATCTCTTCGACGTCTCAGTCAGGGCAGGATTATGTGATAGAACAAATGACATTACATTGTCGAGAACATCAGTGTGTGCCTCTGTCTGGCACCTCTGTGAAAAAAGACAGCGGACGCTGTAAATAGTGTGCTCAGCTAAGTGCAACAAAGAGCCAAGAAATCTCTGCCCAAGCTCTCTGTACAAATCAACAAAGCTAAACATGTGGCCTTGTGTTGATCACACACTATGCTTCATTTCATGCATCAGGTGCAATACTGTGTAGGCTATGCAAGAAGTTTGGCCAGCAAGGTGCAAGGGTCCACATGTCTCACGCTTCGCTTTTACTGTGGTAAACGTTCATCTGAGCCAAACACAAAACCACGCGTGATGCATGGCGTTAGGCTGCAAATGAAACACCGGACAGCGAAAACGAAGAGACGCTAAGCACTTCACAACAACTTAGTGACAGCTATATACAGTAGACTCTCAGTAAACAAAAAACTGTTACAATGAACTGCTGCTTAAACAGAATGACTGCCTCCAGTATGGTTTGTTTCGTACCTGAATTCTGCACCCTTGTTCCCCTCTCAGTAAACAAACTGCTGTTAAATGGTACACATTAGCCAGGTCCCTTCGTGTTCCACTTAACAAGTGTCTGCTGTAATGGTGTTTGCATCTGAAGCACAAAACACCTTCATTAGTTACCCAGCTTTGAGGCAAAAAGAAATGATATTATAGGCGGTAAAATCACATAACTATTTCTCTTGTGAATGCATCTACTGGAAGAAGTATTGCTGGTCTCCAAACGTTGTGCCTGATCTGTGAAATCAAGTAGGACCTATCAAAGCGTCTCCTGTTGTAGCATTTGAATTTTCTATCACCACATTTAGGAGATGCATTTTTCAAAGCTTGCTTTTGGTGATGATAGCGTAAAGAATATTTTAAGAACACCTAAAGGATTCCATTAGTAGTGATTCATGCTGTGGTGAGCATCATCCTTAGCTATGTATGCTGACAAAACCTAAATAGAAACTAGTGCAAGCACAGAGACCCTTCGAGGTAATGTATGCTGGCTTTGCTTCTGTATTATAGTTTGTATGCACTCACGGGCCAGACTGGAAAACGCCACAAAAGTAGTTCATTAGATTGAGTCACCACGCGGCAGCTCACTGCTGTAATAGAATGAAATTATGCCCTAAATCATTATTTACTTGTTCTTAACACATCCTAGCCATATGGCTTTACTGTAAAACAGTCCACTTGACAACAAAAGTGTCACGGAATCAGAGTACCAGCAGTAATGTTCTTAGTAGTTCTTTTGAGAACCAACTTGTTTCAGGAATATTTCATTTAAACTATTACTGAAGTTTCTTGGGAGACTGCAGCACTCTTAACAGACCGTTAAGCCATAACGGTGCATTAACCATAATGTCAAACATTTAATGCAGAATGAATAAACCACGAACAAGAAAACAAATAACTGTGTAGAGACGTGTAAATCTAGATCCTGCGCTCAATGCAGCTCTGCTACTGTGAAACCTGAGCAAGTGCAGGAGACAAGCCCCCAGCAATTCCCATACATATAGCTCCCTCTGCGTTGTTTACCAAACCGTTGATGACGTGAATGTTTGAGGCAAACATGCGAGGTATCACCAGCATGCATAGAATTTAGGCAGATTCACAAACTGTGTGTGACATGCGTGCTACTTTTCGCTTTACTTTAACCACTGCCTGCTTATTATGGCAGTTTAAATTCATGCCTTGTACAGGGTAAAAAAAGCGCAAGCTAGACGAGACAAATGAAAAAATAACACACCGAACTAGCGCTGCTCGTCCTGTGTGGCATTGTTTCGTTTGTGCTGTTTTTAACCTTTACAATTCATTCGTCTTGTCTAGTTCGTGCTGTTTTTACGTTTTAAAATGTTTGGCCAACTAGCCCACCTAAACGCACTTCCGAGATTCATGGCATCCACAGCACGTTCCGTCTGGCTTTTTTTACCCCTTTAGAGGTAGCAAAGGCACCGGAGAAGCGCCGGTGGGAGGAGCAATTGCGCGCTTGGCGAGGCAGTGGCGCCCTCTTTTCTTGCACGGCGTGGTTGTCACCCGCATGTTTTTGAAACGTTTTTTAGGTCAATTACTTCGGTTACTTCTCGGTAACTTGGGCTAATTATATTATTTTATGCCTTGAACGTTCGTTTTTACCCGGTTTTGAGCACTGAGAACCTTGTTTCAGGCCTGGATTGACTCATCTAAGCGTGACAACGTAAGGCCTACGAATGAACAAGCCGGGACCCTAGAGTTCTACGCACTTAAAAGCCACCGGGAGCAAAGACTGAACCAACCATTGTTCTTACCAGTACTTCACTTTCCAGGTACGCCCAAGTCTCCCGAAATATTCTGTACCTACGACCAATTTCCTGTTCCGTAGACCGCACAGGCTTGTTCGGTTTCGCTTTCCGTGGTAACGAAACAAAGCACGCCTGCATAGCGAAAACACAGGAAGAACAATCAGACATCGGCTCGTTGTAGCAGTTACCAGACACTATTTTAACTATGTCGAGGTGTTACTGCATGTTTCAAGGCTGTATCGTAAGAAACGGACTCCAGAGACACACCATAGTTTGAAACGGAGGAGAGAGAAGAGAACAGGCGAGGATCCTAAACATGAAAAAAGATAATCAGAGGCGAACTAGTTCTCATCCAAAACTTACTTGGGATATGCTTTTCAGGTCCTCCATTGCGAAGCTTGGTTAAAATGTAGTGTGCCTCAAGCGAGATAGAGATGCAGAACACGGAAAATATTGAAAAGCTAGGGCAAATAACGCAGTGCCGGCGTCTGCAAGAAAGAAAAACGCGCCACTTCGGAAACATGCGTTGTTCCTCCGAACAGCTTGGCTTGGCTGCCAACACCAGTGCCACTTCTTTATCTAATGCACGTATTTCAAATTTTTATAATACTCTCTGTTTCTTTAAATTTATTATTTTTTAAATTTTATATTTAGTGTAAAATTTTTGTTTAAGCTTTTTTATTAGTTTTGTGCTTTGTAAAAGTTTTAGATCTCAAAGGCTCTGTTTTTAGCGCTACCACAGAGCACATACCAGTTTGGCGCTACTTCATGAAAATTCGTCATAGCCACCATGTTAGTAATCTTGCGAATCTACATTTGGTCTGACAACCCTGCGTGTGTCGTGCTGTCGTCGGAGAGAACCCCGTTGCTGGCTCTTTTCTCCGGTCAACATGACTGGGTTTTCGCGGAAGGTGCGTGGTGCTCCGTGCTTTGCGCTTCGCGTCAAGTTAAATATTTGTCAGTGGCAGACTTTTCGTCTTTCTACCGATTCCTTACCGTCCAATGTTTCTGCACTGTGCGTTATTTCGCCTGTATTTGTTTAAAACTCGTTTATTTCTTGCTGTATTATTTTCACGTGGCGAAAACTGACGTGTGCCCTCGTTTTGGAGTGTGCCAGGGATAGTTTAATTGGTGTTCTAGCCGAAGCACGAGAACCTAACTTAACTCTTTGTCAGTACGGCTTTAACAGTCGTTTTTATTCGCCTCATTTTGAGCGGTTAATATCTCCAAAGTAGGACCACATGTTGTGTTAGGCCTATCCATGCCGGTATGTCGGTGTGAGCGTTCTGAACCACCTTGCGGTATTCATGCTCGTATTTTCTTTTTTTGGTGAGCTTATTAGTTCACTACGTTGCATTGGCTACAAAAAGCAGCTCTTTTAATCTTGACGTGGTGAGTCTTCAGTGTGTCAAGTCTCTGACTGTCGTTTTTCTCTTCCCTTGCAGCCCATTATCATAGACGGCCAAGGCCACTTACTTGGCCGTCTGTCAGCGTTAGTAGCAAAGACACTGCTTCATGGTAAGCACGTCTTTTACATACGTTTGGCATTCCCGTAATACGTCAAACATGATGATACTTTCACATCCACACGTATGAAAATGATGTGATTATACCCTTAACCATGCATCACCATCTGAGTTCTTTGTCGGCCGTGTCTACGGCCGAAACGTCGTCGCTTGTTGTGCGTTAACTTGCCTGTTTTTGCCCTTTCGTGCAGGCCAGCGGGTGGTGGTCGTGCGATGCGAAGGGATCTGCATATCCGGGAGCTTCTTCAGGAATAAGCGTAAGTATGCTCGGACACTTGAGATAGGCGTGGTGCACGTGCTGCTCAACTAGGGGTAGCCCATCGCTGTTTCGCGGAGATATGCTCTTTCATATGAAATGTCCCTTGGAGGTGTCTTTGGCGGTACCCGATTGGTGCCACAGTAATACTAATTTAAATGACGGAAGCTAAGGTCTTACTTCAGGCCTATGCCTTCTAGCAGCCTCCGTTCGTATTTTTCTTCGGCACCTTTCTCGGATTACACATGCATTAATGGCAGCCCATTACAAAGGTATTCGACACACGCCTGTGTGCTCGAGTTTTTATTGATCGCGATAGTTCACTATCATCGCTGTGCTACCTGAGAGGCAGAGCTACATTTTCTTACCTGAAGTGCCTGTGTTGACATAAACATAATCTATGTTCAGACTACATTTAGGGGTAGGTCGGCGAGTATATAGGCTGTGACACTACTTGAATAGTATCCTTTTGTTTCCTATTGACTGAAGGCATGGCTGTAGAGATGAGGGGCTGTTAGTACTCTGAGGCACCTATCGCTACGAACAGCTTCACTAAGCCTTACTCTAGCTACGTTTTCTCAAAACGTCATTACATGCCTAGCTTGCGTTTTATATTATTTCATCTTGCACTCCATTGCCACATTATTTTAGTTCAGTCTGGTGAATATACTACTGAAGTGCTCCATCACAACCTTATAATAGGAATGCCCCACTAGGGGCACAATAAGTGTTAACTTATTTAAACCCTTGTAACTTGAGTTACCACTGGCGCACTTTGAGGGAAACTGCTAGAAGCACTCACCACTTTTGAGATGTCTAGCCTGGGTAGCTATGGTTCAAGAACAAATGTCTGAAGAACTGCTGGTATTTTTTTACCTGTCATTTCTGTTACTAGTAATATATGTTATGCATTAAAACATATATACACCTCAAAAAGCTACATAGTTGTTTGATAAGGCACTTAACAAGCATGGCCACCCGGGGAATGCACGTCCAGCACATGTAGTGCAGTGGTCGCACCTGCAGCGCTTGTGCACATAATTTAAGGGTGGCATATAGCTGTAACACATTCAATGAAACTTAGCTTGAAATATGCTGTGCTGCTTATTTGCCTATTGCCATTAGCATCATTTTCAAACTAAGCTTCACGTACTCGGCTGCTGACCCGCAGGTCGCGGGATCGAATCCCGGCTGCATTTCTGAAGGAGGCGAAAATGTTGTAGGCCCGTGAGCTCAGATTTGGGTTCACGTTAAAGAACTCCAGGCGGTCAATTTCCGGAGCCCTCTGCTAAGGCGTCTCATAATCATATGGCGGTTTTGGGGCGTTCAACCCCACATATCAAACTATGCTTCACTTTCCCGTGTACTAGCGTCCTGCGAAAGAGACGTTCTGCGGATGTAAGTGCATTAGATTACCTTGATCGTTGGGTTGTTCTTGATGTTTGAAATTTTAGTGTTGTCCAGGTAGTGTTCCTTCAGTGTACTGTTAACACCCATTGAATGACACATTTTAAGCTATGCGGAAGGGAAAGTGGTTGCCTGATCTTGAGTGCTGGTGCTTCTGTACACAATAGATCGGTGTATTGTTTTGTCTAGCACTCTTGCTAGACAATTCTCATCTGTGCTCTTGGTTTTTTTTCTTGCTCCATGCACAGTGAAGTACCTGGACTTTCTGCGCAAGCGGTGCAATGTGAATCCAGCGAGGGGGCCCTACCACTTTAGGGCTCCAAGCAAGATCCTGTGGCGGACTGTGCGTGGCATGCTGCCACACAAGACAAAGCGTGGCTCCCTTGCCCTGGACCGCCTGAAGGTCTTCGAGGGTGTGCCACCACCATACCACCGCATGAAGCGCATGGTGGTGCCATCGGCGCTGCGTGTGCTTCGACTCAACCCAAGGCGCAGGGTGCGATACTTAGCTGCTTTGCTCGATGTGTGTAGTGTATGGCCTCAAGTGATAGATCACCAGAGTTTCACTTAACGGATATGTGGCTCTAAAGAACTTTTTTTACACTCCAGGTAGGTTTTGATTGAACTTGAAAAGTTCATAAATACTTGTTGGCTGATCTCAAATATTCAGTTTTATTTTATATATATATATATATATATATAAAATGAGTAGTTAAGAGATCTCACAAACAGCTACTTTATTTAAGGCCTAATCAGCTAATTGTAACCTATGCAGCAATGTAAAACCCACATAACTTACTTGTGTTTGTAGTTTGTAATTGAGTGTCCCATGCCAAACATTGAAATACTTGCCTGCACCTTGCTACAACATATCTACTGGCAAGAGCAGTTGACAAGTGCTTGTTGAAGAGGTCTGCTCTATGCATGGTTAGTGCAAAAGCCTAGCTCGAGATTCCAGACGCATATAAAAAATCTCCCATAGCTCAATCCATCGCAGCTGCGGCGTGTTTAGGCGAATACGGCAACAGGCTAGATTGACACACTTCACTGCAACAATAGCAATAACCTGTGAATGATGCATCGGATAATAATCCACCCTATGAAGAGAACAAAGGGTAAGGGCTTACTTCTTTAGTCGATTGCCGCTTGCTAGAACAAGACAGAGCATCTCTCAGTCTGCTTGTCAGTCTTGTTACTTGTCCCAATTTCTCACCCCAGAGAGAGTAGATTCCCCCGCCGAGGTAGAGAAGTGCATGCCATGAAAGGCTCTCTGCAGATGGCTTCAATGTTTCTCTCAGAAGGACCAGTTTGTCCTCATAACCGTGCTTTCGTCGGGGAAAATGAAGCATGGGCGCACGTGCTATCCCACTGTATTCTGTGTACTCTTAGCAGCAACACTAACATGAGCTAGCCTTGATTTTTGCCGCATTATAAAGTACAATGGCTGGTTGTATTTTTTCACTGGGTTTGTGTTTTTGTCGTGATGAGCCTCACTTCCTTACCTACATTGAGCCCCCCTTGTGGAGGGCAGTGCAATCAACCTCAAAAGCTGATGTCGTGTGAATCTTGTGGTATAGATAATGTCGGTGGCTTCGTGTAAACTGTTCTTGGGTCTTCCACCCGCAGTACTGCACGCTCGGACGTCTTGGCCACGAAGTCGGCTGGAAGTACCAGAGTGTCATTGAGTCCCTTGAGCTCAAGAGGAAAGCCAAGGCTGCCCTCTACCACAAGGCCAAGAAGTCAGACAGGGTGAGTGTGGAATCTGCTTTCAGTGTCTGTGCATCCTCTCCAAGACTGCACGACTACTTGATTTCGTTATTACCATAACATATTAGCTTGCTACCTAAATTGTAAGCCGTAATGTGTTATGTATTCGAAAGTGATGCCCACAAGTACGATGTTGCTTTTTGCATATTGTATGCAAAGCAGAAACATTGGTATCTTCATCCTATAAAAAACTATTATGAATGTGCAAGTATCTCAAATGCTCGTCAGTGCTTGTAGAGGATGCGTTGAAACTGTTGGATTCCATGATGCTTACATACCTACATTGTTTGATAACCTGATATCAAAACTTTACTGAGAATCCTTTGCCACAGAAACTGGTTTGATATGTGTGAAGCATGGTAGCTGATGTGTTCCTTCTTTCTCCTTGCAGAAACTGCTTGCAAAGGCCAAGGAGCTCTCTGCCAAGCAGGTGGAACCAATGGCGAAGGTCATCAAGAGCTATGGCTATGCTGTGTAGTAATGTGCAAGAATAAAAGAGAATGGGCTATATGAGGTCTCGTATTATTGATGGGTGATCCGCTAATTTTCAGTAAATGCCAGCTGAAGCTGATAAGGAATATCATTTGGAGTGTCAAACTCCTAAAAAACTCATCTAGTGACCCGTCTTGGTTTAAGGGGGCAAACTGACTGGGCTTTGGGACAAAAAAATTCGTTTTTTTTTTTTAATTCGCATATTTGGTTTGTTAGTATTTTTCTCTGCAAATTTTCACTCTAGGAAGTTGTAATTTTTTGTAATGTCATTCTAACTAGAAATTCTTGGTGCTTTTAACATGCAGAGCCTGCAAAAATGGGGAACCAACTTTGAGGCTTTTTATATTTTGCTGGGACTTATGTTAGCAGCTCTACTACGAATTTGAGCACTTTTATTAGGATTGCAAAACATTTGCATCAGATTGTTGCGTTTTGAAGCTGTATGTTTTAGTTTTTCAATTTCCTCATAAAAGTAAATTTGCAACTTCAAATTTCAGGCCTCAATATATCTGCAATTTTTTTTGCAATGGGAGCTTGTATGTGTGTAGAATGCAAGTATGGCAGCAAATTTAGAGCACAAACCTTTTTAAATACTCAAAAATTGTAACAATTCCAACTGCATTTGAAAATCTATTTTGCTGTGAAATAACCAAGGAAGGCCTCCCCCCCAAAAAAAACTTGCACACTTTCAATCTATAGTCATTAGTCTATGTTGGCATATTTTAAATATCACTTTTAAGCACTTTTTCTATGGCGGTCTGAAACCATAGGGGTCGAAACTTAAGTTAGCTCAGGAACACTAATTAAATATATTTGAAATCGGCAGAAAAACTGCATAATCCCGTGCAGTTTGATCAAGATTACTGAAGAAATAAATTTCTAAGACCAGTCTGCCTCCTTAATTTGTTAGGCTGGGGAATTCATTTCATTATTGATGTGCTCAGCTCATGGCTTAGATGAGTACATGTGATGGTAATATAAACTGTGCTCACGATATTTCTACTATCACTATATTTTTACTATCATGTGCTAGCAGTCTTTCAACTTGCACCATCCTGTTCCCGTGGGTAGAGTAGCCAACTGTCCCAAACTGGTTAACCTCCCTGCCTTCTCTGTGCTCTGCAAAGCTATGTTCAGTATGTGCACTATTTCTTAAAAAATTTTGTTCAGAACTGTTGAATCTACTGCTGTTTCCTTCAGTTATGCATTGAAGTATGTTTGCATTATAGCAAATATAGCTTTAGTGGCTGGATTCGTAGCAGCGTAGTGTACCTGTTTCTTTTCCGTAAATCGTTTCCTGCTGGAGGGCTTGGCACGTAGCAAGAGAATGAGCGTTTAATACACAATGATCGTGCTTGTGATGTACTGCTTAGTTTCCCTGTGGCACGAATAGCATATGCACGAAGCAACGTTGCGTCGGCTGCGAGGGGCAACTCGCAGGTGAGACTGAAAGGATGCTTCCTGTGGCTTCACGACTTGTTTCCAGAGGTGTCAAAAAAGGCACTGTGCCGTGCTCCCGACCGGGCTGCAGAAATTAGGTGCCTTTCTCCTCTTCTAACCACCACCAAATTATGCTTCCAGAGGAATTTTCCAAGCACGTGCGAACGCGTGTGGTTGGATGGCCGTTTTTAGAAGTAATATATGGTATGAAAATGCACGTTGAAGGTTCCAACGATGTTGTTGGCCTAGGTGGATAGGCCAATATTTTCATGGTTATACCCTAGCTGTTCAATAAAGGAAGTCGAGACCGGGATGTGGGGTGAGGTGTGCATAGAGGATCCTGTGAAATTAGTTCTCTTTATGCCATCTTCCCGACAAATCTTTCCTAATTGTTTGCTGCCTCATGGTGTGGTACTGTATATGCTTTAGAGAAGTAGCTGTTGGAGAACGTAATCAAAAAGTCGCACTTCTATATTAGATGCGGAGCATCTAATACTCGAGGCTTGTAGTGCGGCGCCGTCCGCAAGCTTCCTCCTCCTTCTTCCACCATCTGTGCATCCCTTCCTCCTCTACACACCGCGCGCGCTTCACTCCTCCACCATCTGTGCACCCTTCCTCCTCTACACACCGCGTGCGCTTCTCCTCTTCACGAACATTCGCTAGCTGTATAATGTAGCGCGCATGCGCCGTCACGCTTCGAGAACATCGGCAGCTGACGCGCTCGCATGCGCCGTCGCGCTTCGAGAACATCGGCAGCTGACGCGCGGGCATGCGCCGTTGCGCTTCTCCCCCTTCTCGAACATTCGACAGCTGACAGTGCATGCGCCGTCGCGCTGTATATATACTCAAGGTCGGCGCTCGCTCGCTCAGTTGCCGCTCGTCGGTTGGTTTGTACGGCGCGTCGACGTCCAAGGTCGCGGTGAAATGAATGCCAACGAATCCACAAACACAATGATCGACGTCCCTTCGACCAGCGCCACCCTTTCGCATACGTGTGTACGTGTTCACTCATTTAACACCCCCTCCTACAACCACGTTAACCAATTTAGCCATCGACCCAAGTAAGTCGCAATTTAACACCCCATTTCACAACCACGTTAACCAATTTAGCCATCGACCCAAGTAAGTCGCACTTTAACACCCCGTTAACCAATTATATGCTCCGCATCCTCCTCAGTGTTCCCCCGAGGGAAGCTGCGGGCAATTTTTTTTCCACGTTTTTTTTTTAATTGTACCCTCACCCCATTGCTCTAGAGCCGCAGAAGTTGCGTCTTTTCCTTTTCTCAACCTCTTACTCTTGAGGTAGAATTTCGTCCACAGTGGCATAAAGCCCCTCGCAGCCGACGCAACATAGCTTCGTGCATATGCCATTCGTGTCAAATTCGTGTTCCGCGACGCGCATTAATGGTCGGATGACATAAATTTTCTAATTATCTGGATGTTCCGGAAAGAACCCGGGACTAATAGATGTTCCGACAAGGACGGCATGGTACTCGATATACTGTACGTATGAAAGTTTTGAAGAACACGTGGTAAATTACTAGACTAGTGTTTGGCGAAAGGCTGTGCGGCCATGCATGTATTAACGCGATAGCGTTAGAGAGCTCGTGTCACAGAAATCCCGCCGTCGGGACCAACAATGTGCACATTGTTTTCGGTGTTCCCGGAGGTGGTCATTTATGCACCTGCCGGTTTGGCCGACATAGATGCACCCACACGTCAGTGGAATCAAGTGAACGACTCCCACTGTGCATGGGACGTAGCGTGTCCTGTGCGCGACAGAGCACGAGGCAAAATTTGCGCAATGTGTATTGACCCGTTTGCAAAGTGTCTGCAATTTTTCCGGTGCTGAAAAAACCACAAGAACGTTGGCGTCTCGAGCAATCTTTTTTAGCCTGTGTGAGACGTCGTGCACGTAAGGTAGTACGACAGGCCGGCTCCGGGAACACCGAAACAATGTGGTACAAGGGCATCTTGGCATTCATTGCCGAGATTGTGGGTGCACCCCCCTCTTTGATCAGTGCTCTATATTGGCAAGGCACAGGGACCAGCTTACCCGAGAAATTATCGAAGCCAAAAAAAAAAAAAATGCACGTGCTAGGAGATAAATGCGTAAGCACTTCTTCGGTTGCTTTATCACAAGCTGAATGTGATTAACTGGCTGGTCATTGAGGCAATATAGCACCCGTCACACGTGCTTTGTTACTGGTGTGTAGATTAGGCTTGCTTTTTACCTTCATGCTCTGTAATCGTCCTTTTTAGACGTATATATTCTTGCCACTCTGTGAAATAAAGTTAGTTGGAAGTCAGCGCTCTTTCTGTCTACCCTGTCCTTTTTCCATTGTTCGCGCGCTGAAACAATCTTGCAAATATGGCTCTTTAACGCATTTCATTCGACAGGTGTCACGACGAAAACGAGCCCGTTCGGTGATTTGTAGGCGCATTTGGGAAGCCTCAAACTCGAAAGAGGCCGGGATAGTGCAGCCATCGCCGCTAAAAACACACAGGAACTTTCAAACAGCGCTAAAAATGGACAACTATGTCCATCCAGCGGAAAACATATGCCTTTCCATAGGCGCTGATCAAGCAAAAAGCAAACGCTGGGTAATTTGCTGCTATCTGTGAGGCATTGTGAGCCTCTTTATAGTCTCCGAGATGCCGAGCGCGCGGCGTGTATCTTGGAGGCCATGCGACTCTTGCTTTAGATTTCGCTATCCCGTTCAACTCTTAAAGGCAATCCCCCCCCTTTTTTTACTCTCTCGGCAATCACGTGATCGATGAGAGTGTAAGATTTCTCTATGGTGTAAGTGGGAGAGGTCATAGCTGGCACCGTTGCAGGGAACGGACGGACGCCGGGAGTATATGTCCGGACAGTCACGCCAAACTCGGGGAAGGTGCTGGTAACCTGAAATAGCACATGTGATAGCCCTGCTACTCCTTGGTCTGCGGGTTTCGAACCGGTTAAGACAATTCACCAGCTATCGTTCAATTAAAAAGCTTCTGGTTTACTGCTACAGCCGCATTGTATGTGCCTGGGTATACATGTACCCACCCCACGGACATAGATGCGTGTAAAAGCGGGTGTATATGTGTATACATGATTCTGAAAGAATTGTGTGTTTGCCAGCGTCCTAGGTCTTTAAGCTTGAGGGTGCCTATGTAATTTCTGGTGCGGATAGATTATTCCTCTGCTTTCTAAAGAGATTGCAGTATCTCACGATATATATCACATTGAGGTTTGTTGCGTCAATCCGTAGCATTTCAGAAAGCTCGTACTCTACAGTGCCGTTGTTAAACGACAAGCAGCTTCCACTTTGTTCTTGCTCATTGGAAGATGAACGTGGAGTACTCCCCGGTCCATGATGTTCTACGCCGTAGCACGGTATCCCTAATAAAAGCAGAAGCTGGCGGGACTGAATCAAAAAGCTGGCTAGTGTTTCCAGTGAATAAAAAGCGAAGAACAGCGTGCGACAAGAAGCTTTGTTACTACAGCCACGCGGAATATTTTGTGGCGACATTTCTCATTGGTCGGCTCGCAACACGATTCAGAAACCGAAAGTTCGACGCCACGCTGTTTACAGCAACAACATCGACATCGTCAAAATGGCCGCGCCCAGTTTGTTCGGATTGTGATCAAAAGTTTCATACAAAAGTGACCACCGAACTCTTGAGGAATCGCAGTAACAAAGTCGGAGAGTTATTCTGTGAACTGGGTAATCAGCAGGAAATGAGGTAAAAGCTTTATTTACCTCCAAGCGATGTCTCTCGCCGAAAAAACCGGTTTTTTTACGGCTGTAAAGGGAGCGGCAAGCAGCGCTGACGAAACCGGTTTTCCGATTTGTGAACTCATCGCTTGACATCGATAAACTAGAGCACAGGTCAAAACCAGTTTTACTGGCTCCTGCAGATCGCGCCTGCGTAGACTGTTATTTCGCAGCGGTGCGTTGCGCTCTACCCCACGCTGATCTTATCAATCGCTCATGGCCGGAGTATTCCCTAATGCGGTTGACCGTCTTTCGGACCGTCGGCCAAGCAGGAAAATACAAACAGCATAGAAAAAACGTATCTCTGCTATATACAGACCGTAGTTTTCCTCTCGCTCCGTCATCCTTGCTGCGAGCGAAGCATAATTGAAAGGGCGCGCGTTCCTTGCGCAGGTCCGGCGAATCGGATGACGAAGGCCCACCGGAACTCTCCGACTACGCGAAAGCTGCGCTGGAGGAGTTTTTGCGAGAAAAAGAGGAGCAAGAAAAGGGGACCGCACCGGAGGAGGACTGGGTTGGTTCTTCTCCAAGAAGTCTTGCTCGGTTTATAGTTTTTTTAAAGTACAGGTGCGATATAACCATTCGATAAACATGCAAGTGCCCTAGGCCAATCAAAATTTAATTCGAGAAAATTCGCATTGTATGACTTGGCGCGAAAAAGAGCAGCAAGACAGTGAAAGAAATTCGGTTTCTTGCCATAGCTTAAAAAACTCGCTACATAATGCGCGTTATAGCGGTATTTCTCTAACATGAATTATGAGATACAACATTTCTTATTCAGCGTGCACCTCATCCAGCGATGAATTCTGAAGAAATGTACGTACGTTAAGATATTATCTTACGTAAAAAAAATAATAAAGCTGATGTCAAAGTGCAATGTCACCCTCGTAAGTGTAAGATTGCAGACATTCCACAACTACACGCTTACATGATTACAGAGTCTCATCCTGCCTAAGTGCTTCCTTTCGTACAGTGCAATTTACAGCACTGCCATCACCATCTGAGTTGTGTTGATTTCCTTTCATGTTAATGTTGACCCAAGCAATTAAGCCAGTTCTGGTACAGTGACGAGACAGCGACGGCTTTGGCCAAGGAAGCATTGCGTGCAGCTGGGCCGGAAGGAGCGTAAGTTGGCATTATGTCTCAAGTTTGTTGTCTTATTTTCATTCTACATGCGCATTGCATGGTTGAATAACATTTTGCCCACAGCTTGACGTAATCTGAATATAAGTTAACACGTGGTCGCAGCTGATGTACCTACACCAGCCATGAGCTGCCGTTTTCTGTTTTTTCAATTAACATGAATTTAAGTCGCCTATATCAAACTAAAGTTCAAAGGTCTCACACCTCTTTCGAGCAAGGATTAGTTTGCTGTGGTATATCTCAGTTGAAGAGATAGTAAAAATAGATTAAAAAGACAGTGTAGTATTATTTGGTCTTTGCATATACATTCAAAGCACATACATGCACACGAAGCTATTTAAGCCTCTTTTTTTTTGAACAGGTATTGCTTCAGATTTTTCATCTGTGTACAGATAAAAAAAACAACAATGTATTTCTTGAGTACAGCAAAAGCTTGTGAAACCTCTATTTCCAGGGCAAACATGACAACTCAATTTAGCTAGTTTTATTAAGATCTTGATATCTTGGTTTGCATATACTGTATTTTCTCACACATAACATGCACATATTGCTTTCACTCTAAAAAAAAACGCACATTCTTGCACCCCCACTTTTATGCACATTTTTCAGTTTTTTTTTTGGTCTGGGTTATATGGGAGAAAATACAGTACATCCAATCTTACTATTATGTTTACCAAAACCATGATATGATTGTGAGACACACTTTTCTGTTTCTGCAAACAAATACAGTACTTACCACATCAGACTTGAGAAGACTAACTTCGTTCACATATATAAGAGGAACTGCTTCTGGCATCCGACTGAGGTAATGCTAAACACTAATTTAGCTTTTCTTAGTGTTAGTCAGTAGCGATTCCTTCCGAGAGACAGTTACGGGGCTCACTTTTTTCTTCATTTAAGAATCACACACCCCCAGTAGCAAGAGCTGTGGTGAAAGTTGGCACATTTAAAGCACTGAATCGGCTGCAGTACAATTAGTAGTAATGGTGGGCTTGGCAGACAAGGTAGCTTCAAGGATTACATCATGCATGGTAATTAGCTAGCTTTCTTTATCTGCTTAAGCATTTGGAGCATTAGCTGTTAAAGGAAGCTTGAAGAGAAAAGATTTTCGTCGCATTAGTAAATTACTTTTGTACTATCCAAAAATCGCCATGTTTGTTGCGAGAATATGCATGTTCAAGAAAATGCTGGTGGTCACCCGAAATTGAAGTCGCCGTGCCAGTTTCTGTGGCACCAAGCACTTTAGTAGCATGTACTAAGGCCTACATAGGTCATCGTTAAACGCTCAGCACATTGTCTTTTTTAGGGAGTCAGAGAATTGACATACAAAGTTTTAGAAAATTTCATTGAGCCAATGTGGCCAAATACAAAAAAATCTCTACATATTCATGACGTGATTGACGACGAGTGGGGTGAAGCTGTCCGCAGCCCGTCCCCGCGGTAATACGAGTGCGTAAGACCAACGAGGAATTAGCAAACGTCACTGCCTCGTCCACCAACGTCTGGAAGCTCAACATTGTTCAGAAGTACAAGGTCAGACCGCCCGAAGTGGACGGACGGACCCTTCGCACCACTCATCATTCACTCCATGGATATGCTGTGACACCATCTTTGTTAACATGAAATGCTATGCAACTGACTACTATGACGGCTGCGACGACAAAAAAAATATTTTGGCAGAAAATTTAAGTGATTTTTTTTATAATGACGCTAGTTTACAGAGTGTAATTTATTAGTCTAATCTAATTTATTGCTTCACTATAGCGTGTATTTAAACGACATTCTATGGGCCAAGTCATGGCATCTTCTCGACATTCAAGAGTGCACATTTTTACAAGCTTCTGAACTTTATGCCTACAAGGCAGTTTAATCTTGCAATAACCGTAATTTATTCTTATAGTGAGAGTTGGATATTGTGCAGAGCACTTTTAGCTTAATTAATTTAATTTGCAAAATCCTGCCTCAGCGCACATCTGGGATCAGAATCTGCGTTTTGGTACTTTCCCACTTCCGAATCTTACCTTGTTTATGTTGCATGTCCGACGTCAGTCATTAGTGTGTCCATGTTTATGCAGTGGCGATCCTCTTCAGTGCGACTGAAAAGCTTCACGAAAATTCTTGTCCCCCGAACTCTTTCATTCTACAAAGAATTTCTTCGTGTCCGTCAACCTTGTATCTTTCATGTACAGTAGACTTCCGATAATTCAAACTCTGATAATTCATACCTTCGATTGATTCAAATGAAATTCGATTTTTTGGTTGGCTCTCTATACTTTCTATGTATTTTCAAGGCTCCTAATTCAAACTCATCATTTGGTTAATTCACACTTTTTGCACTTACATACTGAAATATATCTGCTGCTTTCCCACTACTATTTAAAAATTTGTGTGCTTATATAATCCTGACAGTCTAAAAATTACAAATAACCACCTTGGGCCTTTGAGGAAACAAGCTTTGCTAGTAAACCAATGCTTTAAATGAAGCACACACACGGTAAACTGTGGTGCTTCTCAAGTGGTATAGAGAGGTTTGTGCTGAAGGCACATATAGACAAAAAGCAATTGATAATTCACAATTTCTTTAAAATCTCTGATCAGCAGTAAATGAACAATAAACTTGTGGACCTTATACCTCTGCCTTTTGTTCATTGGGTGCAGTTAGCTTAAAAAATTTTCAAATGTGATAAAATCAATGCCTAATGATAATGCGTGGTGTCACCTAGCACAGATTCATATATATGAGAGCTATAATTCAAATTTCTTAATAATTCAAACAAAACTTAGAGGTACCTTTGAGTTTGAATTAACTAGTCGACTGTGTTGTGTATAAAGCACCTTCAGTCTAAAGTCGGCACCTGTCTCGTCTTCCTCTCACTTTTGACTTGTTTTTATTCTTAGAATCATGTGCCAAGCATACCAATGGCTAACATTTAGAAATATCAAACCAGATTAGTCATCTAGATCCAACATTGTGCTGTATCTGTGTAGCATTTTTCTTTTTTAACGACACGTGATGCATTTTCATTAATTTCTAACTGCATCACTTACAAGGGTACTGAACAAAATGTCTGCCAGCAACCTTTGCAGCCAAATAGAAAGATTGGGTGCTGCAACAATACACACAACCTTTATTTTATGCAGAAACTACAGGGAAATAATGAATTTAATGCATTTGTCACACAGTGCTGTGTCTAGCGGTTGTACTGTGAACAAGAGGAGGTGACGTTTGGCAATTTTATGCACTGCATTATTGTTTGGTGCACTGTAAAATGGCTAGCCAACAATCCCAACAGTCAGCCACATTTCTCAACTCGTTTGTCTCCTAGTACGGTTTCCAACTCGTTTGTCTCCTAGTACGGTTTCCAGAACCACTGCGAATGGCACCAGCATCGAACGCTGCAATCAGTTGGGGCAAAGCCCATGGTGCGAATGTTTATGGGAGTTTGCACCTTCCGAACAGACGTTCTTTTCAGTTCCTGCCATTTTTATTCCACATCCCTTTAAGGCAGGCACATGTATTGCCTTTGTAAGATAGCTAATTGGGCAAATTGGTACATTTTTAGAGAAAATTAAAGTTAACACCGAGAATGCAAGGTAAGTAAAGAGACAGTTCTGTCTTATTTCAATGTTGTGTGTAATTTGTACATTACTTTGCCCCCCCCCCCCCCCCAGATTATGTATGTTTTATGTTTGCTCACCCTAGTCTTATGCTTTTGATGGTGCACACCAGATTGAAGTTCAGGAAGATGGAGGCAAAAAATGATGAAAAAAAAAACATTGGCTCCAGTAATGCTTCTTGTTCAATTATTATATATATATATTTTGCCGGTGATGATGGATCATTACCAACCAGCCCAATTTTCAGTGCTGATTGATCTTTATTGCTTCTAAAACCGTCGAAGGCAGAAGAAACTAAACATACTCTTTTAATGGTGGTGTCATTTCAGGATTGCTTGTATCTCATGTCCGACTCTGTATGCGAAGCTTCGAGAGCTTGGCTGCAAGAACACGCTCAAGCTTCTCGAGTTCGACCGGAGGTTCGAGTGTCACGGGGAAGACTTTGTACACTACGACTACAACGCCCCGCTCGAGATACCTCCGGAGTGGCAGGGAAAGTTCACGGTGGCTGTGCTCGATCCCCCTTTCCTGTCCGAAGAGTGCTTGTCAAAAACTGCACAAACCGTCAAATTCCTTCGCCCCACGTTTATAATTCTGTGCACAGGTGAGGCCCAGTGATTGCTTTTCAAGTTCCGTGCTCTCCTGACTCCATTATGGTTTCTGTTGCCTCAGGTGAACAAGTGAACTAACTGCTCTCCAGTGTATGTAACACGCTTCCCCAGTCCTCCAAGATTTTTTAATTTCTTGATGCAGCTTTTGAAATGAGCACCAGTAGGGGCAAGGTAACGTGTATGAAAGATGTTTATGCGCGACAGTCCTGAGGCCACGTTTTGACATGTAGATTAAGCCTTTGCCATGAAAAATGGTGCACTTCTGTAGAATACACTCAAATTTCATTATAACAAAGTTGCATCTTGCACAAAAATAAGTACGTTATATCTGAAAATTCGTTATAAAGGTTTGCTCATGACACTATAGCTATTTCAAGATTATTTTTAATTTACTTCATAATAGTAGATATTTTGCTATGCCCAGGTTCGTTATAACGAGTTTAAGTGTACATTAAATCAGGGGTCACGAACACTCAGCACGTGCTTGTGGCTGCAGGCTACACCTGCACATGAGTGTCTTCATTCCACTTTTTTGTTTCTTTAATTTGTGACTAAATATCTGGCTTTGCTTAAGCAGACTGGCATCATTTGCTTGCCCGTTGCAATTAATAATGCTTTGTTAGGGCATTCTACACAGATGTAACTTACCTCAAGCTTTTTTTCTTTTTTGCGGGGTACTCTATGCGGTAGAACAAAAGCTCTGTGTATCAGAATCGGCGTCTCCGCCTTAGCTTTTTGCAAATTGGTACCAATATTTTATTTCAATTCTCTGACGTGAAATTCCCTTCAGAAATGACCCATTCATAAAGTATGGGAAAGGCCTAATATCTTTCAGATATTTTGTTCTATTTACCCCTCCCCCCTTGACCTTTGCTGTCCAGGCCCTTGCGGGATAAAATTTCTTGATTGTGTCCCGCTATCTCAGTCGAGTTTGAGGCCTCTACATTAAATGGGCTGGCTTAGAGTGTAATTCGTCAGTACAACAGTTTAGATGGTGGTTCTAAGTAAAATAAGGGTCGTATCAGGCTGGTCAGCTGCATGTGATTCCCAAATGCAGACAGAGCATGAAATACCAATGGTTCTGAGTACAGAAAAATCCAATTTTTTGCTGTTTCAGTACGATGTACTTCTTTGAAGAAATCAGGTAATATCCAGATAATGCATCGCAGGATATTTTCACTTTTCAAGGCCACAGATTTACAGCCAGACCTGCTGCATTCTTTTGTCCACACTATTGAAAATCTAGTATTGTGTTGAGCGTGTAATTACATGAATATAAGTCTGAAAGTAGCCAACTCAAAGGTGTTTAAACACAATGAGTATACATAGTATATCACAAATCAGTTCTATAGAAGCCAGCAAGGAAAAGTAATGATAATGAAAGAGAAAACTGTTAATCTGGACAAAAGATTGCAGGCAATTTCACAAACTGGGACACTCAACACAGCAAGTGAATTCTGTGCAAGCCAACAGTATAGGCAAAGGTTTATGAATTCAAATGCAACGGTGACATCAGATTGTGTTTCAAAATTCACCAGTAGTATTTCGGTGCTCATTAGTGACTTCGAATCATGCTATTGTCACTTTATTAAATTTCCATCCTCTTTGGTTTCAGGTGCAGTGATGGAGCCCTATGCAGAACAGCTCCTTGGCCTCCAGCAATGCAAATTTGAGCCCACACACACGCGAAAGCTTGGCAATGAGTTTAAGTGCTTCGCCAATTACAACATGGATGAATTTTGCAGCTGAAGTGCCGCGACCGATAGCAGCTTTCGCGACTAACCAAAGTATTTTCCTAGTCCTAACAATCACCCGTATTCTTATAACTAATAGAATTGTTTTCTTAGTCTAAGCTATCGCTAGTAGTTTTTTGATTAATCAAAGTATTTTTCCCTAGTCTTTATGTAACCAGTATTTTTTTCGTTGCTGTTTATAAGAACCAGAGGAGACTTACATACATGCCCAAAATAAAGTGAATAAAGAAAGCACTGTCAATAAATGGTATATTGACTTCCAAGATGGTAACTGTAACAATAACCAGTGCCGTAAAACAAATGCCTCGAATAAGCTAGTTTATTTTTCACCTACCTAAAATACTTATAGCTTACATTGCAGTAACTTGACATCGTGTACATATAACACCTCCAAAAGAGTGGCAGGTATTGACAGATTATACATGAGCTTATCTCTGCACAGATGTAGCGCCATTGTAATAGACTAGGACCTACTTGTCCTAGCTTTTCGTCTCAACTTTTAAGGTCTGGTTGTATCTGAAAGAAAGAAAAGGAGAGGCATCATTTTAGTCCCAAGCACACACTTTTTTAATTAATTGCTATTGCGATACATGCACAACACTTTGCGATGTGCTGGCAGCTTTATCTTTAGAAGCTTCTGTGTCGTTTAGCAAGCTAGCGAATTGAGCTTAGAATAACTAGGGGCTGAGCTAGTTGGTACATATTCATGTTGAAAAGACCGGGAGACAACACAAACGTCAACTAACAACTCAAGTTGGTAGTTGGCGTTAGTGTTATCTGGGGTGCCCGTGTTTGCACGATGTGTCCTTTACCATGGAAAGCAAAGTGAGCTAGTTCGTGCTGCATCACGATTTATTGTGGCACGAGCCGTACAGATATATTGCACATTTTTTGGTTCTCATACACTCGGGCTTTCTGTAGCATATAAGCAAGAATTTTAATACAATAGCGTTACCAAGCCTGTTTCACAGAAATTCCGGTGCCAGTGTCGATGTCATTGGTTTAGGCAAAAAATAACCTTGCCTGTGACAGAGAAATCAAGCAAAGATGCAAATAAAATAAATAACAAAAAACTATAGGTTTGAACGACAATCAAACCCAGGCTGTCTGTGTGGCAAGTAGGTGTTCTACCATAGAGCCACGCTAATGCTGGAAACTGCTTCGAAAAAAAAAAAAAAAACACATTGTGTCAATGTCATCATGATACATTTAATATGCGTGGTTTAAGTGTAGAATCGGGCCAGGCATCAAAATATGTGAATTGCATGACGAGTGTGTGTTTCAACAGGTTTACCCATTACAAAGCACTTAGACATATGTAATCATCATCAGCTGCAAAGTATCAACAATGTGAGCTGCTCTATTCTAAGAATAAATTCATTTATTTAAGTAATTGTATACATTAGATAAAGCACTACACTTTTCTAGGTTATTGGTAATCTTTCTATTATATCTCCATTATTCTAAATCTGAACAATAATTTTTAAAACCACTCGCTTCTTGGCCAATTCGCCATAGTGGGTATGCGCCACGATCAATAGGTGAACAAGAGCAGCTGTGTAGGTTCTTGCTTTGCCTTACGAAGAAATGGTGGGCCCTTCGCAAAATTTGCAAAATAAAAAATAATTGCGTAGTGGGCACTAAATAAATGTACTTGCAGAGGGAATTATGGGATGGTTTGAAACGACCAATGTTGCATGCACAGTAGTTCTTTTCTTTAACGCACGGTTGAGGTATGCACTGAGCACTAAAGCAGGCTAGCAGTTGAAAAGGCGATGCACACGAGGCCTGATTACACTATCAGGTTCTAGTTTTGCAGGCAAAGCTACAGTGTCTTCCAAGCTTTCGATGCCATGTATTCATGTGTCATGTTACACTAAAATATGTGTCATCTGTGAATATGTGCGCTCACTCTTTTTTAGATAAACCCCGTGTAGGTAGCCTGTACAAGCTTTGAGCCAACGATTTAATAATGATTTCTTTTTAAGGGAGTGTGCAGATGGGCTCTTTGCCTTTTTTGTAGCCCATTGATTAAAAACAGGTGTATGTGTAGGGTCGGGTGGGGGGTGGTGGAAAAGGTTGCAAAGGTTATGTATAAATTACAGCTTGAAGCTCCTTCTATAATTTGGTTGACGGTGCACACAAAGTGCAACACCTGAAGTGCACTGTACCTGTAGATTCTGAGCAACTGATAGAGTCCAGTCAAGGCTACAAAGATGTTGACACTGAACAAGTTGTAGTTTTTTGGGATGATAACCATGGAGTACCGTGACCAGATGATTCCTGCAAAGTGAAAAAGTGACTTAGCCTTGCTTACGCCGATCAGAGACGCGTGTGCATGCGCTCTGATCAAGCACAAGAGAAGGGTAATTGTTCTCGGGGTTTGTTCATTAAACACAACAATGAAATGAACAGACAATGAAGTGAAGACACGCTCGCACACAGAGGAACACACACCAGTAGCAGCCAGCGCTGTTGACTGCGAGGCGCTCAACTTCTCAGCAGGTCTCGCCAAGTCTCCGATTCCGGCAATCACTAACGCCTGCACACAACGTGAACAGCAAGGCATGAAAGGAATGTAGAAATGAGTACGTCCCTTAAACCAGAACGGCACGACGTCTTGCCCACCACTCACCCATTTGAATGACGGTGCCCAGAAGAAAATTGTTTTGGGGCCTGCATGCAAAATTGAAGAATGAGCAATGTATTGATCAGAGGCTCTATCATTTGATTTCGGCTAGCGATTGACGCGAAAAAAGCGTGCTTTCGCGCGCCATCCTTCAAGGCGCGGGCCTGCGGCTTCGAGTATATTAAAAGCGCGCAGTGCTGCTTTATTTTGGCACATTAGTCATCGAACTACCGGCTACTTTTCACTGCCTTCAGTGAGAAACCGCCGTAGTTTAAATAGGTCTGGGCGGGAGAAGCTGGATACACCGCTCGAAACGACTGCCACGCAAAAAAGGTTCCGCGCGGGACTTCATTTCGAACTCACCTGCCGGATGTTCCCATAGCGGCCGGAGTTTTCCAGGGACAACTCTGTCCCCTGCAGCCACAAGGGCACGATAAAGAGCAGCCATCGCCGCAAAACACGGGCACTGCGGCTCGGCTTTCGATGGGACGAGGAAAACCAAAACTACGACGGGAAATAACAGGAAATACCGCCAGGCGGCGAAAGCGTCGTATGATCGACCTTGCGACTTCTACGGGGTTTTGTCGCAGCAGCCGAAAGCGCCGAAGTCCGAAGCGACCCTAGTCATTCTCGTTTTTATCGGCGCACTGCTGGAGCTTCGGCGATTGGTAAATTTTGTAGTGAGGTGATGCCTGTGTGTTGAAAGTGCTACCCATACTTCAGGAACCATGCACTCTTCAGTGGGAAGAATCGTCTCCGATGTCTTCAGTGGGCACAAGGTAAGCGCGATATGCTCGAAAGCCGACTCTGAGAAAAACTTGTGTCCGTGTTGTTGTTTGTATCTGTACGGCACCCACTTTATCGAGGAAAACTGCGGTACCTCCTGATTTGTTCTACCCACGCTCGCTTTTGGAACGCTGGAGTCTTTTGTATCATGCGGCCGTGGCAGAACACACCCTTGCCCAAAGCCAATGAAGATCGCCGGTGGAACGCTGTGTTCTCGTATTGTGGGTTTTACAAGCACCAGAGTGATACACCTTAGCTGTGCTTGTCATTTCATTTAAGACAGTTGTTAGAGTTGCTGTTGCCCAAGGGCATATTGCGCGCCAAGTTCGAGCTACGGGTCATGGTTGAACAATTTTAAGCTGTTATGGTTTCGTCTTCTTTTGCAGAGGTGCATCTTCGCGGTTATTAGCAAGCGAAATGCCTCCGAAGCTACCTTCCAAACCAAGGTAATGGCACAGAACTTGCTTTCTCCAAGTTGGTGTACCGCCGCATTTTATTTTCTTTTGCTGCTATCTCTATAGTTTCACGTATTGAAGGGGGTTTCAATTCAATCAGCTACAGAAGCTGCGTCAAGTGTGTGACATAGGTAATTGGGAGGGCTTCCAAAGAAGTAACTGAACTCGATCGGGTGGCACGGTATGCGTTCACTGTGGACACTTAAATAGCCGATTTTGGGATCTTTGTGCTTGCCCATGGGCTATAACCTCTGAGAGTTTCTGCTATATTCTCCTTCACTACGCATGAAAAGTCACTGATTAAAGTTGTTTGTGTGCCAATGGTTTTACGAGGTGCATGTCTTAGGGGTTCTCCTCATAAAAATGTTAGCTCCAATCATTATCCTTGTTCAATGGCAACATATTGCTTGTATGCCTTCATCTCCCGCAGAACTGCTGTTTCGTATAAATCATTATTCACGCATGATGCTGTAATTGCAGCCTTTTTTCAAAAAGTCATTGCCTTGTAATGTGTGTTAAGCCAAAAGGATGTAGTAAGCTTCACCCACCTAGCATCAGCATCTCTGGAGCGCGATCAAAACTGTAACTAGTTTAATTCGAGCTTTGCAAAGCTTAGCACTGATTAATTAGAGCTTTGCGAAGCTTAGCTCTGAACAATGCTCAAAGTGTTGTTGTTTTCTAATCAGAAATGCACTTAGTAAACATAGACACAGTACGGAACAAACAAAAAAAAAACAAAAAAAAACTAGACGCATGATGTCAAACATGTTTTTTTTTTTTTAATACTGTGTCTGTGTTTTAAAGTAGTCCACCCTTGGAAGATAAATGAGCATCAACTATACCACCTTGTAGCTCTTCTCAGTGTCCATCTGTTTTTTTTTTTTTTCTCATTGTATGGTAACACATTGTCTTTTCTCATTGTATGGTAACACATTGTCTGTTGTTTACTGAAAGCCATACAAGCTCCACAAGTTGGACAAGGGACCATCGACCGACGTTACCTGCACAAGAGAGGATGGACTGAAGTTTTACAGGCAGATGTTTGCGATTCGTCGTTTGGAAGCGGCGGCAAACAGCTTGTACAAATCTAAAATCATCAGGGGTTTCTGCCACCTGTATTCTGGTCAGGTAATAAAATGTTTCTAAATACGTATATGACAGGTATTCTGAATTACCTTTGCACACGCAGTCAGGGGGTGAACAAGACAAAACATTCAAGCAAGAGCTCTGCAATTGAAGAAAAATGGCTAGCATAACACGAATGTCAAACAAAGATGTCATTGGCTAAAGTCATGATATTGCACTGCAAAGTTGAATTAGATCACAGATAAGGTTTATATCTCTAGCACGGTATTTAAGTTCTTTTTTTTTTTCATTCTGAACAAATTTTGTTATTTCTATTCTAATTACCTTCTATTGATGCACTTGTTTTGTGAATGCTGCAACAGTTGGAGTTGCGCCAGAAGCAAATCATGGGAGCACTGAGCTTTTGAAATTCAAATTTAATAATGCAGTGAAGTATGACTCATCTGTTTACTCTCTTTGTTTGCAAAGGCACTTCGTAGTTGAGTTGGGGATGGTCTTCCTTATAGACATCACATCAACTTTGCTCCTCTTTAATAGTGCAGTGGACAATATGAAAATAGTTTCAAACTTTGTCTAGCTGATAGAATTAAACTTTTTCTGTGTTATTTTTGTTGCTAGAATGCATTTCATCACATACTAGTATTGGTAAATAAGTTGACATTAAAATTGTAATATACCTCTTCAGAGCCTTAGCAACTTAAGTGACATAAATAGCTATTAAATTGCCCTCGTATCAAGAAACTGGCAGGGGCATAGCCAGGAATTTTTTTTGGGAGTTTTCAACCAGCCTTCCTGTATGTTCACATTTGTATGTGCATCTGTATATAAGGTGTTTTTCAGGAATGTGTGCGAAATCCTCAAAAATCAGGGAAATGCAATATTTGTTTGATGCCTTCACAATTACTTCTACTGTAACCATAGGAATCTTAAGATGGCTAAAGGCATCATGTGGGACAGTAATTAAAAAAGTTAGTTATCTTTCTAAGGGGTGTAGTTAAGTGGTTGTGTCAAATAGGAGAATTGAAGTCGCTCTTGCAAAAAACCTATTGCAGCTTTGAGATTTCGATAAAGCACCCTCTAGTAATACTTGTGAAGTGATGAAATTCAATTGATTTCAGCAGCGAAACCGTTACGTGGAAGAGTGCAACTGGCCATATTCTCCTGAGACATCCAGATTGAGTGAGCGTTTAGCCAGATTGAGTGAGCGTTGTTACATAAACGATCAAGAGGCTTCAGTGTGTGGGTTCGCAGGCTGCGCCTTCTGTTATATCACGCATGGCGTTCACGAACATGGAAGAATTACCTCTGTAATCATTGTCTTGGAACTGTGACGTCACTCTGGTCTTCTGTTTGTTGTGTTCATCCGTTTACTGGTTTTGTCTTTAAAGTTTATCGAATTTCATTCCGTCACAACTACTTTAGGCCACTAATGTTATGTTTCAAAGCTGCGGCGGGTTCTTCGCATGACTGGCTTCAGTACTCCGATTTGACATAACTGCCTAATTCTGCCAATTGAAAGGTTAACTAGCATTTTAACTTACTTCATTACTGTCTCAAATGATGTCTTAAGCGATCTTAAAATGCCTGCAGCTATAGAAACAGTTATTGTGAAGGTATAAAAAAAATATTGCATTTTCCAAATTTTTTGTTGATCTTCGGCACATTTCCTGAAGCACCTGGTATACACATGCAATACTGAAAGTGTTTGGGTGAAGGGAGGTGGGACCTTAAACCCCACAACACCCCATACAGCTGATGCCAATAGACATCAGCTGTATTAATGGTTTGCCCCCTTTTTATTACCATGCAAGTATATATATGCCATCATTTGTTGCTTCTATAATCATAAACAAAAAGATCATTATGTGTTTTCAGTCAATGTACAGTCTGTTTCAGTCATAAACACAAAGGTCATTACGTGTTCTTAATTAGTGTACAATCTGTTTCACACTAAGCGGAAAATCTCGGAGCACATGACATTGTGGTATGGCCAGTATTGCAGTCACATGCTGGCAACGCTCACTTAGTACAGATACTTGAAGGGCGTAGTGTTGAGTTGTGTCATCTGTTACTGTGGCTTGCCACTGCAGCACTGGCCTCACCGTGATGTCATGCGCCCCGAGATTTCCCCTACGTGTGAAACTGACAGCACATTAATGTGGCTCTTCTATAACCGCGGACAACATTTCTTGGCAATTAAGGAAAGACCAGGAAGCCTAAGTGGGCATGTTCCACCGCTGCAGACTACAATCTCACAATTGTGCATCTGTGTCCAATGTGAAAATCATAAAAAAAACATAACTTCATTTTCTATGGGGTGTTGTTTTTAAAGAGACATAGCACACACCAAGGAGGCATTCATAGTTTGTTTTACTCTATGCAGTGTCACTTTGCATTTTTGCAAGTGTGAAAACAACGCACATTTTGTGTGCACCTCACAGTCAAAACGGCATCTTCATCTTTTGGTGAGCATTCGTCACCCTCCAGCTCTTTCGATCACTCAGCAAAGGAGCTTGCGACGAATTGCACTCCCAAGTGTCTGTCTAAGCAGACGTAGCAGATTGCATGCGGCATTAATATTATTAGAACACGGCCATAATTTGAAATGGGAGCCAAACCAGACTACTTCGCGGAGGAGTACATACGCAGTAGCTTTGCCGCCGTAGGTTTCCCTTTATTGCCAAAAAAAAAGTTGCCCACGGGTATAGGCAAAGCGAAATCTCAACATCTAATAATGCTTGAGAGGATTTGCCTTTTCTTTTTTCCTGTTTCTACTGGGCATTGACTTGCCCTAAAATTGGTGACTGTTCCTTAGATATGTGGGGTTTTGGGCCACAACATAGTTTTGAATGGGTTCACACAGGAATGCATCTGGTTGATAATTAGTAACTTTAGCAGCCAGTGGAATTTACACCATTAAGGCACACGAGCGTGTACCAATGTTCGTGCTCCCTGGTCTGATGACATTACCAGATGAGAACATTTCTGCAGAGACTAGTGCACTGTTCCTCTTGAGAGGGGGTGGGAATCAAATGTTTGACACAACGTCCCCCTTTCTGTTTAGTCAACGTATGGGGCCAATTTCGTGCCCTCCTCTCTTAGGTTACTAAAGGGGGGAGTTAACTGCCCCTTCACACTCTGCAGCCATAGAGGCACTCTACTACTGTTGTTTAATCATTTGGGCAGGGCCTTCGCTTCCTTCATAAGTTCTTTTCTGGTGATAATACTCATGAACATTGTGGGAATTCTGTAAGCCCTGAAACATGCACAGATGTGCATTTATTTTTGTCTTGTTTTAAACACAGTGACAAGAATGCGATGTAGTGTGCTTTCGTAGCTTCAGTCTCACTGTTTTGTAGGAAGCCTGTGCAGTGGGCATGGAGGCAGTCCTCGAGAAGGGTGACAGTGTCATAACAGCGTACCGCGCTCACGGCTGGGCTTACCTGCGAGGCGTGAGCACACCCGGGGTTCTCTGCGAACTAACTGGTGAGCCTGAACATATTCATGTTTTGTGTACTTTTTAACCAAAGAGCTTCCTACTTGTCAGTCCCTATGCACAAGTTTTATAATGGGCACGAAGGAGTGAATATTAGGCTTGTGCGAATATTCGAATGCTCCGAATATTCGAATGTATAGTTGAGTATTCGAATTCGCTTCGATTCGAATTTAAATTATCGAATATGATGTATTCGCAATGAACGAATAGGTGTATATTAATCCGCTTGTTATTGCTTGTAAAGGTGGTTTCACTGCAATGTAAGGGTGCCAAGCAGTGAAAATATCTATCCAGGGAAAATTTGCTTTGCCGCGAAGCTTTTCTTCAATTTTAAAGGGGCCCTGCAACACTTACTGTGTTCAGAAAACGCTGCCAATGGGTAGTTGAGGCTACCGAGAATACGCAAGGCAAATATTGTAGCGCAGCACGCGGCCTGTAATTCACAATAAATTTTCAAAGCAAAAGTTGCTTTCTTCTCTCAGCAAATGACACTACAAGCTCAAAAATCACTTGTCACAACCTATTAGGAATATACAGCTCTGGTCACAGCCATTGGCTGATTTGAGCATGGCGTTCTCGTCCTTACCGGGGCCTTCGCTCGTCCACGAGTATGTGCGCAATTGTAGCGAACAGCCATGTATTCGAGAAAAAAAAAAAAGGTGCTCAAGGTCGCGAGGTGCGTGTGACATTTTTTTTCGCCATGCCATTCCTCTTGCTTAGCTTCCAGCTGTTTCGTCAGGTTGAGAAGAACGAATCTAATTGCAACATGCAACAAGTTTTTGAAACTCCGCTCGTACTGGACTGATTCTAGAAACTTGCGGCAGTAAATTTGTGAGGCAACAAGCATGTTTACTGGCTCCATGGCTACTTGAAAAAGTGTTGCAGGGCCCCTTTAAGGGAACATGCTACCCTCAAATAAATTCTTCATTTTATAAATAAAGCTTGTTATGACGGCTTATATGATCCAAGTAAAATAAATTTTAAATCATTAGGTATCTTTCAGGTTATCACTCGCATCCTACCGAAACTAGTACTCAAGGTTGTTTCGACTTCCTTTAAACGAAAAAAATAAATGGCATTTGCATAGAGCCCCTATTTCAATTTCAAAAAAAAATATTGTGCAGGTTAGTTGAGTCATGATAAATATTCCCTATTTTTTTTTATATGTTATACATACCATTTGAATTCTATTCAAAATTATTCGATCAAAATCACTATTCGCTTCAAATGGGCTTCGAACTGAAAATTCACTATTCACACAAGCCTAGTGAGTATGCACCCAAATATCCAGCAGTTCCTTACTTTGTTGACACTGGCTATTTGTATATTATAAGAAAAATAAAACGGACAGTTGATTGCACAGCAGTCTTATGCAGAAAAAAATAAAGAATGCAACTTTTTCGTAATGTTATGCGCCAACACAAACTTCTGAACTTGCTCAAGCCTCAAAAGCATCAGATATCACCATGCTTTGACTAACATTCTTTCTTATGTTACAGGCATCCTTCAGTATTCTCTGGTAGTTTGTTTATGCATGTGCTCAGACTCCTGTGCTTGCTGGGATCTGGCATAGCTAACGACTACACCTAATGAACATGCTATAGTGGCAAAACTTTTTTTCTAAATACCATAAGCACTTGTTAGAATTGCCAGCAGCGTTTGGTGTTAACCTTTTCTCTCCTGTTGACAATCATAGTCATAAGATTTTGTACCAAAATGATCGATAAAAACAATACTTGTCGCCAACAAAAATTGGTCCAACATGAAACCAATGACAACAACACTTGTCTTTGTTGTGTTTCTGGAAGTGACATGGCCACACTTGTTCATGCTTGGCTCTCATCTTATAGCCATCTTTCATTGTATTGCCATGCAGTGAAGCCACCTTCTATGTGTCCTTATTTATGCAATTAGTGAAATAAAGTAACGCCAATGAATTTATATAATGGTACTGATTTATTCAGAAAAACAAACTGCTACGAATATAGCCAAAAAAATTGTTTGAGTAAGTTTCGTACAATTTTCTTTTTTTTTATGATAGTGAGAGGGTTACGTCTTTGGACTTTTGTGTAAACATTGTTTTCTATTTCTGGGTTAATGGCTATATTTTGCATGCGCTGTTAGCATTTTTTTTACATCTTACATTACATTAGCTCATTGTTTTGGTCTGTGATTCCTTCTGCAGTGTATCTATTCTTGCATTGCTTAGTTTACTTGTATGCTTACCAGTGAATGTGCTGTAATAGCTCTGCAGAGACATAGTGTCCTCATTCTCCTTTGGTTCTTGATTAAGCTAACCTAGTAACTGTGCAATGTGTGAGATTCTCAATATAAATCTTGTTATTATGGTTCTAAGAATCTTGAAGATTATTTACCCCTCGTTCATTCCTTATACATGGCACATGGTTCATTCCATCAGTACATAGTAGATGGATGGGCAAACGCTGCCAGTAATTGGATGCACTTGAAATATTCAGCCTCCGTAACTGATCTTTGTTTAACTGATATTAACTGATACAGCTCCGTGACTAACTCATAAGTGATCACAAGAGACCCTGCCCTCGCAGGGGCGTCTGCGTAAGTAGGCGTTTGGTGCGCAGCGACACCACGGACCCGAGCTAAAGGGGAGTTTCGACTCCCTCCCACGCCTAGCCGTGCGTGGCTTTGCTGTGTCCGGGGAAAAGGGAATCCTGGGGGTTGAGCCGACGCCGGGTGATTGTACCTTTAAGGCCCCCCGGCAGAGGCAACACACCCCTTTGGCCCCGGCTTCACGTAGACGGCACCCCTGGGCTGACCCACAAGGGGAAATCGGCAGCCCCCTTTTCCTATCTCTCTCCCCTACAACTTCGTCTTTATCTCTCTCTTTTAGTCTGTCCTGTCTACTTATCTCTTCTGTTTACTTCCAATTTTCCTGGCGGTAAGGGTTAACCCTGTGCAAATAGCCTACCTTGGTCTAGGCGCATTGAGTTATGGCAGTGTTGTACGGCTGACGTCTGCAAGCTTTCAGCACCTGCAAACTTGCAGCGTCCCCTTGTTGGGCTCCGTGGTGGGTGGCCGCCAACGCTGCTGAACAAAATAAGACCGGCATGCATGGAGCATTCCCTCTACTGTCTGATCGTACCGGCCTAAAGCGGGTATGCACCGATGACATAAATTTCTTCAACCAGCCAATTGAAACTTTCCCCCACTTCCACGTCATTCACTGTGAAAAAAACGGAAAGCAAGCCAGGACCGTATCTCCTTTCGTAGTTGCCAGGTGTCTTACTGAAACTTTCGGGGCTGGATACAAAGTAACCAAAATGGCTAGCGGAGACCTTCTCCTCAAAATTCGGGACAAAGAACAATTTGTAAAGCTAGACAGCCTCTTAATGTTTGGTGACGTTCCGATCACCGTAACACCACACAGATTCATGAACATCACTCGTGGAGTGGTATCTGACGCAGACTTACTTGACCTGACCGAAACTGAACATTTGGAAGGGTGGAAGAGCCAAAATGTCAATAATGTACAGAGAATTATCATCAGAAGAGATAATAAGGAAATACCGACGAAACACTTAATACTCACGTTTGCATCCAGTAAACTACCAGAATCTATTCAAACAGGGTACACGAAGACATCTATCAGGCCGTATATACCAAACCCTCGTCGTTGCTTCCAATGCCAGAGGTATGGCCATGGCTCTAAAACCTGTCGTGGTCGCCAGACTTGTGCACAATGTGGAGTCCTAGGCCACGTGTCTGAGAACTGCAAACAACCGCCACACCGTGTAAACTGCGAAGGAAACCATGCCACATATTCACGCTCCTGCACATACTGGTAAAAAGAAAAAGAAATAATTACATTAAAGGTGAAGGAAAACATATCATTTAAGGAAGCACGGCGAAGAGTCACACCATTCTATGGACCTACATACGCTGATGCGGCGCGTCAGGGGGCACCGCCGCACGAGCCCTCGCCACTCCTTCGGCCCGCGTATAGCGAGCTGGCGGTTGTGGCACCTGCCCCCAAGGCGGCTGTAGTTCATCATCCAAAGGTGTTGCCATCATAGTGAATCAAAGGATTGCATGCACACCCTTGCAACTCCAAACATCCCTTGAGGCAGTGGCTGTTCGAGCGGTTCTTTTTGCTAAACTGATCACACTCTGCACTATTTACTTTCCTCCTAGGTATCAGCTGCAAAAACGTGATTTACACTCTTTAATTGATGACCTTCCGGAGCCTTATGTTCTCCTTGGAGACTTTAATGTGCATAGCAGGCTATGGGGTGACTCTCGTTGCGACGCGCGAGGTCGACTGATTGAACAGTTCCTTCTCTCGTCGAGCGCGTGTCTCCTAAATCGAAAAGAACCAACATATTATAATCTCGCTCATAACACCTACTCCTCCATAGACCTAAGCATAGTATCTCCATCTCTTGTGCCTCTACTCCAGTGGAAAGTCGTCAGTAATCTGTACGGAAGTGACCACTTTCCCCGTTGTTTTGAGCACATCTAGCAACTGAGTGTCCATCACGTGTTCCCAAAATGGCTCATAAACAGAGCCGACTGGGAACAGTTTTATACCATCGCTCGTCTAGGTTGGAGTGACATATGTACTTTGAACATTGATGTTGCTGTCAACTACTTCACAGCGTTTTTGATTGATGCTGCAACAAAATGCATCCCACAAACAAATGGACAGCCTGGAAAACGGCGTGGGCCATGGTGGAACTCTGAATGCCGAAATGCGCGCAAACGGCAAAACAGAGCTTGGAGGTTGCTTCAGAACTCACAGACAGCCGAAAATCTTGACACCTTCAAGAAAATAAAGTCTCAAGGCAGGAGAACGCGTCGGCAGGCCAGAAGAGAAAGCTGGCAGAAGTTTTTGTCAGGGATCAATTCATACACACAGGAGGCTAAAGTCTGGAACATGGTCGGTAGGATAGCAGGAAAACAAGTACACACTCTTCCACTCGTAAACACTCAGGGTGATACCTTGGAAGATCAGGCGAACTTCCTCGGTGCACACTTCGAACAGGTGTCCAGCTCGTCCCACTATACTGACACTTTCCAAAAATTACAGAACAAGAATAGAAAAGCAGAAACTCGAACACAAATGCACTAGATACGAGGCATATAACCAAGCTTTCAGTCTAGCTGAGCTCCGAACATCTCTAAACTCCTGCAGAACTTCTGCCCCAGGTTCTGACCATGTGGTGTATGAAATGTTAAAAAACCTACCAATCGAAACACAAAAAACCTTACTTTGTACGATGCTATCTGGTTTTCTGGCACTATCCCTACCTCCTGGAAAGAGGCTATTATTATTCCCATTTTGAAAGAGGGCAAGGACCCTTCTTTAGCTTCAAGTTATAGGCCTATTGCACTTACAAGCTGATTGTGCAAAGTCTTCGAAAAAATGATAAACTGCCGACTTGTACATTTTCCTTGAAACAAACAATTTGCTCGACCCATTTCAGTGCGGGTTTCGAGAGAGTAGATTCACCACAGACCACCTTGTTTGTATCGAGGCACAGACCAGAGACGCCTTCGGCCATAAACAATATTTTCTCTCTCTGTTCCTCGATCTCGAAAAGGAAGAATGTTTCAGATAATCGAAAGTTACCTGTCAAACCGGACATTCCGTGTCCAAGTGGACACAGTTATTTCCCAAACATTTGTCCAGGAAACAGGCGTGCCACAAGGTGGTGTACTTAGCTGCACACCTTTTCTCATCAAAATGAATTCCTTGCGCTTGTCCATCCCTCGCAATATGTTTTCTTGTACATCTGTCGATGACGTCCAGCTTGGCTTCAGATCTTGCAATCTGGCAATGTGTGAGCGGCAGGTTCAGATGGGTTTAAATAAGGTCTCCAAATGGGCAGACGAAAACGGATTTCGACTTAACCCACAAAAAAGCACGTGTGTCTTGTTCTCCCGAAAGAGAGGCATGCACTCAGAACCCGACATTGAACTGAACGGCCAACGTCTGTCTATTAATGCGGAGCATAATTTCTTACTCTTAATCTGGGACAACAAGTTGACCTTCGTACCGCACATCAAGTATTTGAAAACAAAATATTTAAAAGCCATGAATGTTGTCATGTGTTGTCATGTACTACGTGGGGCAGTGACAGGCAATGTCTCATGAATCTGTATAGAAGCCTCATTCGCACCCGCTTAGATTATGGGGCCGTTGTTTATCAGTCTGTGACTCAAAGTGCTTTGAAAATGCTGGACCCCGTGCACCATTTGGGCATCCGCCTTTCTACGGGTGCTTTTTGCACCAGCCCCGTAGAAAACCTTTACGTTGAGTCAATTGAGTGGTCGCTTCATCTGCAGAGAACTTACATGTCCTTTGTTTATTTCCTTAAGGTGAAAGCAGACAAGAAGCACCCCTCATACTCTACTATTAATGATTTGTCGAGCGTCATTCTGTTTCAAAACAGGCCTTCGATGAGGCAGCCCTTCTCAGTTCGCCTGAAGAGTCTAGCTGAGGAAACTGGAGTGTCGCTTGAACACAGTTTAATGGCTCCTCTAGCATACCCGCCACCATGGCAGTGGCAGACTATAGACTGCGATGTGTCTTTTCTAGAAGTTACAAAACATGCGCCTATTGCCCATATCCGAACATACTTCCTGGAACTTCAACACAAATACCGTATTTACTCGCATAATAGGCGCACCCCTAGTTTGGTCGCGGAAAATTCGATTTTTTTTAATTCCGCGCATAACAGGCGCACCCCGAACTGGCCGTGATCAGAAACGATTCTACCCCCCAGCGGTACAGTTGGAACGCGGTTCCCGTACCCTGAAGAAAAAAAGAAGGCAAATCGACGAGCAAATAAAAAAAATTCGAAGTGCAACGACCTAACCAACGTGTTTGTCGAAATAAAACTTGAAAAAAAAAAAAAAGCGTCCATGAGCGAAAAAAAACGGCTGTTCCATCAATTACTGATACCCCCCAAATCGCCGCGCTTTTTGGAGGTCACGTGTACAACGTCGGGGGCTCAATCGCCATCAGTTCGCCACGATCACCATGAAGTCGTCAGGAAAAGCTTCAAGAAGACGGGTATCTCGAACGCACTGGATGCGAGTGAGGATGACATGTTGTGGGGTGCGGATGATTCGGACACCGAAAACGAATCCCCGCTCGGCGAGGATGAATGTGTGATCTCCGAATAGGGAAAAGGAGGAACAGCTACGACTTTTGTGTAAATAAATTTTACGTGTGTGTGTGCAGTTGATGGGCTCTCGCTTGTTCATTAAAAGGTATGTAGGTATGTTTGTTTTATGCTGAATAATTGGTAACGATAAAGTCGCCTTTTACTTGACAAGTGTGCAGATTTAAGCGCGAGAACCGAGTTGAAAAAATTTTCGAAAATTTTACCCCACGTAATTGGTGCACCCCTAACTTCGAGCCGGATTTTCTGAAAAAAAAGTGCGCCTATTATGCGAGTAAATACGGTACACACGTCCCGAGTTCTTTACAGATGCCTCCAAGTCTAACTCCTCTGTGTCCTACGCTGCTGTCGGCCCATCTTTTTCGGATGCTGGCCCTCTACATCTAGTCACAAGCATCTTCACAGCGGAAGCTTATGCGATACTTGTGGCGGCTAAACACATCAAGCAATTACAAATACAAAAAGCAGTAATTTATACAGACTCCCTCAGTGTGGTAACGACTCTGCACACTCTTAAAAAACAAAAAAACCCAGTCCTTGTCTCACTTTACTCCATTTTGTGCACACTCTACACACTTAAACAACATGTTGTAGTGTGCTGGGTGCCAGGGCACCGTGAGATTCAAGGCAACGTGAGAGCAGATCAGCTGCATCCGTCCACAAAAGCACTGCCCCTACACCCATATCAATCCCGGCCCTTGATCTTAAGCCGTCTCTCAAACGAAACCTCAGGGACTACTGGCAGAGCAAGTGGGATAGACACACACAAAACAAACTACACATTATTAAGCCACACCTTGGTCATTGGCTGCCAGTATCAAAATCGCGTCATACAGAGGTAATACTAACGAGACTCAGGATAGGACACACGTACATGACACACACATATCTTTTGTCCGGTGGCCGTCCACCATTGTGTGAGAGATGTGGTGAAGCATTAACGGTCCTTCACATGTTAATCCAATGCAATAAACTCTAAGAAAACAACATTTTCCAGTACCCTACCGACAACATATACCTTTACACCCTGCAATGTTCGTCTGTAGGGAACCGCTTTTTAGTCATAAATCATTGTTAGCGTTTTTAAAAGAAATTCATAGTTTTCATATTATATACCCGGGCATTCCGTAGCACTACCTCTCCAGAGAGGTTTTTGCTGCGGTGGCTACACAAGAAAGCACTTGCCTCATGGCGCTTGGACGCAAGGGTATGAACGAGTGAGGCTCTTGTGCTAATGCCATACATGTCCACCATCGTTTTTTATTATCACCAACTTTTGTCACCTATTCACACCACACACATCTTTCACGGCATGGGTCATGATTTTATTACTTGTATGTTTTTACCCGCCTTACCGCGAGGAATTTTATGGCCCTTATACAGCCGCTTATCACAATCATTGTCCATATTTTTAGTAAGATGAACTGGCGCTCTTTGGCCGTAAAATGGCCCTTGCGCCACAAAACATCAAACATCATCATCACAAGAGACCCGGCCCTATGTAACTGACCCTTGTGTTAGTCTGTTCAACTTTGTCATATGACTGCATGATATATTATGTAACAAGTTTGTGTGAAATAGCGTGACAATACTGTGCAGAAAGTCCATTTGTCATCGGTGGCTTGACGTAGACCTGAACCGCATAGAAATCCACTTGTTCTGTTTATTTGCAGGACGAGAGCCAGGCTGCTCACGAGGCAAAGGAGGCTCCATGCATCTTTACTGTCCCGACTTCTTTTGGAGGGAACGGTATTGTTGGCGCGCAGGTACGAAATAACGGTTTGTTGATTGCTGTACAAGTGGCTTCAACCTTGATGTGAGGCTCGCAAAGCTGTGTGAAAACTCTTGTTTAACATGTGAAGAGGTTTTATCTCACGGCGACTCTAGTGAGATAAAATATGACGTGGCCCAGCTTGTCGGCTTCATCCCACTTAGTGTTGGCGCTCACCAGTTCGTAATGCTCGAGCCAGTCTTCGACGTCGGTCCCATCCGCACCGCTGAAGACCTTGGGGTCCCGTAGCCTAGGATAGCCAGGGCAGTTGAACTGGGGCGAAGGCGCCGATGTAGTGGCGTTGTCAGTCATGGCAGGCGGTAGCGTGCGGCTTCGCAGCTCCAGGGTGTAGCAACGGGGATTAACAGCACCTCCACCAAATGTGAAGAGGTTTATTAGCCGTTAAAGACAGCGACGAGACAGCGTGAAGAACCGTCCAGCGATCGGCATAGCAACGAACCGAAGCACGAGCCGAGAGAGCCGGGCGTTGGCGATGCTGCTTGCTGCAGGCACATCTTCTTCTTCACAATCATAATGTGCTAGGCCTATGTCGGCAATGCCTGTATGCTGCCTGCAATGTGTCGCACATTCCTTTTTTTTAAATCCAGGTGGCTGGGTCATGCCTGTTATGCAACTATTGCTAGAATTGCTTCTTTTTCTCTCTTTGGATTGTTGTATGTTCATGATAGTAATAGCAATTCTTTATGCCCAAGATCATCATGCAATGGGTCTCAGGAGTGTTATGTAATTTATATCGGACTTTGTCGCAGCAACTCATGTAAAAAAAAATTAAAATACAGGAATTGTGTAGTGCATCCTAAAGATATATCATCAAAAATAATTTTGTATATGATCGATACTTGAAGGTGCTGTGCAACACTTTTCAAAATAATTGTCTAATGACATTAATAAAAGAGCCCATTGCCTCACAATTTGACTGCTGCAAACAATTTTTGTATTTGTCAATTAAGAGCGGAAGTACAGGAATTCAAAGTGAATAGTGATTTGTTTCGAGTAATTTTAAAATGAATTCGAATGTAGTAGATTTTACATACTATATATAAAAAAAAATTACACCATCTCCTGCTAAAAGGAACCATGTGTAGATGCAAAGAAATGGGTGCTATCGCTTACACTGGCGGCAATGTTGACGCTGGGGCTCATCGCAGCGTTGTGCAAAAGAAAAACCGAGGGAGTTGCAGAGCATGCAGTGATGGACAGATGTTTCCTACTGGAACATTCCAATCGCTGCTAATGGGCAATGAGAGACAGAAGACTTCAGTTGGACACAGAGACTCTCAGTCCACTTTTCGTTAATGCGCATGCTGCGAACTTTTATTGTTTAACAAGGCACCAGAGAAATCTCCCATCGGCACCACCTTGGAGGTCAAAATTCAGTGCCTATATATAAAAGGGGGCCAGTGAACAGTTATGCAGCGTGAGCAGCTGTTTTTTTTTCAATCATATAGATGCTGTCGAAGCAGTGCCACTCGGTCAGTAGGGACAGTGTTTGAATATACCATAGTTGAGTGCTTACAGGGCTCTAAAGCATTCGCAGTTTATTTTAAACACACTTGCTAGCAGACGCTGCCTGTGTCGGCATTGGGAAGCGAGAGAGGGGGAGCATAGGAGAAATGGGAGAGGGAAAGGGGTGCGCATGCCTAGTAAAAGTGGTCACGCCGCACACCGGATTGAGCTCAGTCCTGAGACACTTCACATCTAAAATGAGCATATTTGTTATAACAACTAACGTGCACAATATTTCTAAAATTAAAATGAGGCATGTTGTGTCTTCTTTTTTTGGTTTTAAAAGGAAGTGATGAGAACTCGAATAATAGCCGGATGTGACTTTCTCTAGAATTCAAGTGGTAACCTGGGAAATACTTTAGGCTTTAAAATTCACTTTACTTAGTGCATGTAAGCTGATTTGAGAAGCTTTTAAACTTAAAAAAACTATTCGAATGTGTGGGTAATAAGTTCATTTAACCTTGAAGGGGGGCTTCGTGGCAGTGCAGATTTTTTTTTTGGGGGGTGGGAGGGGGGGTACTTTCGCATAATACTTTTGAACAGTGAGTGTCTTCACGGCACAGCATTCCTTCGCTGCAGTGGAACCATGATTAAAAGAGGGGGTTTACATTCGGACTTATTCATTCATTTCGAATACTTTGAAATTTAGGATGATTCAAATTTGTTTTATAGTGAATTCGAATACATAAATATTCGTACGAATGTTAGAACCGCCTGAATATTTGCAAAAGCCTAGATGCGCCCCTTCGTCAGCGCATGGCACAATTTTGAGCACTTTTCATTTTTTTTTTTCCAAACGCATGGCTCACATTCAGAGTGATTGGAAGTGTGTGCATGCGCACGTGGCGGCATCTCGCGGCGTCCGCAGTAACTATGCAGGTCACGCTACTTAAGTCAGCCAACCACTGTGGGCATTTGGTATAGGGTGCAGTGATTTGGGTACTATATTTACATGAATATAATTCCAGTTTATTTACAGATTTTTGCCAAAGTTGACCCTCACATAGCGGTCGAATACAGAAATTCTTATTTTTCTTCCTGTGACACAATGAGAAATCGCACATCAAGTTACAATTGTGGTCACATTGCAGTTGAGTAATTACGGCGTATGACATCATTTGTCTATGGAAAAGCGAGCGATTCGTAGCTGACATTTAAAATTAATTGTAAGATTAAGGCCACATGCTGTGGTATATTGTTTGGCTCACGTGTTCTAACGATTCTCAACTGATTATCGGCGGAGTTTTCTGATCATGCTGATGAAATATTGCAGGGTCCCTTCAATTTATAATTTAATCAGCTATGCTTCATTGGTTATCATAACTTAGGTGATGTACCCAAGTTAATGCACAATCTCTTGTCTGCTGTGGCTGTGGTTCACAATGGTCAGTAGTTACTGCTGTGTCTCAAGTTTCTCATGAGGAATCATTGGAGACCTTTGTCCTGAACAACTGTGCAATGTCACTGAACAACTATGCACTTGCACCTTACAAATTACAAATAAGAGGCTGCTTTGACTTGCCTGAATGCATTAAAGGGACACTAAGAGAAAAACTGTTTGTTGCGTATTAGTACAGGACGATTCCAAAATCCCGAAAACGCCACTCATACTGCGAGAAGATGCCTGCTGAGTGAGAAAACGTGCAAAAAGTAAATTCGAGTGGGCACATCACTTTAAAATTGCTGCAACAAACAACGGGATGTCACAGATTTCGACGGTATCTAATGTACGTAACTAATTTTCTAATCGGTGAAAATTGAGTATATTCATCTCTGAGGGGCCATAGACTTAACGTACCAAGTTTCAGAATATGTCATCCAGTCAATGTCGTGAAAACACGAAAAATACATCTTCGCACGTGAGATCACGTGCGGAGATTTCAGCGCAAAACTTAAAAATGAAACCTAAACCTCGGTTTTCTTCTCTAGTAACGAAGTTATGATTGTGAAAATTTCTCAGTGTACAGTTTATTTATCTAAACCAAGTCGTTGTTTCGCTTCAGTGCCTCTTTAACATGCTTACGTTATGGTGCTCTGCTGCTGACTCTAAGGTTGCTAGTTTCATCCCAGCCGCAATGGTTGCATTTCGGTGGAGGCAAAATGGTTGAGGCCCGTGTGCTGTGCGATGTCGGTGCATGTTAAAGAACACCAGGTGGTCAAAATTTCCGGAGCCCTCCACTATGGCATCTCTCATAATCATATCGGGTTTTCAGGATGTAAAACCTGAGATATTATTATTGACAGGCTTAGGTGTTTTATTGGAAGACCTCAACCGAGGCATTGTGTCTTCCCTTAAAGGTCCCACTGGGAGCCGGCGTTGCTCTGGCCCACCAGTACCTTGGCACGGACAGGGTCTGCCTTACGCTGTACGGTGATGGTGCAGCCAACCAAGGCCAAGTGTTCGAGGCCTACAACATGGCTAAGCTATGGAACCTGCCCTGCATTTTCGTCTGTGAGAACAATGGCTTTGCCATGGGAACGAGTGTAAACAGAGGTGCTGCCTCTACAGACTACTACACTCGTGGAGACTACATCCCGGGTCTTTGGGTGAGCGCACGCTCGTGAACTCAGCTTGTTGGCTCACCGAAGCATTTTCAAATGAGATTAAGCTCAATGCTACAGTATTGTGCCGTTAGCAAGGAGTGCGTAGCTTTGATTATCAGTAGAGAAGATGAAACGGTGAAAGGCATTAAATCCTAATATGCTCATGCAGCTATTTTTCGAGGTGTATGTCAAAGAACCAACCTCAGGCTCTTAAAGCTAGTTTTGAGTTCTCCGTTACAGCACGCCTCAAAGTCATGGCGGATAAGGCACATAGAAACCCCAGAAGCTTATTCTTTTTTGAAAAGTTCATAGATTGCGGTGTGCACCAGAATGTTCAGTGATCGACCTTGTGCGTTACAATAAAACTTGTGGAGACGCATGTCTTCGTTGTCACAACCAAGCTTGCACTGCTGACTATGCAGACAAGTCCTGTGGTAATGTGTTGTTTATTACGCTGTGCTTGTTTTGCACATGAAAGGCATTGATATTGATAGCAGTGTACAGCTGGTAGCTTTACCGGGTGTGGACGCTTCAGTAAACATTTGCTTACTGATGAAGATAAATATAGCATCATGAATGCATAAAAAAACATGAGAAATTTTATTCAATGACTACGAGTCACGCTTGTCTCTGTCACAGTTGCCATGTGACGAACAACATAGAAAAAAGGAAGAAAATGGATCACATGTCCCCTCGCTTTAGTGTATTGTCAGAACTTCGAGATAATGCCATCAGTTATGAGCGAGTTGCACTTTCTAGTGCCAAAACCTTGTTGTCTTTTTCTTTTTTTGCTCTGTTATGATGCAGTAGAGCAGCATGCACAGAATCACCAGTTTTCTTGGCTCCACCTCGAACTTGATTTTGCACCCACATCATGTTGTGTACTTGGGTCTAATCGCTTTTGACCTTTATAAAATATTATGCAACATTACCTACACAGACAGTGATCTTTTGCCTGAAGTGTCTGTCTCTACAATTTCTATCACAGCAACAGAAATGTGGTGGTGCTTGTGTTCTTGTGACAGCTTACACATTTTACTGGTGTTCCAGTTTTCTTTTCATCCTTTCCACCAGCCTTCACTTATTCTTTATTGCAGCTGGTTATCAAAATAAATTCGTTCACCACAGTTTTGAAATTAAACGAGCATGTTTTCTCTTACATTACTGCCTGGAATTATGGACACGGACATATACAACTTTAATGCCAAAACGTATTCACGCTTTAATACCAGAACAATCACTGTGGTTATGGCTTAGTATGGGCAGTACTTAGCCAAGCAAAGCTGTTTTGGGCAGTATGGGCACTACTTAGCCAAGCAAAGATGTGAGCCCCAATCTCTTAGTGTGCTCACAAGCTGGCATTTTTCGCTGCTGTTTACATAGGTGGACGGCATGGACGTGCTGGCCGTGAGGGAGGCTACTCGGTTTGCCGTGGACATGTGCCGCAAGGGCAAAGGACCCTTGGTCATGGAGGTGGAAACTTACCGGTACTACGGTCACAGCATGAGTGATCCTGGGACAAGGTGTGTAAAAAGTTTTACGTGAGACATTGTGTAGCCTCGAAATTGTAAGTGGCGCATTGAAAACTCAGTAAAAACCAGCAGATAATGAAGCCAAAGAAGGTCTAGGGGCGCTAACATACCTCTTTTGGGGTACGTCACAGCGTCATGTCACCGGTGCGGGGGCAATGGTGGCGGTTGGAAAAACAACGCCGCTTCTTGCTGAGTGTAGTACAGTCACGTGGTGCTCTAGGCGCTGCTTTTTTTTTAAAGCTTAAACTTCGCCTTACTTTTGCCAGATTAGCCGTGGTATGTGTCGGAGAACATATACTAGGTGTTTTATAAACTGCGTGGCGAAAAATTTGTGCTGCTGGCTTGGCTGTTTATCTTGGAGTAGTGAACCTACATAGTGTCCTGTGCGAGGAACAGTGGCACTGTCTTTGAAAATGTGCCATGTTTACTGTGGCGTGTCGTGTGCGTTGAGAGGCATCGATGGTATTGGTTCACCTGTATGGGTGGTGAAACTGAGAATATCGTGTGTGGTGTGTGAATAACGATGCATCTTGTCTGCAAAACATGGCCTCTCATTGTGGGCCAGTGGCAGTGACTGGTCGTCGACGAAACAACGGGATCTGACGTACTAGTGAAGGTAAAAATGTATTTGATGCATTCGTCTACGAGTGCGTATATCTCAGCAATTGCACTGAATGCGAAAGAAAGAATGGCATAATTTCAGGGCTGGAAGGTACAAATGCGCATGAGCTATCATCATGTTTTAGCATTGCCGAAGCGGCATGTACGCTTTGGCACAGGGAGTACGCAAACCTAGTAAGCATGATTATGAATGCCAATCAGTGCAACTGACAGTAGATGACACCAAGTACTGAGACTTGCAACTTGAATGCATGGTGAACATCGAGAGCGAAAGCCAGGCCAGTGAAGTTCCCCCAGACGTGCGTAAAGTGCGCGGGATTCCAAAGTTCAGCACTCTGTCTTCTTTCTTCTGCCTCCTCCTGTCGGTTGCGCTGATTTGCACTCGTCATCATGCCATAGGGGGGAACTTCACATTAATTTTCACAGAGATTTGTTAATCGCAGTCTAATGCATGGCAGAAAGTGTTTCATTGTTCTTTTTTTTATTCATTATCGAACGCAATTTTGTGCTGTGCATTAGAACCTTTTCTGTGACCTTGAGCACAGCAGCTCAAAACCATGTTGCCACCAATACTGCCCCTTGTTTAACACTGCAGTGCAGATATTGCGACTGAAGTTGAGTACATTCATATCCATGCCATAGAAGTAGTATTTCTCCAAGTGCCAGTCACCGTGAAAATACACAACATTCGCTTTCGAAGTGCATTAACTTCTTTTTAGAGCTGGTATGTACGATGAGCAAATCACCGTATGTTGATTTAAGAGAATCATGCTTTATAGGCACGATTCTGTTAAAAGCGACTCTTAAAGTTTTGACATAAAAAAATTGATTCGTAGAAATTTCTGTGAAAGGAATGCAGACACGCAGCGCTGCTATGCAGAAAGATTCCCCTGGCGGAACTTTTTTGCCAGCCAGCGCCTGTTCTGAAGTTGGGGTTTGTGGGCGGAGTACTTGTAGGTGAAGTCAAACTGTTTACAAACCAAGAGATGTCTATTGTACTGTTTTAGTGGGTTGCAGTTGTTGTGATGTATATGTGAAGGGTGGATGAAAAGACTTGCTGCTGGCAGGAACCGAACCCGCTACCTGCGGATTATGCACCCGATGCTCTTGCCAAATGAGCTACAGCAGTGGTCGTCTCCTCGTCCGTGGTCGTCCATGCGTGGCTTGGTGTGGCCTTCGATATTGAAATTGAAAAAGTCACACACTGACCACGTCTAGCTGTACCAACTTCATTTTTACAAGATGAAAATAATGTCCGTATGAACCACCAATATCATAATCCACTTACACCGCTCTTGTTTATTCTCGCCAGACAAGTCCACTATACCGATACCGTTTATTACAATATATCGGATATAACAGTGAGCAATGATGGCACCATCTGATTTTGTGTGCTGTCTACTGTAAAAGAAACCTTTAAATATGATGCGTAAGTGTGGCGATATTGTATATAGCAATTGAATCCAACTGCAGCGCACGCCACAAATTGGTCTTCGCACCAACCACGCCGTGCTGCGGATGAGGGTGATAGGGACGACTCTGAAGACGCGGTGGAGCAGCCCACCCAGGCACTGTCATCACAGGAGGTCCAGCAGATGCTACAGTCCTTCCGGGACCTTGCTTTTGCGAAGGACCTCCTGCTCACCTACATAGAGCACCTAGATGCTCTTGAGAAAGATGTGCACCAGCTTCAAGCAAAGCAATCAAAGCTGACATACTATGCCTTTTCTGCAAGCATTTAGTGTATAGTTGACATGGGTCGGTAAAAATTCTGGAGCTCACACAGAATCACTTGTGAAATATATTTTGCACTTAGGAGCTAGGACTCGGTTGGACTGAGATTCACCAAAATTTTCCTGAGCTGGACTCACACTTATGAAAATTTTCATCTAAACTCACTCAGTATCAAAGTCACTCACCTATTACTCAATTGGACTCACTGAGACTCACAGCTCAATCTGAGTCTGAGTGAGTCAGAGGGAGTCAACTCATGAGTCCGTAAGTCTAAAATGAGCTTCTTCGACCATGGTGTCAATGCTTTTTAACATCAATATCTGACGTAATCGGTGCTCTTCTTGACCCCTTTTGATTAGTACCTTCATATACGAGGTTTCGGTGGTAGCAGATCAGCAAGGACATTATTTTTGAAATAGATGACAACATAAAATATATTTGTCAAGAACTTCTTCGGGAGAGTTGGCAGGGTGGAGGAGTACAAGGCACTTTCTTACGTGATTCATGGCTCTGATCAATGAATATTGAAATGGTATATGATCGATACTCTTTCCGAATACTTGTAGGTAGATGTGAGTATAAACACGAATACAGGTAAGCCTCATAGTAATGCTGAAGATGAGTAGATAGGACCACAGGTTGCCAAACATTAGTAGAACTTACTCAAGAAATATATCTCTTGATTCGGGCTCACTTTGACTTGGACTCGCCAAAATTTTACTGAGCCAGACTCACACTTACTAAAATTTTGTTCAACCGGACTCACTCGAACTCAGACTCGCATCTTGATCAGAATCTGAGAGCGAGTTCAAGTGAGTTGACTCATGAGTGAATTCGCCGACCTTTGCACTATCTTACTTGCATGCAATTGAAATGTTTTCATCGCTCTTTCTTTTTGTCAACCCGCTTATAACTTAGAAGTGTGGCAGCTTGAGCTAGTAGGTATTACATGATGATAGTTATAGTGCAAGAACAGAACGACGACACAAAGACAAAAAATTGGCCCCGTATCTGCATGTAATCTGCAAATGTCGTCGAAAGACAATAGTCTTGCGTGTAGGGAGAGCGAACAAAACATTTATTTGATGTTCTGCGCAAGAAAATTGGAGAATGGTATTCCAGAGGCACTGCAATAGAGTTCCTCGAACGTGCAGCGGAGGTGAACGAGCGCATCAAGTCATGTTACACATGAGACATGAGCGCCACCTGGCAGAGTTCTTGGAAAACAAAGCACATGGCTCTGAGACGGGTGTGTGCACCCGTCTCAGGTGGTAAGGTGTAGAACGCAAGGAAATGGGTAGGTGCCACCACCATCGCGTCTTAGCAAAGCGTTGGAAACACTCACCTTCTCGTGCAAGCGTTGCAGGCTCAGTGCAGCGTGATAAGCGTTACGGTCCTTAAGATTACTTATGTATGCCTTTTCTTGTAAAAGATGCACATGCAGAATACATGCGTGTCGTTATGGTGCCCCAGACTTGCGCAATGATTGCTTAGTAATTGACAATTGCACAAGTATGAATGCTAAGTCTTGAGCAACATCGGTGGGCGCTGCGGATGCGGTCGGCCGTTTCAAGTACCCGGTGCCGTTAAGAGTGAACAAACAGACAAATGTACAGACAGACAGACCAAAATTTTTGCGTCAAAGGTCCCCAAGAAAGACTACCGTCTTTAAAAGGACACGAAGGACTAGCGCTATAACTATCATCATGTCATACCAACTAGCCCAAGCTGCCACATTTCTAAGTTATATTTCTAGTTATTCAGGCTCTTTTTTGTGTGTTTCTCTTAATCAATCAGTCCTCATAACCCTCATCGCAGTCTCCATTTGCCGTGCGCACACCTTTACCTTCAAGGTTGGAAGTTAACGCTCGTGTCCTGTATGTCCTTCTTGTCTCTCTGTCGTCGTTCTGTTCTAACGCTATAACTATCGTCCGCTTATAAGTATTATTGGTTATAATGATGGGATTTCTTTGGCACTTTAACATATTTATAAGTGGACTGCACTGTATAGTCTACATTGAATTTCAAATTGAGGGAATCGCTTACCAACATGTGTCAAAATAGCACTATATTCCTAGCTTTTATATTTATGATCATCCACATGATCAGGGGCCAGGTACATTCTAAGAACAGTGACACGCAAACGGGGAGGGGGGGGGCTATATTTGTAATGCTAAAATAATCGCCATTTTTTTTATCTTTTTTTGCTTGACACAACACACCAGGTACTGCAATGTCACAAGCATCGAGCACGCTATAAGCACGCCACCGCATTTTTGAAAGAAAAATTGAAATTGCGTAGTTTTCAATGAAGAAAATGCAAGCAAGCTAGAGGACAATTCCTGTTGCGTGACAGAGAGATTTCTCAAAGATTGTGACAGTTTTATGAAAGTACGAGAAAAGCATTTGAAGGGGCACAGCGTGGTGCAGCACCTCCGCGTGAAATGTGGAAGTGAATGAGAGTTTAAAATGCATCCAGCTAAGTGCTACACTTTGTATGGAATTTTCAAGGGGTTGCTACAACTGCTGGATACTGTGAAAAATTGAGTGTATCCAGATTCGACTGTTGTATACTGTGAAAAATTGAGTGTATCCAGATTCGACTGTTGTATGTTCAAGAAAGCCTCTGTTACTGATAGCACATTTCATTTTGCATTTATTTTTAAAAGTTGCTGGGGACGATGCATTGAGTTTAAAATATCACAGCATATCCACAGAGTAAATGATGATGAGTGGGACGAAGCTTCAAAGGGTTTTATAGATAAACAGTGTACTGTTCGTCCGCCTGTCTGTTTCCTCCGTCTGCGCCTGCTGAGTGAGTCATCGAAGTAGGCAGTCACGTACCATGAGCTAGGAAGGGCAGACTCGCGGCATTAGGAGCTTTGCACCTAAAAAGAGAACTCCTGCTGTTTTGCTGCCCATCCCGCAATCCTGAGACCTGGAAACAGCTGTATTCATGAGTTGCTCTAGAGCGATCCCTGCCTAGGCTTTAGGTATCGTATCCATCTGGCTTTCAAGCCAGGTATCCTACATACTACCTTATCTTCTTTTTACCCGAACAACTGCTAGGCATCTTTTTATTTTTTTCTTCTAATGTCTGCTGTTTGCAGCTATCGTACGCGAGAGGAAGTACAAGAAGTGAGGCAAACGAGGGACCCCATCACTCACTTCAAGGACAAGCTCATCAGTGCGCAGTTGGCTACAAGTGATGAGATAAAGGTAGGTTTCGCACTACACGCACAGTAAGAGACCTCGTGGAAAGTGAGACAATTTTCGTTCTTGTCACGGCATCGCTTGGAGAAATGCCAGGCTCAAATCAATCGGCAAGATGATGAGTTAGGTCAGTTGGTGTACGTTCATGTTTGAAATTTTTGGTTAAGTGCCCTAAAAAACATGGACAAGAAGTAGACGTTACAGCACTTACTAGTAAGGGCTGTCCTGTCTACTTCTTGTCAGTGTTTATCGGTGTTTAACCAGAATTTTTAATAATTTAGCTGCAGTTGTTTTGTGTTTCATTTTCATAAAATTCCCTTGCGTATATAATGTGCACAAACTATGTGGCAGATTAGAGCTTAAGTCAGAGTGTAAGCTATATGCGAATTTTGACGTGAAGTTGACTTTGCTGCACTGCTTTGTTATAATGTAAAGAAGGTGGCTCCCCAGCAAAATACAGGGATTGTTTTTTTATTTTGATTTTTCCAAAGTTTAACCTAAAATGTGGGTTATAGGCAGTGGCAGGTTATATGTGGTAAAATACGGCATATCATTGTTAACAACAGTTTAGGCCCATTATTCTTGTTTTATGCGCGATTTTGATTTGTGGCCTTGAAATAGAAGCTTGTATGTCAAAAATGCACAGATAAGTGCCATGTAATTGACCAAAGTGCGAATCGTCAACTGTTCTTCAAACATGCAATTTATTCATTACACCAAAGGTGGGAGAATTCAGAACACAATCCACACGTATTTACCAATGAAACTTGTTCCGAGATACATTAACACTGACCACCTGTGCTGGCAAACTGAACATAGCATGTTGGATACAAAAAATTAGATAATACAGTAATAGAAGTATATGGTCCACAGGTTCTACTTGTAATATAGGAGGTCATTATTTCATAAAAAGGGTCGCACAGGTTAAGAGCTCCTGCGCTGCAAGATGAACTGAACAAAAGATTTTCCAACTTAATCCACGCTAAACTGGAAGGTAATAAATACCTAAGTAACCCATGTAAGGGTAGCTACATTGTATTCGTAGCATTTAAGGATGTTTGGGACAAAGTGTGGGAGGAAAAAAAGTAAATTTGAACATACTAATGGTAATGGATCAAATTCTTCTCATAAGGTGCTTATAAAACATGTAGAAGCTGTTTATGGATGTTTCCTAGATGTTTGTCAACTGGAACCTGTTTCTAGATGTTGCCTGGACATGGATGCATAACCATCATGTTGCCTGTAGCAGCTGAAGTGTTGCATTGGTAAGCAAGTGGCTAAAGGTTCAACTACCAGCATGGAGGGAGAAAATAGTTTGGAAGGAACATTGTACATTGCGATCAAAAGAAAGAAAGAAAGAAAGAAAGAAAGAAAGAAAGAAAGAAAGAAAGAAAGAAAAAAAGAAAGAAAGAAAGAAAGAAAGAAAGAAAGAAAGAAAGAAAGAAAGAAATGTACATTTAAGCACACAAGCACCAGGCTTTGCATGCCTTCGTTTTCTTGATAGGGACACGGCTTCTGAAATTTTTTCTTGCACTTTCGGTTTCTTTGTAGGATTTTAAAGTTTGTTGTACATTATCGCATGAGTTTCTGCTTCCATCTTATTGTATTCACTCAAATGTTACGTGTTTTTTTTTTTTTTTCTGAAAAGATTGCATAGGGGCTAGTTGGAACATACTGTAGGCAAAGGCAGCACTGCGAAATTGAGGACAGGAAAGAACTGGACAACGCAAACAAAGCGCATCTAGCCCCGCTGCGGTGGTCTGGTGGCTAAGGTACTCGGCTGCTGACCCGCAGGTCGCGGGATCGAATCCCGGCTGCGGTGGCTGCATTTTCGATGGAGGCGAAAATGCTGTAGGCCCGTGTGCTTAGATTTGGGTGCACATTAAAGAACCCCAGGTGATCGAAATTTCCAGAGCCCTCCATTACGGCCTCTCTCATAATGGTATAGTGGTTTTGGGATGTTAAACCCCACATATCAATCATCAATAAAGTGCTTCTAACAACTGAGTTTTTTTTTTTTTTAACAAAAAAGCAAAAAAAGGGGGGAGGAGGGAAGGTGCGACTTACGAAAGAGAGGGCACTGATGGTAAACCGTGCATGATCCTACAGGGTTGTTACTTATGCAGCGAAGCGCGTGCATTTATCAAATTCAATATTTACGTTTTCTCTGCCTCATAGCTTAATCAAATATGACACTAGTGCATGATAATGCATATGTTTTACTGCACATATAGCATCCCCTGTAGGATCATGCGCAGTTTGCCCTCACTGCCCTCTCCTTTGTATGTCACATCTTTCCCCTCCCCCACTTTTTGACTTTTTCGTTTCAAAGAATCCAATTGTGTAATGCGCTTTGTCTGTAGAGTCCAGTTTCTTTCTTCATATCTTTGCTATTTTAAAGTCAGCCTTCATGTTACAATTGAATACGGAAATTCTATTTTTCTTCTTGGGCATAATCGAGAGCCTTCCCTCGTGTTACGATTGTGGTTACGTTATGATCCGGTAAATACAGGATTTCGCTTGTTTTCCTTCGCCTCTACTCAATCCTACAAACTTGTGATAATTCTACAGTATAATACGAGTGTTTATTTTACCAACAGCCCCTCTCTTTTTCAATGTCTATAGGGGGCTCTAAACTAGTACATATGAGTAAATACATGAGTAAATAAGCGGCGATACACTGAAACCTCATTTTAACAAAGTTGAATATTAGAGCAAATGAAGTTGTTTATATCCGAAAATTTGTTATAAAGATATATTCCTAACACTATATTTCTTGTAAGACTATTCTTAGTTTACTTCGTGTGTCTCTCATAGTCATATTGTGGTTGTGGGACATTAAGCCCCACTTATCAATCATTAGTTCACTTCATTGAAATAGAGATTTTGTTATATGGGGGGTTTATTATATTGAGTTTTTCTTGATGACTACATTTGAAGCTGCGTTGATCATATTAGTAAGTTTTGTCACCATAATTTGGTCTTAACGGGGATTTGCTTCGATGACACTGTGCACTCTCTTTTTTTTCCTCCTCACTTCACAGCAACTAGAGTCCGAGGTGAAAGCCGAAGTGGAGGCTGCCACAGAAATGTCAAAGACGAGCCGGGAAGTTCCGCTCGAGGAACTGTACGCCGACATCTACGTCAATCCACTGGTCGCGAAGATTCGTGGAACCACCCCGTTCACGGAACACAAGCACATGCGGATTACGCAGCCATTCAACCTCAAGTGACGCTGCTGCAAGTAGTGACGATTCTCTAGGGTTTATTATTTATTGCCCCGGCATTTTCTTTAATCCCCTGCCACACTCACTCTCCACTTTCTAAAAGTTTACTTTCGTCTTAGTCTTTTTTTATACAAATTTGTGCATTTTGTACTTTAATGTTTATTCCTCTTTTTTTGTTGCTCACTTGAAGCCAACGCTTCTCAAGCAGTCCCTTAAAAACAATGCATCTGTGGGGAAGACTTTTCACTTAGCTATTTTGCCAGTCGAAAACATAATAGGTGCAGGCATTGGTGTGAAAATAAACAGGCTACCCCCTTATACTGTTGCTACAGTCACATTGTACATTATTTGCCTACTTATTTCTTTCTTACGTGGTGTCATCATTTAGAAACTTGACTTGACTTAGCCATTTCTGTTCTTTACTGACAAGGAAGATGCCAGAAACACTGAGGTAATGTTGAATCAAGTAATCATGCTGCCTAAAGTAACTGTATCAATTTAGGTTGTAGTGTATTTCTGCACACAATCGCTTTAGTTAAGGCAGTACCACGCTTAAAGGGGCCCTTTTAACACTTTTCACGACCTAATTGTTTACATGTTTTTCTAACTGGTTGCTTACACTGAAGGCTTAAGAGGTAAGTGCTGCAAGAACGACAGCGATAGGGCCACGCAGTGCAAAGTTATTCAGCGTAGAGATATCAAAGTACAATAAAATGGATGCATGCCCTTCGCGGGCTTACCTGATCGTGTTTCCCTCGCCCTGTCATGTAGGAAGGCTGCACAATGAAATTAATTGAAAGCCCTACCCTACAGAAAGCTTGCATGCCATATTGCTCGTTATGCCCAATGTATTGAGGACTCCGTTGTGATGGTAACAAATAATGTAGTACTTGAAGAGGGAACGACCTGTGCGAAACGAGGCAGCTTGCGAACGCTTCTACAATGTTTTGTAGCTTTACTGATCTTTCTTTTTGCAGTGGCGTCTATCAACACCCTTACATTTTCTTTATTTTTTTTTTTTTCAAACAACGGTGCCTGAATCGTAATCTAGCGCATTTCCTCCAGCACCATAGCGTTTCGCGCTTTCTTTCATCGGCTTTGCAGTTTTAAGGTGGAAAAGTCAGAGAGCTTTGCTCTCTTCCGCTTTCAGTGAAAAACCATGCTAAATAAAAAGGAAATGGAATAGTAAACCGTATTCTGATTTGATGCTGCGGTAACATTTAATGTTACATTTATGCAATCACAGGTCTGTGCCTTTTATTGTCATTTCCTCTCGCAATACTTCTGGCGAGTGCCACTACGAGTTATGCAGTCAGCACTGATGTTTTCAAGCGTTAGATGGCCCCTTTAAAGGGACCTACAACCAATTTTTATGGTGCTCAGTTTCTTTTGCGCAGCTGAAAGCTTACCAGTGAGAATGTCTAATCGCAGAACCGTAATGTGGAAAACGCTGTGAAATATTTTTATTCAGAAGTTTTTTGTCTACAAACACGAGAAACAACCCGTGGAGCAAACGGTGAGCACGAGAGCAGTTCGTGTTCAAGAGTGACGGTTTGCTGCGAATGCATACACGGCGCATGCTTGCATCATGGCTTGGCATATTCTGCTGGATACTACAAAGGCAGCGCCGCTGCTCACTGTGCACCTCCTTTTACCTCGTAAGCAGTGAAAAATAAAAAAATGGATAGATAACATGCATATCCTAATTTTCAGGACTAATTGTGGCACGCCTGATAGCATCAGAAAACGTGACTACGTACACCGAAGTAATCGACTTCATATTTCTAGCTTCAAGGCTCTTCCAGTGGGCTGCGCCACATACCGGTTTTTGTTACCTTTAAACACTGCAGGGGAACTTCGGTTATATGTCGCTCAGTTTTGCGATGACTTACACTTTACAACGAATCGGTTTTGTTCTGGCAAAATCTCCATAGAAATAACGTATTGAAAATCTTCATTATACGACACAGTCGACCCCTCATCATACGACGACAAGGTTCTATGTAATGTTGCATAAGTCAGGAAGAAAAAAAAAAGACACCTGTCCGGGAATCAAACGTCGACCAAATATTCATGAGTGCAAAATATGAACTTGCGTTCCCCTAGGTTGACGATTGGAAAAGTAGAGAGTGAGACAAGATGTCTCCTCGGAATGGAAAATTTATTCTCCTGGAAGTTCATGTGCTTCTACATACGCGGCGATTGCATGCGTACGTATTCATGGTCATTACCTAGCCAAGCTCTATCCAGACAGAGTAGCTTCAGCCAGCCGAAAAGCTGATATTTTCATGTTTTTGCTCCGTGGAAACTATTCTTGGTCGACACACAGCTGATCTCCTTCATTTTCGCACTCGCAGTCACAGGCTTGCGCACACATAAGGGTGCGACGCATCCGTTTTCACCGTGCAAAATTATTTTCACTTGACGTCAACGTTCATAATAACAGCAAGACATCATTAGCTGCATTTCGCAAGCCAACAAATTACAATGCACACGAAAGCATTATACGCCAACTCGTGGTCTGTCGCCATTATGGGATAGCAATGACAATGTGGCTGACTCTTCTCACAAGAGGATGTTGGCAACACGGTTTCGCTTTCGTTTTCACGCTCAGGCTGTTTATCCGTAGAAAGATGCACGTTTGATTTGACTTTTACTAAATGTTGAGAATAAAGATTCGCTCCCACCTTCTCCAACTAAGTAATGCTTCCATCAGCTGCCACTGACAAGAATTGTTTAATCTACCTTCCTTTCAGAGGCACAAGGTCGTGCCGTGGGCTTATTCAGGTGGTCTGTACCCGTTTTTTGGGCAAGGCTGAGTGTCGCAGCCTGTAATCTTAATTTTTTATTATATGACGCCGGGATTATACGACTGTTTTACCTGATCTCCTGAAGGTTGTATAATCGGGGTTCTACTTTATGTCTAGGAAAACAGCCAATGTATACCATATACCAGACTAGAAGTGTCGGTTAATACTGAATATTACCAATTCATCAAAATGAAATTCACGATACGTGCACGCAAGTATAAAAGCGCACCTTAAAGGCCAACTCCGGCAATTTTTCGAACATGTCAAGGTAATGCTGTTTCTATGTTTTTGAGACACTCTTGTCATGAGCCCGATAGCTGAAATTCTCAGGAAATTCAAAAATAATTTTTAATAAGCAAAAGATGTGCAAAACTGAAACCCGACTGAGCCCTGTCTGCGTGTGATGTACTATTTGGTAAGAACCCGAGGCCATATACTGGTTCCGCCAGTGCGTAGTACCAAAACTGTGAAAGACAGACCAGCGAACCGCCGGCATAACACCATTGAGAAAGGAAGAAAGCTTTCTCGTGCTATAGCCGTGCCAAACACTGCTGCCGTTACCTTGCGGCCAGCAAAGTAAATGCTGTAGCAGCCAAAGCAGCGATGCCATCGGATGCTTCACTTCCGTTGACATGCAAAACATGACGTCACACAGACAGTATTGCCAATAATTCTGGCTTGCGAGGTGAGCTTTTCGAGGCAATCTTTAATATTCATTTGCAAACACTCAGTGCATTTCTCAAGCCTGTAGTTTGGCATAAATGATGAAAATGTGCAAAGGAACATACCTAGGAAATTTCATAGAGATCCATTGACCTTGAAAAATTGCCGGAGTTGGCCTTTAAGGGACACGTTCAGGGCGCTCGCCTATTTAAAGTTACCTGCTCCGAAGTGCTCCAAGATGCAAATTGCTGCCAACCCTTCATTCTCCAAATTTAAAGTTTTGCTGCTTCAGGAAAGGTACCAAATGAGAATTGGTTAATAGCATAACTGCATTTTGCCCCGCCGCGGTGGTCTAGTGGCTAAGGTACTCGGCTGCTGACCCGCAGGTCGCAGGTTCGAATCCCGGCTGCGGCGGCTGCATTACCGATGGAGGTGGAAATGTTGTAGGCCCGTGTGCTCAGATTTGGGTGCACGTTAAAGAACCCCAGGTGGTTGAAATTTCCGGAACACTCCACTACGGCGTCTCTCATAATCATATGGTGGTTTTGGGACGTTAAACCCCACATAATAATCAATCAATCAATCATCATCAAGCATAACTGCATTTAGAGAGGCTGAAATACAAAGGGCACTTTTCACAGTCATTTAAGTTAGGACTCTGAAACTTCATAACTTTTCTTCTAGGAAAGCTAGAACTATAACACTGCCCTTGCTGCAGTTCGTAACATGTGAAGAGTCCGGCGACATATAGCATAGAAAGAGATGTGCTGCCACTTTAATGAAAATGTCATCAAATGATACTTTCACTGAAGGCAAACTTTAAAATTAATGGCACAGTGTACATAAAGACTGACTTGATATTTCGTAGACGCACGTGAAACACATAATCTCTTTCGTCATGCCATCTTAGATAATTGAAACACTTTCTCGTTGAAAAAAAAAAAAAAAAAAAAAAAACAGTTTCCCACTTTAAAGGCACTTGTTGCATTTCCAGTTGGCATGTCCCACTGCGTACCCAGGAAAACATGGCTACGGTTAAACCCTTTCATAAACAGCTTTCAAGTGCAATGAAACTTACACTTTTATGACTCAATCAAAAATATACGATGGTTGGGGTGGGGGGGATAGCGAAGGTTCTGTTGCTAAATGATTACACTGCAGGGATAGCCGTCATGCTTGCTCAGCTTCTTCCTGTTGCGTATTTTATTGACCTTCAAATAGATATGTTGATTTTGCTTTCACTAATGTTATTTATCTACGGTAGCGCAATGGTTTACACCCCCCAGATTCAGTTTCTTCCAGGCTAACGCTGACACACCACTGATTTTTTTCCAGCAGACCACACTGAGATACAGAGCTCTTCCCATACACACCCGCCACGATTTGGTGTGCTGGAATCCAGGCGAAACAGCATTGACCACGACATTACCAACTCGTTTCAGTGTGCTATTATGCTTTTTTCTTTTGCTGATTGTTAATTTTACTAAGTGTCACTCGTTATGTTATTATTTTTTTTTTGCTGCAGGACTTATCTATACGAAGTAAACGAGGTAATATGGACCTCAACCTCTTCACAGGAAAACAGTTTGAATAGAACACCACATTATGCTTTCTCTCCCGCAGTACTGCAGATGCATGTTTCTTTAGTGCGTGTGTGTGTGGCTTAGCTAAAAGAGCTTCACGCTGCTACACACATTCGCATAGTATTTGCAACATGTTTATTTTTTTCCCCACAAAGGTACATGGCTTTTATTTGCTGTAAAAGTAAGTCCGTGACATAAAAGTGATTGGTATGACAGGTGCACAATTTACAATTCTTTGGCTGGAAAGACTTCTGGTACAGTTCTGACAAAAGCACCAAACTGGCATGGAAAAAAGAACGAACTCTCTTGTGAAAGTGGTGCGAAAATGGGATGTTTCGTTCATATATGCATGGAGAAAAAACTTGCTCATTGTTATTACTGTTATGCCTCGATAAAGTCTCTTTACACACTCTTCATATAATACTTTATGTTCTTGCATTTAGCGCTGAATTTGCTTACACGGCTTCCAATATAATGGAGGCTCGACAGTGTATCAGTACTTGAAATTCTTATGTGGCTTGGATTTAAACACGAAGGCAATAATTAAAGAATGGTTAGCTCGATGAATCTAGTCTACACATCTTGAAATCTGTTTACCGGCATGAGTGACAACGTCTTTGTTAGAGCTACTTTGACAACATTTGGTCTAGCTTTGCGAAAACTTTATTACATACAGTTGAGCAGTGCGTGACCACTCACTGCCGATGCATTGACTGTACCGCAATTCACTGCAAAATTTTACTTTCAAATGTGTTCATAACTTCTTTTTGACGCAAAGCTTCTGCCTGAATGCCACATGGAAAAGAGTGCCACATTTTGGGTTATGTTGCTGTGATGTGACTGCCACTGAGGGATTATAGAGCTTTTCGTAACGACTGGGACGTTTTTTATGGAAATCACGAGAACAGAGAGTAGTGTTCCTTAAGGAACTCGTCATAGGAATCGCTCAGAAATGGTATTTTAACACAGCGAAAGCTCATTCACACCTGGGACTAGCACAAGCCATGCCGCCAATCTAGCTGCAAGGTGATTGGTCGCAAATAGTCACTTCAGCCACCAAGCGACTGCTCTGGCTCGGTCGCTCGTTGCTTGATCTTTAAGTCATGTGACTGTGGCCGCTAACCTTTGAACCAGTGAGATGTCAGTAACAGGATGTCAGCTTATTTCACGAGGCTGTGGCAATGCGAGGAGACGCAAATTTAGTGCAATGATGTGTATAGGTTGCGTCTTGAATTGCTTTTTGGTTGCCAGTCGTTAAAACGGTCATGCTACCGGTGCTACTCGCAGGTGTGAATGAGCCTTAGTTTCTCATGTTGAGTTCATGCTTCAGAGTCCAAGGAGCATTTTCAATACATCGTTGGGATGTTTCCACATCATTCATGCAAGGACATTGGTCCTACAGCGGCGACACTCAACCAGCTCCCTGCCTAACGGGAGGAAGAACAGGAGGCATCGACCGCCCGAGTCTTATTTTTCCTTTTGTCACTGCAGAGTGTAGCGTTGATTTGCCTGCTCCCTAGGCACTGGTGGCAGTGGGATGCGCCTGTTTTGTGGCGGTGAGGTCTCTGAGAGACCCGGTGCAGGCAGGGGGGCGGGGCGAGTACCCTTGGCCCCACTGGCTCCTGGGGACGGTGTGGTCTGCAGTTCTCGTGGAAGTAGGTCAGGCGGAAAGAAGTGGTGTGTGGTGATGACAGGCGGCAGCAGAGACCCGCCGAAAAAATCTGTCGTAGATGTGGTTCTGCATAGCGCACCAAAACGTTATGGTTATCTTGATCTCTAGCACACGTCTCACTGTTCTTTCAGCACTCATCTTTCAATTCTGTAGTTATGAATCTTTTTGCCTATACGGGGCACGCGACTTTCAGAGGCCAAACTGACTATATCAGGGAAATAGCTAACAGGTAGCTTATTTCAGTTTTGAAGCTGAGAATAGAAATCTGGCTCTTTTCTCCATATCTCTTGCTATATGCAGTCATTATGAAAATATCATGACAACACCTAGGATAGGAAATGTTAATGAAGTTCTTTCGTCTTGTTTTCGGAAGCTCCCATTTTGAATGTTGAAGCATCTCTGCTTTGCATTATATTCCTTAGCAAAAGTACCTCATTTAATCGCAACAATAACAACTGTTTTGTATCCATGTATATTATAGGGGGTATAACAAAATTCATTACTTTGTCAATGCAAACAATTGGTCAAAACAGCTTGCTAGTTTCCATGGTTATTCACTTCTGTCCCTTAGCTAGCTCTCAGAAAAGAACATATTTATGTATGAAAAATCAGACAACTTTAGTTACTTTTCGAGAGTCGCCACGTCATGCAGTAGTGTCCGTACGGGAGGAAGGAGTTGTCCGGGATCTCAGTAGGAGGGGCGTGCACGTGCAGACGAGCTGCATGCGTGAGTAGGTCAGTAGGACACAGCAAGAAAGGCAAAGGTTGGATCATAAACACACGTGCAAGTTGGAACACACTTGGGGTAGGGGAGTGTAAAGACTCATCCACACAAATCTGTGTACGGAGAGCTCGTGGCAGGGGCGCAGAATGGCATAGACTGTGCATTTATACGCAGCGGCCTTGTTGAACATTCCGTGCATGCATGGTACATATGGTTCAGAGAAGGTGCAGATAATGCCAAGTGAAGAAAGGATTGCGAAGGTTGGAGCTTCTGGCAAGAGTGCTAAACCGTGTCGGCCATACATTGATTTGCAAAGGTATCTCGCATGTCAATCATGCATAATGCATATGATTCAAGGAAAGTAGAGGAAATTCGAAGTGAAGATAGGTTTGAATGGAGAGGGGTTTTAGCATCGGTGCAGAATGCTTTAGGCCATATATTGGTATGCAGTATGGCCTTATGTCACATGCCATGCATGCACTGTACGTTTCATTTAAGGAGGGTACAGTTAGATTTGGAAAAGGGGCATTGTAGCATAACACTTCAAAAATATTATGTGTGATGGATGGGATGACTGTTTCACTGTTCATTTAGTGTCTTTTAATTTGTGGTACTCCTCCTCTAAAGACGTGAAATGTATACACTAAATATTGTTTAGACTGTGTAATACTCTACTTCATGCAATGAAAGGATTGCTAAATATGCATGACTGAAAATTTTCGCTCCTGTACCACAGCAATGATTGTCAGTGTGATTGAGTCAGTTGTAACAGACAATTACGTCACATTGGGATCATTGTCAAGTACTAGGACTTACTCACTCATATAATATGCCATAAAATGTTCACCTTTAGCAACAAAACATTAGACTAATTTGATCAAACACTATCGAAATCTCTTACCTAACAGCAAATTAGCGCGAGAACTTAAAGGGGCCCTGCAACAGTTTAAGTATTGAGTGGTTTTATTAAGGTGCTTTTTTGCCTCACTATTCGTCTCACAATAATTCTTAGCATTCGTCATGCACAGGTGAAGTTACAGAGATTGGTTGCATGCTTCAAGCGTTTTTGCTTCAATTTCGTACCCGTGATTAGGGGCTTTAATTAAGGAAGGGGGGTTGACAAGGGGCTACAAGCTTACCATACTCATCAGCGTGCATCATGTCCTTAAGCGTTTTTTATTTTTGAATGCGAAGCAGCTCTATGACTAGCCTATGTAACGCTGTCCCTCCGTACACCCCTAATGCGCATGCCCTCATATCGCATCTCATTACGCATGCTGGCATCTCGTGCCGAGATACGCTTGCTCGCGTCTCGTGCGGACCCATGAAGATACCCGCAAAACTGTCACTCTCCTCCCTTTCTCTTGCCTGCGATGAACCCCCGCTTCTCCTGGCCTGGCTGCTCCACTGGTCCTTGCAATCTTTTTTTACGGTAACAAGGATGACACATGTGGGCATGCAGGCTGTTACGGCATTGGTCATTCCGAAGCTACACATGTCGCTGTTGTCCCGTCGAAATGCTTGACTTATTCCATTGTGTATCTCATTACATTGTCATGCGCATCGTGTTTTAAGCTGGTGTAATATCAGGTGGGATTTTCCACCTCCTTCAACCTGATGAATAGCCTTTGTGTTGTACTAGGTTAGAAACTTCTGCGATGTTGATGTAGTAGCAAACATTGGGCAGTTTGTAAAGCTTGAACACGCAAAAGTCGAAGCTTTGACTTTCTCACGGGAAGTTGTTGTTCGTGCTGCCCTTGCGACTTTCCACTCCTTGACCGTAGCTTCCAGATCCGCTGGCTACAGAAGGTGGCAGGAGATCATGTGGCAGCAGATCCTGGGGAAAACTGGGGAAGAAGGCGCTCTTGGGGAAGCCCAGGGCCCTGCACGAATCGAATAGCGAGTTTGCTTGAGTTACAGTAAACCCCAATACAAAATCAACACAGCTTGGTGAAATATGCTTTGAGAATACCATTGGCATCAGTTTCTCTTTCGTAGCTGTCATGAGCGGAAGACAAATTGAAAATCAGTTTTGTTCTTAAAGACTCGCTAAAGAGAAAAAAGATTTTTCTTGTATTAGTGAATTTCTCCCTCGCTATTCCAAAATCATCTCGCTTGCCGTGACAAAGATTTTGGTAAGCGAAAAAAAGCACAAGAACAAAACGCGGGTGGCGGCGCGACCTTGAAGTTCCGGTGCCAAACGCCGTGACGTCATAGTTTCCAATGGTGTCTACTGGGTTTCAACATCTGCATATACTTCATAATCCAGTAAAAGTGAAATACATTGCCCCCTGAGGGAGCCACATACCTAACATACCAAGTTTAAAGAAATGACGTGTAGTCCATGTTGGCGAAATACGAAACATATTTTGAATGAAATGAGTGACTCCACGAACGGAAATTCCGATGTGAAATTTAACAATAATAGTTTGACCATGATTTCGACTCTCATTATTAAACCTATTATGGCGAACTTATCAATGTTATTTCGCACAGTACAATTTATAAAAAGCGATTTATTGTTTCAATTTAGTGGCCCTTTAAAGGGGCCCTGCAACACTGTTAGAGCATGGTCGGAAAACGCTGCCTATCAGTAGTAGAGGCTCCCCACAACACACGAGCAAATATTATAGCACAGCACGCGGCCTAGAATTCACAGTAAGTTGTCAAAGTCAGCTAAAAATAGTTTTCTCTTCTCTCGACAAATTACGGAATAGGCCCAAAAGTCACTCGTAGTAAGCCCATCTATTCAGTTATTGGCCGATTTGAACATGGCGCGCTCGGTTGTTACAGAAGTCGCCGCAAGAGGCCGCCACTTGTCCACGCGTGCGCGCGCGATCGCACTAAAAAAAGTTGCGTATTCGAAGAAAAAAAGTGCCCAAGGCCACGAGGCGTGAGTGACGTTTTTTTGTTTGCTCCTCCCATCCCTCCCTGCTTAGCTTCCAGCGCTTTCGTCGGGACGAGCGAAGAGACAATGCGATTGCAGCGTGTGAAAAATGTATCGGCTGTTCGCGAACGTCGTTTTCGCTGCTTTACGTTACACACTTGCGTCGTTTTGTGCTTGACGCACTCCAAGAATCGTTGAAATTAGCCGGGTTTCACCCAAATATGACCGAGTTAACGAGAAAACAAAAATTGCGCTCGCCCATATTTTCTGCGTCTTTGTCTAGTCTTTGCGCAACTATTTCTTTTCTTGTTTATAATTACGAAGCATCTCGCCGAGCAGCTAGTTTTACCGAATTAATGAGGCTGGAAGCGAAAGTTGGGCTAGTTTGTGGTTCATGTTTTGGATGTAAAAACGGCGCAGACACAGTGATAAAGACTGAAGACACATCCCGAGCATGAATTAACGAGAGTTTGATGTCATTGACAATCTACGTGCTAGCCGGAACCAGAGAACACCTCCTTATTGCCCGATATTCTGAAATGACGAGCGTTTAATTAACGAGGTTTTGCTGTATTTCACAGACATCGCTACTGCCGAAGCCAGTGTTGAACAGCGACGAGCCGTTCACACCGTTGCAAAAGCAATGGACTTCCACCAGTCTGCCCCCAGCTGCAGATACGCCATAGCGTTACGTTTCTAATCTCTCCCATGGAATGGTGTCGAACGGGCATTTTTAATCGAGAGCAGTGCCGATCCCGATTTATCACGATCTAGATTAGGTGCTGCTACACGGTCACTCTTAATCCCGATCAGGTGCGATCAGGATCAAGACTATCGCGATGCACGCATCGTGATCTGGCTGGGAGATCGCGATTTCGCTAAGGTCCCTAGATGAAACTTGTTTCATCTAGGGACCTTAGATTTCGCTGTCGTCTGCGCCCCCTGGCCAAGCTTCTTGAAAGCACAATAAACAAGTAAACCGAGCGTAGTTAAATAAAGACATATTAAAACAGCTAGATTTTTATTAGAAAAAAGCAAATTGTAGACTGTTTAAATTAGAACAATATCTGAAATATTGCATATTTTAAGAGTCGTATTGACCGCACGTAGTTATGGGAGAAGCAGACGGTGAGCAGAGGACCGTCTTCTTGTTGAACTCTCGCGCCGTAGCAGAGGTTGGAGCACCTCAAAGCAAACTCATTAGGGGTGTCGCCAACTTTTCGACTGCGTCGCAGCATGTGCGTACTTCGTGGTCGAATGAAGAGACCTCTACAGCAATTTACCGCTGGCAGGAGCGACCGGGAGACCTGAAGAGCAATTGAGAAGTAAAACCCTGGCGCGTACAACGAAATTGCCCCTTTACTGCGACTAGAAGGCTTCGAGCGGTTGGCACCAGACATAAAAGTGGAGATAATCTCACGCACCAATACAGGTAAGGGCAGGGAAAACTCCATCGAATAATGGATTAATGAAATGGTTTTTGTAGTGGCACGCAAAGTTTTTATGTTCGAGCGGTTCTTTCATCAATAACATTGCTGATGAAGGGATCTCTAGAAATATAGTACGCTGAGTTTTGTCAATGACATGTTTTAGGCCCCACAAGTGCCGCCTGGTGCATTTCATCTGACCCAAGCTCGGACCGAATCGGCTTGGGAAGTGTAGCGGGGGCCATAAAGCTGACCGCGATTAATAAAACCGATCCGGATCGCCCCGATCGCGATTAAATGTGTCCGTGTGACACCGGCATTAGATTAATAAATGACGCACATTTATTTTCGCATTTAAACAATACTATCTGCCTATAAGCGTTGGTTCCTGCATCAACCCGGGGAGGCCTGTGTAATCAGAACGACGAAACCAAGACACAGACCCCACAATAAAAGAAAGAAATGTAGATTTAAGGGCTCGTTTTTTTATACACAATGAGATATAACAGGGAATCATGCCAGGGGAAGTATAAGGGATGTTATTAGAAGTTATTGTACCCTCACTATAAGGCATTTAAGTATAAGCCATTTCGGGTACGGCAAGGACAGTTGTGAGACTTTCAAGCACTTTTCGCTCGCTGCGACACCGACCCGTAGTCCAGCTTAGAGATACTAAATGTATGTATGCTGTATGCTAAATGTATGTAGGCTGAATGGTAAGTACAGAGGTTTTGAAGCGCATGTCACGACTATGGGCCCAAGAAAGCTATAGCTGTATTGAAATGTTCCGAATACAGTGTTGGAAATTCAGTTTATAGGCTGAACGCCGAATATGAAATGTATAAGTGCACGGATCTCTGAACTTTTTTAAAATGCCCGGACTAACCAAATGCGCAAGAACTGTATACCTAGTGGACTTGAGCGATAACGGTGGTTCTGCTGAAATCAGTTAGAGTATGTCTTTCGGCGCTCTTAGGTGTGTCAAACGCAGTGCTTAGGTCTCGTATCTGGAATCGGAACTGCTCAATGCTCTCCCATAGTGTAGTACGAAGTACTCGAAATCGTTGAACTTTTTTTTATCTAATCGCCTGGGTTATACCAGGTGGCTTCATCAAATGTGAGGACCCCGGGATGGCTTTACACTCTCTCATAGTAGAGCACCTAGTACTCTCAATCGTTAACCAGTTTTTCTCAACGCACAAAATTTCACGAAATATCAATTTTCGAAGAAATACGTGCGGGACCTGAATCATTTAGTTGATAACGATGCAAATGCACCAATGGTTTACAATAGTCATTCCATTTTTTTCTCGCACAGTTTGCAGAACACGGCTTCTCCTTTTATTGTCTAGCATGGTGACTTATGCGTCGACTATCGATAACACGTTCCTGGGTCTCTCCCATTTCGCCATGGCTGAGAAGGGCCGCATCTGAGTCTCTTCCATTTCGGCATGGCTGGGAAGGGCTGCAGAGGAGCGAATAGCCATACCGCTAATATGCCATAAGGTTATTTTAGCCTCGTATTAGCCGAGTCTAATCGACAGGTCAATTTCTCCTCTTGTCTGTGAACACCTTGAAGCTCCCCTCGCCCGGTTTGAGCATTTCGAGAGGGCCAGACAAGTGCATGCACTGGGCGCTCACTATCTCGCCAGCCGAAATTCGCAACGCTAAGCACCCCGGGAAGAGGCGAAATTGCAGACTGAACGCCACTAGCCTTTCTTCTCACGGGTGCGCGCCCCAACGTAAAAGAGGTGACGTACAAGACGGAGTCGTCCTGCGTACGTTGAATTATAGTACGTGACACTGCGAAAATTGTTCGAGGCGACGTGTGCGATTTCTGCAATATGTTGCTTCAATAGAGCAATGAAAGTTGACAGAAGTATTAAAACATACAAACGGAATATGTGCTTGTTATTTATTCATTTTTTGAAACTTTGTATCGAGTAAGATGCGAGACTAAGCGGCCTCCATTTCGTCAGCATCGTTGTTCTCGCCATTCTCGAATCGTGCTGGTGCCAGCACTGACAACGCTTGGAGTGTCTCTGGTGCACCAGAGCAGTTCCAGCGGTGTATGTTTCCGCTTCCACCCTCCCTCCCTCTCTCTCTCTCATTCCCTATTTCATACTTTTCTGCCTCCCCTTACCCCTTTCCCAGTGCAGGGTAGCAAACCAAATGCTTACTTTCCGGTTAACCTTCCTGTATTTCCCCATACCAGATCTCTCTTTCTCCAGCAGTGCGACTCTGTGTATCGTGATGAGGATACATTATCCAGGCCAGCCTCTCAAAACGTGCACGCATAGGGAAATTCATCCCTCAGAAACATGTGCAGTATATACAATACAGATAACACCGAACCGACTATAGGGCATGTCATGCGGATGTAACTTTGCGTGCACGCGCATGACGTGTTGATGCGCCTGCGTCGTGTGATCTTCCGGCTCCGAGTTGCTCCGATTCCGAAGAGGGCAAGGTAAGAATTTGGTTTTGCGAAGTCTATACACCGGGCGGGTGGCGTAGGTTTCAAGCTCACCTCCTCGCATCGTGCTTTCGCGGCTCGCAAAGAACCCAT